GGTGGGAAGGGTGGCCATGTAGTAAGGGAAGCATTCAGTGGACAGGAGATCAAGGGTGGAAGAATATTGCTTTAAGTGGGAGATAATGGCAGTGATGTTGTGGAAGTTGACATGTTGGGGCATGTCGAGTGGAGGTCATAGGTGGAAAAAACCCGATTTTTCCAGCGGCAGGCATCGGGTTTTTTCTTTAATACAATTAAACCCAGATTGTAAAAAACCCGACTGTGCCACCCTTGGTGGGGGTGGTGGGGGGAGACAGGAGGCAGACATAAAACAGGAGAAGCAGAATCAGATCCCGGGACACCGCTTCTAATTGTCTTGGTATTATGGATGGATTCATGGAGATAGCTGGGTGGATGAGATATAGGTGATAATGGGGTGCTGAAAGAGTCGTTTTTGGTTACCAGTGCATCATGCCATCGTGTTTGAGTTTAACTCTAATTGACTAATGAGATTTGATAAGAGCCTTTCAGATCTAGTATTGAACTTCCAAACTGTATTTGTGTCAGAGGCTTTCCAATGACTCAATTTGGGGAAGGCAGGGTTGAACCAGCAGGGACATGGGGGTTTGAGAATGAGTCTTCAGAGGGGCGAGATCAATCAGAGCCAGTGGATGGGATAGTGTTCGAGTGCTCAACAGAGCCGTTCTATGGATACATGAAACAGGTGGGCATAATGTGGGAGCAGGGTGGTAGAATATCCGAGACCACACACGAACAAACCACACGTACACATGCTTGCATATTCGGTATCTATGTACCTACCGTACATACACAGATACACACAGACGAATGCACAAACATACGCGGACACGTACACACAGCACACGGTCATTAAGTGTTGAGTCAACACAAAGACAAAGATCCCCCGTATAGCCTGGGACAAGTGCTGTTAGCGAGCATCTATGGAGGCCGGCACGGCACACGTCAACATACACACACGTGGAGTCTGGGAGGGGATCCCACCGACCATGTTCATGAATGTCAACGGATGACTCAGGCAGATAAAATCCCAGTGGCGGGTTTGTCGATCTGCCGAAAAACCTGCCACGCCCATGAGTCGACCGCTGATCTCCCGACATACAAGATCAAATCTGCGGATTAGCCGAGCTTATTTGTGAGGTCTTGGGGGAGGAGAAACCCTACCCCCAGCAACATAAGGCGGGCAAGAGAGAAACTGAACAGCAGAAGTTGTGGTGACTTAAAAGTATGGAAGAAGTATCCACCTCCTGTGAGTGGCTGGCTGATGTTGCCCTCTGCAAACGAGATGCAAGGAGTATATCTGGAGTCTGAGATCAAGTAAAGTATCGGAGCATGGATGACCTCAAAGCGAACTGCTGAGGCTGGAGAATGTGTGTAGGTTGCCTTACATGACCTCACCACAACTGCTTGGACCACATGGCAGGTTCTCTCTCCTCTGTGTACCGAGAAAGGTGCTGGCTTAGAATAATTCAACATCGTGTAGCCAGGCACAATGAGAGGTTTGTGAGTTCAAGCAAGAATGGTTCTGCATGAATGCCATCTTTTCTCCCTTGTAGAGGTGTAGGGAATTTTAAAATCTACATACACACACACACGTACAGTTGATTTGTACGTATGTTGAACTCTTTTCGCGCCGTAGGTAGCCAACCGTGCTAATCGGAGGTGCGATATGCACAGACCAAGGTGGGGTTGTTGTAGGTTGTTGGGGTAGGTGCTGTTCGCGAGCGCATACGAAGGCTTTCCAGCACGGTGCACAAAGGGGTGGTATGTTCGGCACCACGCCCGGCCGCTTTTGTCTTCCTCGTGCTGATATGTACACACTGCACCGAATACTCATTGAAGGCTGAGTCAGTCTAAGGGAGGTCCAGAACCGGTTAAGATAATAACTTTTTTACCGTGGCAGGGAATCGAACTCAGGTCGCCAGGTTCGAAGTGCACTGCTTCGACCACTACACTACACACACGAACAATAACGGCCACTAAGCGGCGGTGGCGTTTGTGCCAGGCTAGGTGTACTTTTAGGCCACGTGAAGTGTCAAAGCCTCACTGACAGGAGGTGGTCACGGGACAGACCCAGGTGCCACGGGTTGACTGATTGGGAAGACTCGCAGATTGCACCACCTTGTGCTCCACACATCAACGTACACATACATTCAGACACGCACACACACGCTCACTTTAACATATACAGGATTAACGCTACATAGAGGTCACCCCAAGACATTCATAATCCTCACCGTTAACCACTCCTGGGGCTGTTTTAATTGGGTACGGCCAATTACAAGGAGCCAATTAAACGACTAAGTTCTCCATTGACTCATACATCACGCCTTACCAATTGCATCATTTTAAATTATTTTCTGTAAAGGTTGCTCTTACGATTTAATTTAACGTCCGTTAGAAACGCTTATATAAAGTATCACCATAAATGGCAATATTTAAATTGTGGCTTAATAACGGATGACGCAATGTCCACCAAGTGTCCAGTGCAAGTTGTAAAAGCTAAGGCCATGGTTTGGTCACGGTCAGTACAAATCACTACCATGGTGCGTGAATAACCCCAAACATTCACGGAAAGGTCACGGATGAGGAGGTCGCATCTCCGTGTGTGCGTGTACTGTGGGGAGCAGTAGTGTGGCGGTGAGCGTGCTGCGGTACGAACCCGGCGACCCGAGTTCAATTCCCACTCACGTCCTTCAACACCAGTGACCATTATCTGAACCGGTCCTGGGTCTCCCCTAGGTCGACTCAGCCTCAAATGAGTGCCTGGTGCGGAGTGTAAAAATTATCTCTACTGGGGAAACAAAGGCGGCCGGGCGTGGTGCCGGCCACCTTTTGCGCTGTACCAGGTTTCATCAGTACTCGCTAACAATACTTGGCTCAACAGTCTGTTAAACGACTATACGGGGGATCTTTGTCTTTGTGTGTCCTGTATCTCCGTGTCTCTCTCGATATGTAGCTCTGTCATTATGTGTTCCTGAAATGTGACGACGAATATCGAAGCGACGTAAATCAAAGCAATTTACAAGGTAGGTGAAGGAGAAGGCTGAGGCGATGGATATGAGAAAGGATGGACGATGCTGTCAGCGATTAGAGTGGGGCTTGAGGGGACGCAAAGCAGGTCGTGGTGTTAATCAAGTGACGACGTATTTGCGAAACGATGAAAAAGGGGTATGACTAGCTGCATTTATTTGTGTTCGTGTGTGTGTATATTTGTGTCTCGGTGTCTGTGGGTGTGTATCTCAGTGTGTATCCGTCTATGTATCTCGTGTCTGTGTGTGTATCTCAGTGTGTATCCGTCCATGTATCTCGGGCCGGATTGCTCGTGGTTGCCATGGCCAGTTTGTTAACCAATCCAGCTCTGCAAGTGGACAGTATCATCTGTGTCAACAGCCATCTCCTACATCTCACTTTAGACTTCCTTCAAATTCACGATTCTCATGACCACCATGATGTTTGTGACAAAATCATAGCTTTAGTGATAGTGAATATTATCTCCATTTATGAACTGCATGTGTGAGTTTATTTCCTCCAATTATATTTAAAAAAAAATTTGTCCCCTTCACAATTTTTGAAAAATGCAATTTATAGCGCGCACAATGTGTCACGGACATAGATGACCGTGACCCCGAGACGCGGAGCCAAACTCGGTGTCACTGGACAGTCAGGCGAAAGAAGTGGGGACCTTTAAGAAAGAGGTGGGCTTTTAAGAGTAGGTGTAGCATACCTGTCAACCCTTATCAGTGCCCGACCTTATTACAGACCTCATTGGTCATCCCGTGCCCTTACAAATCTCAACGTTCATCGTACAAAGTCCTAACACTAGGGAGAAACACAAATAAATAGACACTTTTTTGCCCGTATTGAAACGGCTGTACGCCGTATGGACCTGAAAACTAAATTTCCCTGCACAAGAATACGTGGTAAACCGTATGGGTTGACAGATATGGTGTGGGTTGAATGCTGCGAATGTGATGCATGACGGCGTTCCAGATACTGGGGGCTTCCACGGAGAAACGGTGCCTGGCAGTGACGTTCCAAACTTGGCAAATGTTGACCATGATGCCGGCACACACAATGGCCTACTCTTGCGAAAGACACCCACAGCATTATTCAGAGCGGCCACTAGGTTAAAACCGTGAACCTCTGCGGAAATAGGTGATCGCGCTTCCGGGAGGTCTTGTCCGCCGCTGGGCCTCCAGTTAGCACGGTTGGCTACTTCCGGGGCGAAAGAAGTTCAATATACATCCATACAGGCCAAGTGCCAGAGAGGAGCTCGCAAAAGGACTCACAGTTTGTGAAACGTTTCTGAATAGTATTTTGCGAAAGTTCAAAAAGAGCCCAGTTGTGCCCAACATTGCCAGTTGTGCCCAAGCGACTGATGGTTGTTCTGTTCATGCCCAAGGTGCGTAGAGCCAGACTATAAGGCAGGATTCTAATGGGCCATTGTGAATGCCCTCAGCTCAAAGAACCAGATACACAGATACAAATTCACACACGGACATTTAAAAAAAGAATAATCTTAATATAAGGAATATACTGATGATGACAATGATTATATTGCTGATGGTGATGAAATTATAATAGTGGTGATAAGACTGCTGGTGATATGATGTAGCTGCTGATGATGATGCAGTTACTGCTGATGATGATGCAGTTGATGCTGATGATAATGATATGCAGGTGATGTTAATAATGCTGTAGATGCTGGTGATAATGACGATAGTGATTTTTCAATGCTGATGATGGTCATGACGCGTTTTCGTGTGTGTGCAGGAGTTTACAAGCGAAAGGAATCCACGCAGGAAGCAATGGCCTGAAGTCTCGTTGCTAAGCAGAGCGTTCTTATCCAGATAGCAGAGCCTCATCTCCAGGGGGCTAGGGGATTTGCTGCTGCTGTGCTTAGCCTTCTGTCTGGGCTCTGGCCATAGAGCCGTCATGCCTCTGGGAGGCACCTGGCCACCAGGGGACAGAGCTTAGTCTTCAGTGGCAGGAGTCTCGTTGCCAGGGGGTGGGGGAAAGACGAGTGGAGTCTGGCAGGGGTCACGGGGCAGCGGGGTCACATGACTCCGTTTGAGAAGCTCACGTGGGAGGCGCGCACGGATGAGGTGGCGGTGAGGGAGTCGGTGCTGGGGAAGAGGATCAGCTTCTACCGCATCCGCGGAGAGATCGGCTCTGGCAACTTCTCCCAGGTCAAGCTGGGGGTGCACCTTCTCACACGAGGCAAGGGCCTGCACTGTCATCATCGTCGTCATCAGTAGCAGAAATATCACCGACAGAATCATTTGTCTCAATCCCATTCACCACCTCGACTTGCTTGGCACATTCCTCTCACCCGCCACCAACTCTTGCTCCTCTACCGAATGCTCAACCTCATTTTCTCTCTCCTGGGTCTCTCCCATCCCACCCCTCTCTCCTCTACCTCCTCCTCCTCCTCCACCCGTCGTACTCAACCTCCCTACATTTCTCACTCAGTACTTCTGACCCCAATCTTATTCTAACGATTTTATTCAAATCTCTCCCTCCTCCTTTTCCCCTCTTTCTCCTTCCCGCTCTTCAGAGACACAGTCTCTGTGTTCAGAGCATCAGTTAGTTGATTGCTTCGCGTTTCAATTTCATTGCCGTTATCGTGGCCAACCATGGAATATTATTTATCATTATTTAGCCTGGCCAACTTAAGGTGTGGCTTTCTTGGACAAATCAAGATTATTATTTTTATCATTATTCTCGTGCATGGAGGTACGGTAATACCCTGGTTTATGTCTGGGATGCAGTCCGGAAATGTGTGACGACGAATATCGTAACGACGTGAATTAAAGCAATTTACAGGGTCGGTGGAGGTGATGGCCAAGGCGGACGATGCTTTCAGCGACATAAGTGTGGGGTTGAAGCGACGCAAATCAGGCAGTGGTATTAATAATAAAGTGGCGACGTATTTGCGAAACCTAAATGGGGGTATTGCTGTACTTAGTATTTTTTTACGTTTGAATACTGTACCTTTCAAGATGAAAGGAACTTTTTGCGCAACGTCGTGTTGCTTTTCCGAGGCTGGCGCTATCGGGAACCGCAGACGTTGATCAAATAATTTACAAAACAAGCGCTAAAAGGAAGCGTCCCCCCTCCATCCCCTAGCGATGACGCCGTTGCTTGTGACGTCACGTCATCGTGCATATTGCAAACGTCGCATCATCGCTCATCAAAGACACTTCCCCCCCATGTCGGAAAGCGTTACGGAATGTGTGTGCACACGCAAGATCAGTTCCTCCTTGTGTGTACATGCGCGGCGCTGTCACCACGCAGTGCTCAGATTGGGTGCTCTTCATCTCCCACGTCCGTGTGAATTGTTCACGCGCCGCCTTTGTGTCCGAGACGACTCGCGGGCAGTTTCCGCACAAGATGTTCACGCGCAGGGGGCAGGGTTTATGGGTAAACGAGTCCCTTGCTCGCAGTGGAGTCGATGTTACAGGGCAGCTTGGAGGCTCAGTCTCTGCTGCCTGACGTGAAATGAAGGGGTCTACAAACATTACATTGGTGACATACTGAGATAGTAACAGGCACGCGCTTATTGTCCGCGCTCCACCCAGTTACTGAGGGGTTGCGCAATCAGAGGGGAGGCTGAGCTCGTCGCTGCCTCACCTCTCGTCTCTTCCTGTACTTGCAGCGGAGCTCCGCAAATTTGGCGATTTTGACTATAAAAATCATTGGAATCGTACAGAAATGACATTTATAACACAAATAATTGGAAAAATCCTAATATTTATTTCATTTGATTGTTCTTCATTTTTACTTTTCGTAACAGCTATTTTCATTGGAGTATAACAGGTGAGGCTCTGCCTCCCCTGCCTCCCCTGACCGCACGTCCCTGCCGTATAGCCTTAACAGACTTGGAGAAAATGCGAGCACCGATGAAGGTCGGCACGCCAGACGAGGGGGTGGGTGTCCAACACCACGCCCGGCCATCTTTCTCTCCCCAATAGCGATGTTTACACACCTCGCCAGGTACTCATTTGAGGCTGAGTCGACCTAGAGGAGCCCCAGGACCGGTTCAGACAATCATCACTGGTGTTGATGGCCGTGAGCGGGAATCGAACTGGGTTTGCCGGGTTGGTAGCGCAACGCACCTCACCAGGTACTCATTTGAGGCTGAGTCGACCTAGAGGAGCCCCAGGACCGGTTCAGACAATCATCACTGGTGTTGATGGCCGTGAGCGGGAATCGAACTGGGTTTTGCCGGGTTGGTAGCAACGCGCTAAATGCTCCACCACCGTTCTGTCACTCTCACTCTGACTCGCGCGCGTGCAGAGAAAGTCGCCATCAAACTCCTGGACAAGTCGCGCATGGACGAGCGCACGCTGCGCCTCCTGTCGTGCGAGATCCTGGCCATGGAGCTGCTGCGCCACCCCAACGTGGTGCGCCTCTACGAGGTGGTGGACACCCCGTCGCGCCTGCACCTCGTCATGGAGTACGCGCCGGGCGGGGAGCTCTTCACGCGCGTCTCCACCGTGGGGGCGCTGCCGCACGACGAGGCCAAGCTCGTCTTTGCCCAAATCGCGGCCGCCGTCAAGCACATGGTGAGGAGGGTAGGGGGTGACGGTGATAGTGGCGGGGAGCACTAGTGTTGTGGTGAGCGCGCTGCGCTACGAACCAGGAGATCCGAGTTCGATTCTCGCTCACGGCCAACACCGGTGGTGATTATCTGAGACCGGCTTGGGTCTCCCCTTGGTCGACTCAGACTCGAATAAGTGCCTGGTACGGTATGTGAACATAACGACTAGGTTTGGCTGCCTTCTCATCCTGGCTTGGTCGAGCATCGCCCAATCACGAGATGCCTCCAATCGCTTCAGCATGCTAAATCCATATAGTTGTCCATTTCCTCATGGAGGTACTCCGCCAATTAACCACCCACCCACCTGGTAACCTGATCATTCAATAACGTAATCGAGCAACTTTGACCATTAAAATACTCTTGCTCACGTCCAGATGAACTTGTTTCGTCCATGTTTATCCGTGAGTGTATATTGCGAGCTGGACCAGGTAAAGTACGGGACTGAAATGACCTCCGAAACGAATTTTTTGAGAGAGGAAGGCAATTGAGTGCATGATGTGACATCACTGGAATTGCTTGGAAACACATTATTCTCTTGTATGATGGATTGTCGGTCTCTCACGCTGACTGGGGTCTACACCCAGATGTGTGGGCGCTTTCCAGACATCCTTTGTTTCACCTTGTAACAAAATAATTTCTTATATACATACACAGTACAGCCAGCCGGCTTCAATAGGCGCTTGCTAACAACCCTTGCCCCCCCCCGCCCTGTGTGTGTGTGTTTGTGCAGCACGAGTGTGGGGTGGTGCACAGGGACCTGAAGGCTGAGAACGTGTTCTACGCTGGCAACTGCTGGGTCAAGGTGGGAGACTTTGGCTTCAGCACCACGGTCACCCCCAACGAGAGGCTCAGCACCTTCTGCGGGTCCCCTCCGTACGCCGCCCCCGAGCTCTTTCGAGGTTTGTGAAGAGTTCAGCACCCTGTGTGACTGTGGGTTTGTGTGACTGTGGGTTTGTGTGTCGGAGTGGGGAGTGGCAGCGTAGCAGTCAGCGCTACGCTGCGCTATGAACCCAGCGACCCGAGATCGATTCCCACTCACGGCACCAACACTAAGTGACTGTTATCTGAATGGGTCCTGGGCCTCCTCTAAATGGACTCGGTCTCAAATGAGTACCTGGTGCAGTGCATAAAAGCATCGCCACTGGGGAGACAAAGGCAGTCAGGCATGGTGCTGGCCACCTACTCCCTGGTGTGCCGTGCCGGCCTTCATAGGTGCTATTCGCTAACAGCACTTGCCCTAACAGTCTGTTAAGGCTATACGGGGGATCGTTGTCGTTGGTGTGAGTACCTGTGTGTGTGTGCAATCGCGGTTGCTTCCCTTCCAACAAGCAAGCCAGCATCAGGACTCAAGGTAAGTGAAAATGTTTATGTACAAAACAGTATTTATTACATGCTTCCCTTTTTTGTTCAACCTTAAACACATTTCATTATATTGACCATATGGGCATTGTGTTCTGACTTACGAACCGTTCGACTTATGAACGGGTGTCAGGAACAAAGTATGTTCGTAAGTCGAGGCTTGCTTGTACTCATTTAAGGCTGAGTCTGCCTAGAACTGCTTCAGATAATCGCCACTGTTAGCCGTGTAGAATCAAACTGTTTTACCGCTCCGTACACACACACTCGTACAAAAGGCGCGAGCGCGCGCACACTCGCGCGTGTGCCACTAATCGCTTCGCTCTCCCTTGCTCTGTAGACCAAAGTTACCTCGGCCCCCAGGTGGACGTGTGGGCATTGGGCGTCCTCCTCTTCTTCATCGCGTCTGGGACTCTCCCGTTCCGCGCCGACACGGTCGGGAAACTTAAGCTCAGTATCCTCGACGGCTGCTTCTCCGTGCCCCTGCGGGTGCCTGCTTCCTGCTGCAACCTCATCACCACCATCTTGAGGCCCTTGCCGGATGAGAGGCCCACGGCCGCCCAGATCCTGCGCAGTGAATGGCTTCGGGGCGTCCAAGCCCCCGAGCCCTACCCGCCTTACCCACTGGGGCCCAGGTACCTCTTACAGGAGGACCCGGAATGCATAAGGGGGGCGGCAGCAATGGCTACTGAAGAGGTGGTCCCAGTGGATGCTGAGAGGGTGGCAGAAGATCATCGAGCCGTGGAAGTAATGGCGGACGACTCTAGGGTGGTGGCAACGATGGTTGACGATGCAAGGGGGGCAGCAGTAATGACCGGTGAAAGGGCGGCCAAAACAGAAGTTAGGAGGACGTTAGTAATGCCTGGAGATACAAGACAGAGAGGAGTAATGGCCGCTGAAGGTCCAGACACAATGGACACTGTGAGAGCTGCAGTCATCGCGACAGACACGACTACCAAAGAGGCGGCCGTGACAGACTCAGGAGTGGCGGCACCAACGCCTACCACTGACACAGTGGCTACAGAAACAAGACTGGGGGTCACGGCAGGCTCCGCAAGAACCGTGCCTTCCCCCTTATCCTCCTCTCTGCCGCCCTCCTGTTCTCTACTCACCGAGGAGCTGCTCGAGGTGCGCGAGCTGCTCGAAGAGCTGGGGATAACGAGCGACGTCGTAAGGAATAACGGCGATGATGGCGACGCCCGCAGCTGCGTGACGGGGACGTACCGCATCATGCTGCACCGCGTGCAGCGCCGCCGTCGCCCCGAGGGCCCGGTGTTCCCCGTCCTCGCCGAGGAAAGCTGCCGGACCTTGCCCAACGGCATTGGCAGCGACGGGGCGGCAAGCGGTGGCGTGGCCGGCGGGGTGGCGATGGCAGCAGGGATCGCGTTGGCAGCAGCGAGGGCCGGGGGACGGCGGCTTTACCGCGACACCCGTAACCGCGTGGCCGTAGCCCAGCGGTCAAAACTGTGCGCTATTTTGTAGTGCGGGGGGGTGGGTAATGTCGAGATGGAGAGGAGATGGAGGAGAGCCTGGGTGGCACAGCTGCGAGTTGGAAAGGGCTCCGAGTTTAAATCGTGAATGGAAGTGGAATCGTTTTACTCATTGAGGATGTTGCTAGCAGTGGTTGTGGTCATTTTGAAAATGATGAAAGGATGCTGCAACTGAAGATGGTACCGATGATGATTCTGCTACTGCTGGCGGTGGTGGGTTGAGATCTCTGACCAGAATTATATTTTGTGACCTTCCGATTGTGAGTCAAGCACTTGGACCAGAGCAACACTCGGGCAGACATTGCTACTAAAGAGATTATACGTTGCTGTATACATCATTACTTGTCAATTGTTGTCCAAGTACACAACTTTGCCTGTAACAGCATTTACAGGAGCAGTCTTCATTGTTCGGGGTCAAGTGAGGACTTATTCTGTTTGAATTCAGAGACTTATTGGATTGCATTTCTAATATATGCAACCTTTTTTGACCTCGGTAAAAAAAACATGGCTGGACACTAATTGCAACATTAAATGCGTCAGTCGTAGGTGAGGAGTGAATGTGTTCGGCGAGTGACTGTAGGTGTGGAAGAGTGTCCAGTATCATGGACTGTTAGCCGTCTTAGGTGAGTGTTGAGTGGGGACTGTTGTGAGTGGAGAGCGTTTAGTCGTGTGCTGTTTAACGAGGCTCAGGTGAGTGGTATTTGGTGAGTAAAAGCATCAGCAGCAGAGGGGGCCAGACTAGCACAGGGGTTGGGCCAATGGGGTGGGGGAAACACGAAAGGAGCAGGGCTGGGAGGGGAGGGGTGTATCTAATGGGGAAGAAGCACCCCATTTTAGGACAGGCTTCCACCGAGTTATTACAAGAGATTATATATTATTTGGATCTTTGGGTAAAGCCATGTAGATAGAATAATAAAAAATAATATCACGACGTTTCGATCGCAACACAAGCAATCGTCACCAGGTGAAAAATATAGCGGGAGAGCTGCTGAGAATATATGGTGGGAGCACTGCTAAGGCAGGGAGTTATAAGGTTTGAGATGGGTGTCAGTGGGCGGGGCTAGAGAGGGGCCGTCCATAAATGACGTCACGCACCTAGTGGAGGGGGGGGTCAGACATTTGTGACGATGTGTGACGAGGGAGGGGGGTTGAGAAATGTGAAGTCACATCTAAATGCGCAACTTTAAATAAACATAGACAACACGTTCTACTTAATGAAGTAGACTTTTTAATAAATGTTTTCTCCTACAACATCAGAGTGCAGCGGCACATTAAATACGCATTACAATGACAACAGTTTAAAGCGATTTGAAGAATGTTTGATTTTTTTGGGGGGGAAGGGCAAATTTGTGACGTCATATTTGAGGGGGGGGGGTCTGACTTTTTGTGACGCCGTGTGACAATGGGGGGGGGAGGGGCAAAAATCGTCCAAAATCGCGTGACGTAATTTATGGACGGTCCCAGATAAAATTTGATTTGCATGTAAATGTAAGATCAGAGAAATTTTGACAAACGAAGCTGTGGGGGTGGCCATTGTATTGTGAGAGATTAGCATGTCAATGTAAGAGATTTGCTTGTAAATGGAAGTTCGGAATGATTGGAAGGACGTTATTAACCATGATGTTCCCTCCCTACCTCCATATATTAGCAGTTATTTTGAACTCTCTGAGTTACATTCACTAACACAGCCACCGTTAGCCGTATTAGTAAATGGCGGCTTGCCATCCTTTTCCACCTCCATGTAGCGATGCTCTTGCCGAGCTCTCTCCGAGCTGACATTTACAAGCAAATATCTTACATGGACATGCTAATCCCTCACAATACAATGGCCACACCCACAGCTTCGTTTGTCAATATTTCTCCGATCTTACATTTACATGCAAATTTAATCTCTCGCCCCGCCCACTGACCCTTGGGCTACACCCATCTCAAACCTTTATAACTCCCTGCCTTAGCAGCGCTCCAACCATATATTCTCAGCAGCTCTCTCGCTATTTTTTTCACTTGATGACGATTGCTTGCGTTGCGATCGAAACGTCGTGATATTGTTATTATTTTTATTATTTGTTCTATCTACGTGTCTTTACTGATAGACCAAAAGAATATGAATTCCTGCAGTCACGAAAGCTTTAAGTCAAGAGATTATATGTTAAATATACATTTTACAATGCAGCATTTATAACGTCATGAATATCGTCATCTATTTATGGTTATGATTTAGTCGTGCTCATAACGCTTGATTCACAATTAGGCAACCACCATCCCAATGTGGGAAGTGCTTGTCCACTTCGGCCTAAGATAGGCAATAACAATCACCTGATATTTTAACAAATTGTTTTAAGAGATTGTATTAAGTGTTAAATATTAACACGACTTTTTAGAAAGTATATATTGTATAGCTGAAAGCTCATTAAGAAAAAATCAAAAGTTTTGCAAATTTATAAGTATTTTAAATATGAATGTTAATCTGTAATGTTCATTAATAGCAATTACATGAAATATGCCAAAGATCTGGATTTCTCTTCCGATGAAAAAACCCCGTCATCCTATACAGAACCCCCATCTTGTCCGATAGACCCATCATGTTTGATACAGAAGCATAATTTCATCGAATATATACTCGCATTTGCACCCGATACAGAACCGTACAGCTCATTCAACACAGAAAACCTTTATCCAATACGGTGAACGCTCATCTCGTCCGTGAGAAAACTTGTCTCATCCTATACAGGACTACAACACATTCGCTTGAATAAAAAAATATAACTTTATTTTTAATGTTGTGGATTTTTTGCCTTCTTAATGGCATATTCAAAAAAGCACACAAAAAACGCCCATTCACCAACACATGACAGCCCCACACCTCAATTAGCCCTGTGCTCTTCCAAAGGTCAAACAATGCCCACAAGGGGTTGGTGCAGCACACCAAGATCATAAGTAGTGAGCCTCGTAACTGGATGCGCTCCAAGGTGGCTGGAAGGTGTCGGAACAACAAGGTGGGTCTGTGAAATTATCTGTGCATACCTCGAAGTGTTATCATCTCAAATGCTTGCTGGGATCTCTCTGGGAACTCCGGTTTTCTTCCACACATAGGAGAAAATGTACTCAAACATGGAATTCGTCACATTGTACGTACGACCAGCTAAAAAAGTCCTCATACTTGGGCTTTGCCGGTTAAATTAACATTTTATATTCACTATCCAAGTGGGTTTTGTCCATGCACAGTGTTGGCTTCATGAGTGCTTGGAGCTGGGATTGCCAAGATTCTCATTAAATCGGAAACCACATGAATGATCTATTTTATTCTGTGCCATCATCAACCACGCAACACATGGATTCATCACGTTGCCGAGACTCGTATCGAGCAGCGCTGGCGTGGTGTCGCTGACATGGCCATTATAAATTCACTGAGAGACGAAATCCAGGGCTTGAACTCCAGACCTGTGTGCCTCAACCTGGCTATTTTTTCTGTTACTTTTCTCTGTACAAGGTCTATAATGGCTGTATCTAAGACAATTCATCGGCAGCACTGGGGTACTGGGTTTGAGCCCTGTCTCTAAGGAGGACTCAATGGCTTTGTCAGACACTGAACCAGCACTTCTCCAATTAATTTCATTTCATTTGATCGGCATTAAATATTTCAATTTTCTGGTTGAACTTCACTGCCTACTCCGTCTCTACTCCACGGCCTGCCCCTTTTTCCACCCCTGACCCTTACTCGACCCCTGCCACTGCCCCTCGTCCTTGGCCTTCCCCTGCCTCTAACTCCAACGCCTCTCACTGCTTCTACACTTTGGTCAATGTCAACAACACTTTCACCTTCATGCTTACCACTACTGCCCCCATCATCCCCAAGACTATCTTCATCCTCTCCACAACGAATATCACCACCCATAACATGAACACCATCACGACCATGGCCACAATCAGGACTATGACCAGCAGCACCATGGCGACCACCATCTCCATTCACCTCAGCACCATCAACACCTCTACTTACATCAACATTGCTACCCCCATCATCCATGCTGCTCCTCTCGACAGCCTTCCTCCTACCTCTACCCCTGCCCTTTCCCCTGCCTCGGCCCCTTCCCCGAATGCTGCCCTCTCCTCCTCGATCGCTTGGCCTGGTCCCACGCCTGAAGAATTCTGAATCCTGGCACAGTAACGGAGTCGTCGCCAGAATGGCCGGAACCGTGAAAGTCGCCAAGAAGCGACGACGCAGGCACGCGTAGGAAATGTCCTCCTCCCTCCTCCACTGCCGGTCTCTGGGGCCCAGCGGGCCCTGGGATTGGTGGCGGTCGAGGCAGTGGTCAGTCTGTCTGAAGTTCTGTGCAGGATCCACAGCCCCGAGAGAAAATGGCAACGAATTCCCAGCACTGACACCACCCTCAATTCCTACAATGGGTGACTTTTCCTTGATAAGTGGCGCCATCGGCGATGGTGAGGAAACATGCACACGGTTGTTGTCAACATTGCTGCTGCTGCTTATGATGGCGGTTGTGGTGGTGTTGCCATTAACGTTGCTCAGTTCTCCTAGAGGAGGTTGCTGTTGTGCATGTGGTTGCTGTTGCTGCTTCTGCTGCTGGAGGAGCAGAGTTTGTCGGCGTTGGAGGAGAGTTTTGAGGGCACGGAGAGTGACGGCACAAGGTGGCAGGTAAGAACACGGAGGAGTGGAAGAACGAGGCGGAAGAGGTGCAGAAAATGGAGGAGCAGGAGGAAACGAAAGTGGAGGGAGTGATGAGGACAGTGATGAAGTGATTGAAGACACGAGTGAAGATGTGACTGAAGGCAGTGGGTAGGATGGAGAGGGCAGCGAAGAAGCAGCCATCGAAGTGAACGAAGTTGGTGGAGAACTGACGGAAGATGGCAAAGGAGTGGCCACCAATGGCAACGAGGAAGTGACCGAGGGGGGCAATGAAGACGCCGAAGCGAGATCCGGTGAAACCAGTGAACGGCTGATTGAAGAAATGACTGCACAAGCTAGAGTTGAACTCGGTGAAGAATCAACCACAGAAGCCAGCAAGTTACTGGCGAAAGAAGGAGCCGCTGTAGAAGCCATCGAGGCAGTGACTGGAGAAGCCACCAAATTAGCTACCGGGAAACTTTCTGTGCAAGCGACTGCAGCGGTTAGTGAAGAGTCAGACGATGAGCCACGCATGTTCAACTGGGCCATCCAGGTTTCTATGCTGCGTTCATCATCACCATCTTCCTCATCCTCGTCGTCATCAGCATCGTCATCATCAAGGGATGGGACCCTACCCCAACTCCACACGGAACCAGGTGTCTCGGACCGCTCGTCCCTCCCTCCAAAAAGCAACCACGCCTCCTTCAGAGCACTGGCGGCAGAGGGGGTGCTGGATGCGAGGCTCCTGCTGGTTGTGGAGGCGCTTCCAGATACGTGGATTGCACTGGTAGCGGGGGTTCCGGATATGAGGGTCATGCTGGCTGGGGAGGGGATTCCGAACATGCGGGCTGTATTGGATGAGGAGGATCTGGATGTGAGGGATGTGATTGCCGGAGTAGTTCCGGATATGTGGGTTTTGCAGGCAGGAGTGGTTCCAGACGCGAGGGTTGTGACTGCAGTAGTGGTTCCGGATGTGTTTGTTGCGATTGCCGGAGTGATTTCGGACGGGAGGGTTGTGGTTGCAGGAGTAGTTCTGGATATCAGGGTTGTATTGGCAGCAGTGGGGGTTGAAATAGGTGTAACTATTGGTCCGGTAGTAACCAGTGGTTTAACTGCTAGTCCTGTAGTTAGTGGTGGTGCAACTAGCAATTCTGCATTGAGTAATGAAGTAACCAGTGCCCGGGTATCGACTACCCGTGTGGCTGCTGATCCTGCAGTAGCTGGTGAATAAACTATCGGTCGGGTACCACCCGGTGGCGTGGTAACTATCGTAGTAAATACCGCAGTAACTGATGGGCCTGGACAAACTGGTTGTCCTGATGTAATGGCTGGTCTCATAACCACCGACCTTGGGGGAACTAGAGTGATGCCACTTGCATGTGGTATAGATCTTGCGGCAACTAGCGGCTTAACCACTGATTCTGCCGAAACATTAGACGTCTTACCTCGAGAAGAAATTACTGGTTTCCCACCAACCAACGAGAAGACCATTGTTCCTGGTTTAACCGATGATCTAGCACTTGAAGTCGGCTTAACCACTGTTGACCCACCGCTAACTACGGACCTTAGGGGCGTGCCGTCGCTAACTAGCGAAGGAACCAGCGGCCTGGGTAGAAATAAGGTGAAGGGATGATTTGATGAATTCCCAGCGCCTAGAGAAAGAGGTTTTGGTGACCCTCCTTGTTCAATCCTGAGCGATGTAGGGGCTATAGGGGTCAGAATCACAGGCAGTGGCTGTTGGGAGATGGAGGTGGCCCGGGCAAGAAGAGCCCTCACCGACTGCCTTTGTGGGAAGCATCGCACACCGGCTGCAAAGAGACGCACAGACAAACGTGAACATTTCAGTTGAGACAAGATCTGGCCTCCTCGTGGAGCCAAGTCTCAATCAAGACTCTGATCTTGAGACCCAGTCTCCCACATTCAAGACTTTTGCGACCAATATAATCCATGAGAGGTGTTTTGGGCGAGATCGTGTAAATATAAAAGTGCCTGATGAGGCTGGTTGTAATTCCCGGCGAAACGTAATACTCGAATTGTAAATGTTGTGGGTTTACTCTCCAACACACTGGTGTGCTGAACTAGCAACTAATTGTTACAGTTTGATTACGTGACAAAGCTAACTAATTGGCTGTCGGGTGGTGGCGAGTTTGACGACACATTTTTATTTACGAGATCTAACCCATAAAACCTCTATTATGGATCATTCAAGAATCTCATCCAAAAACCCCAGTCTCCTGGTCGAGAGTCTCAATGAAGACTCTGGTCCTGAGACTCGGTCTCATTGCGTGGAGTCTCAATTAAGACTGCAGTTCTGAAACCCAGATTGCTAAATAGTTGAGTTTATTAAAATATATATTTGTAAAAGGCTTACCTTGTGTCAAGGTAGCTTTTGCAGTTCTCTGTGAGAAAAAATAATAATAATTAGAAATGTGTCTAGACAAGATGAATACAACTAGCACTGTTATTGAAGTAAATGGCTCTTGAAATCTTACCAGGCATGGCAGCTTTGTCATTTTGAGCCCCAATTGTTTTTCATTAATCATCCGAAGGCAGCCGACACGGTCTATTGCAAAAACCTGACACGACATTGAGAAAACAAAAAAACACAAAAGTCAAAGTCTCTGCTCGAATGAGCACTGGTGGTGTGCGATCATTACGGCCAGTGGAAAAACATTCTCTCATATGGGTTCTCAAGGGGGGCAGAGCCATACAGAGATATGCTGAGAAGCGCTGATCTGCACGGCTGGACCCCACCAAGAGGAAGAAACCGATTTGTGGTGGCAGTGGGTGCTGCCTGGCTGTGATATTTGACAACGATGCTATCGATGATAATGATGATGCTTGTACTGATCATGATGATCACTCTGCAGCTAATGTCCATAATGAGATGCTGCTATCTATGGTTCTATTAATGATGAGAATTGGTCCCCAACCCAGATTTGAACTCGTGACCTCATTGAGCCCCATCCAACTTAAGTGAAAACTGGCCTCACAAACTAATGATCTCCAAACAATGCTTTTAACACAACTGCCTTTGTACTTCTGTAAGAACAGGCCATTATTACCAATGGGTTGTCTTACTTCTAGGTCCTACTTAGCCATGAATACCTGGAGCAGCAGCTCAAAGATGGACTTTGTATTCAGGTTGAGACGGCCCATCTTCTCTCCCAGCACGTCAGCTGTGGAGACAAGACACGATGATGATGATGGTGGTTGTGGTGAAAAAGGAAATTGTGGTGATTGAAATGGTTGTAATTGTGGTGATGGTGGTGGTGATGGTGGTGATTGTAGTGGTAGTAATTGTGGTGATGGTGGTGGTGATGGTGGTGATTGTAGTGGTAGTAATTGTGGTGGTAGTGGTGGTGATGGTGGTGATTGTAATGGTTGTAATTGTGGTGATGGTGGTGGTGATGGTGGTGATTGTAGTGGTAGTAATTGTGGTGGTAGTGGTGGTGATGGTGGTGATTGTAATGGTTGTAATTGTGGTGATGGTGGTGGTGATGGTGGTGATTGTAGTGGTAGTAATTGTGGTGGTAGTGGTGGTGATGTTGGTGATGGTGGTGATTGTAATGGTTGTAATTGTGGTGATGGTGGTGATTGTAGTGGTAGTAATTGTGGTGGTAGTGGTGGTGATGGTGATTGTAGTGGTAGTAATTGTGGTGGTAGTGGTGGTGATGGTGATTGTAGTGGTAGTAATTGTGGTGGTAGTGGTGGTGATGGTGATTGTAGTGGTAGTAATTGTGGTGGTAGTGGTGGTGATGGTGATTGTAGTGGTAGTAATTGTGGTGGTAGTGGTGGTGATGGCGATTGTAGTGGTAGGAATTGTGGTGGTAGTGGTGGTGATGGTGGTGACTGTAGTGGTAGTAATTGTGGTGGTAGTGGTGGTGATGGTGATTGTAGTGGTAGTAATTGTGGTGGTAGTGGTGGTGATGGTGGTGATTGTAGTGGTAGTAATTGTGGTGGTAGTGGTGGCAGTGATGATTAATATGAGCAATTTAAACTTCTCACCAAGGCTCCTTGCCGATGTTGCTAGCTTGTGAGATGTACACACAACCGTAGCGGTCTTGCCTTTAGCAGCGGTTGCTTCCGGAGCAGCTGCTGTCTCTTCAACACTTGCCATTTCTTCAATGGTTGTTCGTTTGGCAGCTGTTTCCTGCGATTCAACTGTTGTCTGCGATTCAGGCTGTGTGTGGGAAACGGTTGCTGCCAAGTGCTTCCATTGCTTCATCTCCAGAGAGATCTTGTGATCAAGGCTGCACCCTCGACCCCTAGGACCCCGTGAACCCCGACCCCGACCGAGACCACGAGGCTCAGAAATCTGCCAGGACAAAAGGTCAAGAGTTCAAATAAACAAATATATGTCAGCCAGCAAATGAGTGTGTGAGAGAGAGTATACGAGTGACTATTTGGTTCTTTCGGTAAAGTCACGGAGAAAGAAAATAAATCAAATAATTCCTGCCGTCACGAAAGCTTCGAATCTAGTTCGTATAGTGAGTGAGTCAATGAGTAATTTAATTATACAACTGAGAAGATAGTTACGTTGTTTAGGCGAGCCGGTGAACGAGTGAAAGATTTATTACATGACTGAGTGAGTAAATTAATAAGTGGGGGAATTATTTAGAGTGTAAGTCAGTATTTGGGCAGGGTGAGTGGGTGAGTAGCGGGCATGAGTTATTCTCACCTCTCTCAGTTGAGTCCCTTCATCGTTCTCTTGAAATGCTGATCAAACAGACAACAATCACTTAATTATTAAGCAGCGACACCCTTCACACTAAGCAGGAAACATTGCAATAACTTAAAACAGAATAATAATATTCACAATTAACACATACACATTGCATTTCAATCTTGACTTCAAGCTTTCGTGACTGCAGGAATTTCTAATTCTTGGGTCTTTCGGTGAAATCATGTAGATAGGTTCAAAGAAAATAACAAAAAATAACAAAAAACTACGACGTTTCGATCGCAACACAAGACGTCGTAGTTTTTTTGTTCTTTTTTGTTATTTTCCTTGAACCTATCTACGTGACTTTACTGTAAGACCCAATAATGACATTTGAAGTTACACAAAGGTTTAAAAAGTAAATGCAAACACCGCTCAATTGATTAAAAATCAAGTTAAACATTAAAAATAAATAACTAAACAAAGTATTGTTTTTAAAATTAAATTTTCATTAAGATATGAACACATTATTTTATCTCATGACCACATTTCACATCACATTTAAGCAGGTGTTGAACCTGGATGATGTGTGGACGGGTGACTCCAAACGCAGGCCAGGAATAGGGCTGATCGGTGGCCAGAAGGCAAGCCGAGTGTAACCCCATGTACACAAGCCAAACACTCATTTACGGAACTGGCCAAACATCCCAGGATAAAGAGTATTGAGACCTCCGCAAAGCTTTCCTGGGTAGACAGCTAGCACTTGTTATTTAGCCTTTGACCTCACCGACAGGGTCGGAGGTGGTTGGCATCACCCAAGGGTTGGGATGCAGCCACAGATCGATGCTCGGGACGCAGAGCGTCGTTTTCCTGGTTGAACTCCCCGCCACTCCGCCCGGCAGCAGCTTTGCGCGTTCATCCTGAACAAACAGAATTCACTTTTTTTAACACAATAGTCCCAAGTGATTTCCTGCTCAAGCGAGCATTGAGGTGGCATTCATCAACCGGTTTACAGCCCTGAGCCAGTGGTGTAAATTCCACGTTCCTATGGTGGGTGGTGAGTCTATCTGTAGGACAACTGTTGACTTACCCACAGTAAATAAACTCATTCATCAATAGCACTACCATAAAATAAAATAGATGACGTTTCAGGTAATGGGCCTTTTTCACAAGAAATTTAAAGAGCAGATTGGTACTATTTTATCGACCCAGGAGGAATGATGGGCTGTGGTTCCTCATCACACGAGGATACACAGGCAAGCAGGAAGGCAGCCACGTGATGAGCCTGTGCCAAAAAATTGCCCAATCTCTGCGGTTCTCTATATATTAAGGTGCCAATTCATTAACTCGCATGTGGAAGGAAACCGGAGCACCTGAAGAAAAACCATGTGCATTAGGAGGAAACACGATGCCATCCAGACGGAACAGGTGGAGTCCACATTGTCGCTGTACCGCCTTCTCCTGGCGGGCCAGGGTATGGCACCTTCTCGACAACGACGGCAAAGGAGTTTCACAACATTTGGGAGTGTTATCTCCTTATTTGTAAGCATGGGTGTTCTCCAGGTACTCTGGTATCATGCAACGCAAAACAAAACACTAAATAAAAACTAAATTAGTGTAACATCCCATTGGAGGTCACTCCTGAAGGAGTCTTGAGACTCAGTGAGGCTCTCCTGAACAAAGGACATCGTGTTGCATTACGACGACCACCACTAACGTTATGAACACAACATACGCAACCGCGGATACGTGTACCTCGTGGTGTCGCGATGCACTTTTTTGTTTGTTCGAAGCATCCACCACGTCGTCAACCTCATCAGCATCAACGTCGCTGTCGGACCGCATTTCAACAGATGATGATGGCGATAACGGTGGCGATAGCGAGGATGACAGCGAAGACGGTGGTGGAGATGGTGGCGGAGTGGAGATTGTGTAGGCGCTTCGATGCCTCTTCCACCGTGTTTTCCGCCCTCCTGCTCGGCGTATTTTGACTGCAGGTATCTCCTCCCCGTCCAGACTCGGCGAAGCGGAATTCTTGCGCTTCCTCGACGATGGATCAACTCTGAGAGACTGAGACACACGCAAGGAGACAGGGAGCTTTGATGGCTAGGATTGGTGGATCACACAGATCTATAAAACTCCCCAATGTGCTTGGGCAATGAGGTGGATATGAGATGGCGGCACAAGTGGGCTGATGAACAGAGACACAGATACAGACTTATCTTTAAGTGTATGGCTGATTTTGTTTGATCCATAAGCATATATAAAAATAAATAAGCTTACAACATGTCAGCTTCACATATTTGTCTCTCCACATAAAATATAAAAGGCTTACTTACACACTCCATTGGCCCAACGGCCTTCTGGGAATGCTCAACTTCAGCAGATTTAGTACAAGCAAACTCGGTTTCGACATACAGTGTATCACCAGCAGAGCCAGGCTTGCTTGAAACAAATGCTAGTGAACTGCCAGCAGTGGTTCCCAGAAGGCCGTTGGGCCAATGAATTGTGCAAGGAATACTTTAATTTGTTAGTGGAAATACAGATTTATGAAGGAGACATCGTCCCCTAATCTGGATTCTCCACAACAAACGCGTATTATTATTTTGTGTTACGCAAGTATATTTGTGTTTGTGTACGTGCGGTGTGATGCAAGTAACACTTCAACGAGATAACAAAGCTCATGAAAGGCAAGAACAAGATGTTAACTACCTCGCTTGGTATACAGGCCATGGGTTCGATTCCGACCCTAACATCTATATATTGGAGTTTGCATTTTACCCCTGTGGTCACGTGGATTCTTCTCCAGGTCATCCGGATATTCCCTCCACATTTAGGAACATGCGTTTTAGAGTATTTGACTGCTATACATCTCCACATGATAAGTCACTTCGTTGAGCTATCATTTGTGGCTAGGTCGCTTCTGAACAAGAGCTGCGCTATAAACATGGTGGCCCGAACTCGATTCCCGCTCACGGCCAACACCAGTGACAACTGTCTGAACCAGTTCTGGGCCTCCCCTAGGTCAACTCTGCCTCAAATGAGTACCTGGTACGGCATGTAAACATCGCCACTAAGGTGACAATGGCGGCCGGGCGTGGTGCTGGCCACCCACCCCTTCTTGCGCCTTACCAGCCTTCATTAGGTGCTCGCTTGCAGCACTTGCCCCAAGTGTGTTCAAGGCTATATGCGTGCATGTTTGTATGTGTAGCTTGCGACCCCACTTGTTTCTCGTTCAGTCTCTTCCACCTCTTGGAGCACTGACTGTTGCTGCGTGTCCCTAAGGCCTTTGCGACGGCAGACCACTGACCTAAAGACGCGCACACAACCAACACACACACACGACATAAAACTCGCTCGGTATTATATACAAAATAACAAATACTTAAACAGGGCACAATGCAAGTTTAGTGCTCGTGATCATCGTCAAAGTGATTTCCTGCTCAAATGAACGTCTGGGAGGCGCTCATCTCCTGTTTACAGCCCTGAGCCAATGGCAGATCCTCCACATTCCTATGGCAGGGACGAGTATTTCCAAAGGACAATCGCTGTTGAATTCCACGCTAAGCGGTACAAATTTTATCGACGCTCGAGGAAAGATGGGCCCAGTCAACCTCCATTTAGAATGTTTTATTAAAACCGCAGGATTTCTAGCCGCTGACTCTACCGCTGAGAAAATTGGGCAGCAGGGCGCATAAGAACAAATATCTTAACACACAACAAACATAAAATCACGATAAGATTTGGCAAGGGGTCTCAGGGGTCAAATTTCCAGACTGGCACCACAGAGATCCTGGATATTTTCATTGTACTATCTTTTACGTCTAACTGTACAATCGGTGTAATGTCACGAAAGAGATGATTCATCTGGAAGAATAGCGCAATCCCCACCGTGAGAGACACTGGCTCGTTGAAGAACATCTCACAAAACTACTTCTGAAATTCCTTCAAGTGACTTTGCATCCACACTTGGAAGGAGAAGGGAGGGCATCACTTTTCCAAATGCCATGTTATTGAGTAAAGTTTAATGTTTCTGCAACTTAATTTGTAATTGTACTATGATTAGTTTCGGGATAATCTGCCCGAGCCGACTTTGGTTGCAGAGAGTTTATTATTTGACTTGTGTTTGTGCAGTGTTTTTTTGACTTCTCATGTGAGACGGTTGTTTTTTCTTTACGTTCTGATTTCCAATTGCTTCGTTGCTGTACTTTATTTAGTTTGTGTTGCTTTTGTCATCGTGGTGACCCAGGTTACTCTTGCAAAGGAGACTCAATCTGGTCTCTTGAGTTCTCACCCGGTTAAACAAATTAAACTTGAAAACAACTGTTCCTTAGTCTGTAGCGGGTGATACGCTGCTACCCTGTGGCAGTTCTGAATGAACACAGAGTTGTCCTGTGGTGATGAAAGCAAATTTGAGGGTATATAAAGAAATGGCACGATAATTACAACAAACGCATAAACATGACAAAACCATAAGCACATAAATAGTTAGAAAACACAAAACAAATGTCACAGGGTGAACATAAATGCAACACAATAATCATAAACACAACAATACAAACAAAATATGGAAAATGTAAATAACACAGCAAATACACACACAGCACAGGAAACATAAACAAAGTCCACTAAACATAAATACATCGCTATACACAAAGAGGACTCAATAAACAAAAACACAACACAGCAAGCAAGCAAACAACACGGTTGATATGAACCAGAATACGTAAAACACAGAAATAAACACAAATACACCACAGTAAAGATAAAAACAACAAGACAACCCCAACATCCGCGCAGCACTTCACCACGCGTACCCATGGCAAGCCCTCACCGGGTCCATAACAGTTGACCAGGCTCTGCAGGTTCTTATCTTCAACGGTGCTCCACATACCCTTGGCAAGACCGTTGGCGAGGCAGTTCACGTATCTAACATCATCACCACCACAATGTCATCGTCGTCATCATCATCATCAAAAACTGCAACAGCAGCAGTTTCACCAAAACCACTTTCATTTTCAGCAACAGCAGCAACTTCATCACGAACAACTTCATCAATTTTGAACGCAATTGTTTCAATTAGCGGCACCGTAAACATTACCGCAACATCATCAGCAACAGCATCATTCACAGTGTAATCAGTATTATAATAAACTTAAAAACGAGGTGGATGATGAGGTGGACAATTATGAGACGATTCTGTAAATAATGTAGTTGCGGCTGCTGGTGGTGATGGTGATGATGGTGATGATGGTGAATTGTCATCACCTCTCTCTGCATTGCACATCCGTGCGTTCAGGAACTTCTTTGGCAACGAGACACCAACGATCGCCGAAACGCTCGACGGCACGCAGCAGCAGCTGTCACCAACAGCACAGGGTCAAGCACACCACAGAGTAAACCAAACTGTAATCAACTACACTGCAGGGTCAACCACACTGCTGGCAAAACCACACTACAGGGTCAAAGACTCCGTGGGTCAACCACACAATAATTAACCACATCACAGAATCAATGACACCACAGGGCCAACCACACCACAGGGTCAACCACACCACAGGGTCAACCACACCTGAAAGGGGTTCAACACACACCACAAAGAGTCATCCACATGACCGTGGGTTAACTGCACCATAGTCAACCACTCACATCGTCCTCAGGCGAGCTCCAGGTCCCCTGGCGGCGCCCAGGCTTCAGCACGTTATTCCAGTGACCGCTGAGCTGAGCGGGGCTTCTGCCATCCATGAAGAACGCAACTGGAAAAACCACAAGCACACACCCATACGTACACCCATACGTACACCCTACGTGCAGACTACACATGGACACAAAGGCAATGCTCTCCCGTACAGCCCCAACACACTGTTGGGCCAAGTGTTGTTAGCGAGCACCTATGAAGGCCAACGTGGTGCACGAGGGGGCGGTATGCCCAGCACCAGGCCTGGCCGCCTTTGTCTCTCCAGTGCTGATGTTCACTCACCGCATTAGATACTCATTTAAAGCTGAGTCGACCGAGGTAAGGCCTATGGCGGGTTCATATATTCATCACTGATCTTGGCCGTGAGCGGGAATTGAACTCGGACTGGATTCGTAACCCTATGTGCTAACCACTGTGCCACCTCTGACGAGTACAGGAACACGCACACACAGACTGCATACGCACAGACCAGGCGACAGGACTCGCGAGTGGCTCATAATTGGAATATTGCGAGTTCAAATCCTGGTTGGGGGCCTATAAAATTCGTACCAAAATGTGGGGAAGTCAACAGTGGTTGCCCTATGATAAAAGTTGCTGCCCCTGCTATAGGAATGTGGAATTTCAACCACTGGTTCAAGGTTACAAACAGAGGATAAGCGCTGGAGCCTTAACTCTCATTTGAGCAGGAAATTACTTTGACGGTGTATTCATACAACTAGGCAGTTTCGGATGCATAACAATAGGATTTTGGATTTCCAAAGACAATAACCGATTTTATTTCCCTCCAGAACTTTGAATCATTTAACTGTGAATGGTCAAGTGAGCAGTTCAGTGAGTGGGCGAGTGAGTAAGTGTGTGAGTGAGTGGGTGACTGTGCGAGCGATTGAGAGAGTGAGCGAGCAAGTCTCACTGCGGGTGAAGGGATGTGAACCCCTATTGGCATGAGTGGGTGAGTGGGCGAGTGTGCGAGTGGTTGAGAGTGAGCAAACGACTCTCGCTGTGGGTGAAGGGGATGTGTACCCCGATCTGCATGAGTGTGTGAATGCGAGTGGATGAGAGTGTGCGAGCGAGTCTCACTGCGGGTGAAGGGGATGTGTACCCCTATCGGCATGAATGTGTGAATGCGAGTGGATGAGAGTGAGCGAGCGAGTCTCACTGCGGGTGAAGGGGATGTGTACCCCTATCGGCATGAGTGTGTGAATGCGAGTGGATGAGAGTGAGCGAGCGAGTCTCACTGCAGGTGAAGGGGATGTGTACCCCTATCGGCATGAGTGTGTGAATGCGAGTGGATGAGAGTGAGCGAGCGAGTCTCACTGCAGGTGAAGGGGATGTGTACCCCTATCGGCATGAGTGTGTGAATGCGAGTGGATGAGAGTGAGCGAGCGAGTCTCACTGCGGGTGAAGGGGATGTGTACCCCTATCGGCATGAGTGTGTGAATGCGAGTGGATGAGAGTGAGCGAGTGTGTCTCACTGTGGGTGAAGGGGATGTGTACCCCTATCGGCATGAGTGTGTGAATGCGAGTGGATGAGAGTGAGCGAGTGTGTCTCACTGCGGGTGAAGGGGATGTGTTCCCCGATCCGCATGGCCTCAACCAGCTGGGTGAGCGCTTCGTTCTCTCCCTCGGTCCACTCCTTGCGTCGGAACGCGTGGTTCGTCGTCTGGAACCGACTCAAGCACTGGAACGCCGTGCGATTGGTCTGAAAGGAAGAGGAGAGACGGGAGAACGTGATGAGAAAAGGGTGGAGGGGGAAAGTCCCAGATACAGCCCTTGTGAATCTCTTGAAAGATAGATACCAGGACCTAGGGCTTGAATACAGAACCTCTGTGGTGCGAGCTCAGTGACTCTGACACAACTATTTTGATGTTCTCGTGTGAGACATCGACATAGATACACCCTAACCAAGGGCTTGACAAACACCCATTACTCGGTCTTGAACCCAGAATCTCAGAAGTGCTGGCTCATCAGAATCTGAATATTGATTTATACTGGAGGAATCCGATGAGCTGTAAATCTCTTTTTCACAGCTATCCAATAACTAGTTCTTGAACCTAGGACCTCCACAGAACAGGTTCAGCGTATCTAACACACCCATAATGACTTTTAACCCCCGACCCCCCTACTCCGTCGGGTGTTCATGGCTACCCCGAGCCTGCTTGCGATGTCGCCCCACGCGTTGTGCCCGAGCTGCGAGACGAGCTTGTGCAGGGCCTTGTCCTCGTGGCTCTGCCAGCTCGTCGCGTTCACGCCTGGGTGCAGAGAGTACCTCCAGAACTTCTCCACCTCCGTGGGGCTGCGCTTGCCTGCCATCTGCTCTGCCACGCGGGGTCAAACACACACATCATCATTCGCTCAAAATACTGTCTCTGAAAGGTCCACAGGGCTGGTAGATGTGAACATGGTTTTTGTGTTTGATTTTTTTGCGTGTGACAAAACTGAATTTGTGTGTGCGCTCATTCTTGGCATGATAATTAAGGAATATAAAAACTCACGTCAAAATGTGCGATTTTGAGCCAATCGTGGCGGTCGTCCTTGTCGCCCAGAAGTTCATTTTCAGGGAGATTTCTGCAACGAAGAGGAAATAATATCACCGTCATTATTAGCCACATTACCATCATCATCAGTAGAAACATCGTCATAAGCAGCAGCACCAGAAACAACATCATCATCATCATGAGCAGCATCTTTAGAATTCCATGGTTACTAAGTATGCGCACAATGATCGTGAAAAACACTGAACTAGCACCTATAATAACATATGTTCAAGCACTGGGGTACGGGTCTCTTTCTCTCTTTCGGGATTAATAACGGCCATGTCAGGTTTCTAATAGTCATGGAAGAGACACTGAGCGAGCAACATTGAGATCCTGATTTCAAGCCCTGGGTCCGAGTGTCTCTCTTTCTCTCTTACTGGGTTAATAATGGTAATGTCAGGTTAGTACAAGCCACGTCAAACACCGAGTCAGCACCACTAAGATTCAGGCTTTTGACTCTGGGTATGGGTGCTTCTCTGTCTTTATGAGTAAATAATGGTTGTGAGATATGAAGTCAGAATCGCTGAAGCTCTGAAATTAAGCCCTCGTTTTGGGTGTCTCTCTCTCTGAGGGACTTCAACATTGGCTGTATCAGGTTCTCAGTGGTGTCACACATGCCAATAAGACAAAGGTCCTCAGTTCAAGCCCTGAATGTAGTTGTCTGTTGAGGTGCTCATCACGGGTGTGTCAGGTGCATAATGGACATGCAAGAGAAACAGAATAAGCACTGCTGAGATCCAAAGTCAAGCCGTGAATCTGGGTGTTTCTCTCCCTCCGCGGGTTCATTACAGATGTTAGGTCCATAATTGCCGTGCCACGCAAACATGTCTCTGTCCCACTCACTTCACTCTGTTTATATCCTGTTTCATGAGGTCGATGGAGCTAATAATCGCCGACTTGTCTTCATCTTCCCCCATTCTCTCCATTTTCACCTCTGTGGTGTTGAGCCTGAGCATAAGCAGATGCAGAAAGACATATACATTGTATGCCAAGTCGACTTAGTGTATGTGCTTATTTCATTTGGCATCAACGTAGGGTACTTCGCATCACACAACTCTCTACGCTTTGTCAATCCGTCAATCAAATGGCAGATAAACGCCTTCCCTTGCTGTATCAGTCAGAGGAGTTTGTTTGATTATACTTCACCACACTGTGCAGTGCTTGTTAATGAAGGGGAAGGCCCAAGATTGATTGAGATACCACCAGCCATTGATGTGAGTCGTGGCCAGAAATCAAACTCAGGCAGTGGAGTTATTAGCACAGTGCACCAACCATTGTACCACCACTCCCCCAGCTTCACATAGTATTTCGAACATAGGTCAAGGTCAAAAAGCCATCAGGGCCAATGTTATCAATCCACCACATCTTGCCATCAATTAATTCCTTCTGCCAGATTCTGCAGCTGTTACGAAGTCGAGATCTGTGTTCCATGCATCGCTCTACCATCTCACTACCACCACCTGGCTTTAGTTTATACCTTAAGCAGTTAATGCATCCTTCAAAGACTTATCTTAGCAGGCATCACCAAGAGCATCTGGTTTTAACGCTATAGGGTTATTGCTACATCATGGTATTCAATGTTGAAACAAAATGTATAGCAGTGACAACACGAGCGCTCCACAATGATGCACATGACTGTGTTTTATTGATGTCTCTTTCTTAAAACCGAAGCTTCAAACCCATGTGACACAGCCTAAGATGGGCAACCTAGATGAGTAGCTACTAGAAAAGAGTCATATGCTGTTTCGGTGCAGTATGTGTATATAAAAATATGTTGAACTTCTTTCGCACTGTTCATATCCAGGCGTGCTAATCGGAGGTGCAGGGGAAGGACAACAAACTAAACATAAAAAGCAGTTCGAGTTGACAAGAAAGGGTCCCTGACCTGGTAACCAAGGGTTGTAATCGGCGCTGCAGTGAATCCATCAGCACTGCTTGTTTTAAAGACTCCTTCTCTCGTTCAGTCCCTGAGGATGATAAAGACAAACATCATGCAAAGCCTGAGACCCAGTCATCTACACCTGAGCTTCAAAAAGTTCTGAAAGCCAGTTGTAAGATATTGATGCTGCAATTTAGTCTCAATCAAAACTCATTCAGAAACTTGCTCTCAAGATACTGATCCTGAAAGTCTGTCTCAATAAATTATTCCTGAAACCTGATCTTTTGGGAGTCAAACCCAGTCTTAAGACACCGATTTGGAAACTCTGTCTCAAAACACAGATACTGAAGCCAAGTCTCTAAAAGCTGAGTCTAACTAGAGACTTCGAACCCAAGTCCCTGTCTCAAGACACTGTATCGTGCATTTAATTACATCGACGGAGATCATAAGCATTGAAGTTCTTGTGTCCGCAGGAAGTCATGTTTTTCGTCTCAGGATTATCTGGAGGCCCCAGTCCGGAAGTAGCATCCCGGAAGTAAGGTTTCAGGAAACTGCCAAGGCGGATGTGTTTTTGGGCTGAGCGGACCATTCCGCTGGCAAGGTCCCTGTCCAAGGATTCACGCTTTAGCGCCTCCTGTGTTGATTTTTAACAAACACAAGCGCATACACATGTGGACATACACATGTATACAAACATGCAGCACCATGACCATCAGTATCATCATTATTACTATCACTATCACCCTCATGTCTCATTGTAGGCCGACTCACACTAAAATTATGTCCAACTCCAAGCTGACTCTCACCACCAGTGTCAGACCAGCTTATTAACACCATGCATTTTACAATGTCTGTCTCGTTTGTAATATATCTTGTGTTTTTTCTTTCTCATTTGTACTGTATAATTGGTAGTCTTGTTTATTCGACCTTGTGTGTAGTCCATCTCATTTGTACGGTATTGTCTGCACTGCCTCTGTCAGCTGTGCTGTTTTATCAGAAGCCTTAAATATTTTTTCATAAAATTTGCATGGACTATTATTGAGTTTCACACGCCCAATCCATTGCATGTATTGGGAACACAATACATTCCAATAAATGTAGTAATTACGACAAGCCTTGCTAAACAAATATAGCTGTATAATAACAAAAGTCTTATTTAATACTGATAAATATTTATTCTCACCCGTAAACTCAACGCACAAATGTGTAACCCACTCACTACTTGCTCACTCTCTTCGCTACGGACTGGCCAACCTCACGGTAGACTCAAATGCAAACCTGCTGGTCCCAGTTCTGCTGCAAGAGCCCATCAAGGTCCTGGAGTCGCTCCTGCAAAAGCTGCTGGTAAAGGAGGTTGATGGAGAGGCACGTGGGTGCATCCTGGGATAGCAAACCATCATCCTCGTCACTTGAGTCAGAGCCTGCATCCACTTCCTGCAGGAGACACGCCAACTTTATATAAGAGGCCACGACACTTCTTGCATCAAGCCACATCCATTTTGAATCTGTCTTTCATCTTTCTGCCAGTATCTGAAAATATCATGGAGGCTCAATAGGGGGGATCATCTACATCTGGTGTCCCAAGATACCATGCATGGGACCACTGGGTTAGCCTTCTGGGAGGGCAGGTTCTGTTTCCAGATTGGTGAAGTCTGTGACATCATGTAGCAGGCTGAGGATGAGGTATGATGGCTGGTGAACAGAATATAAAAATATATTCTGGCCTCCATTACATCCATGACAGCGATGTGATAAAAGTCCTGTGCACAGCTTTGTTTAGATGATTGTTAGTGTCGATGAGAGACGTGCTGGCCAAGTCAGCCTTTTTACAGTCTGGGTTTGTCAGTTTCGACACTAGCGAGTTATGTAAACACAGCTCTATAGTCCATCCTTGATCAACCATGTCCATGTTTTTCTTAAATAAAATCACAATCTGAAAACACACAACTCTTCTCGAGAAGCTATATACACTGGCTGTGTAAAAACGTCACATGCTTATATATCGCACTAGTGCAATTTGCAGTGATGTCAAATCGACACACTTGACCGTACCTTTAAAGTCTTTCCTCATGCACTAAGCTTTAAGCCTGTACTCAATGTTTTTTTCGGTAAAGTCACGTAGGTAGAAATAAAATAAAGTTAAACAAATTACGATGTTTCGATTGCAACACAAGCAATCTTCATCAGGTGAGACAACCACAGCAAGAAAACTGCTGAAGTGGGCGAGACAGCTACCGTGGCAAGAGGTCATTTCGGCAAGAAAGGGGGGAGGCAAGGGGGAGAAATAGGGAGGGGGAAGCTGCGTGCTAGGAGAAGTGCTGGGGGGGGGGAGTGGCCTGTGTTAGCCTGTGTTAGAAAGCCCAGGACACGCAGCCTAGGTACGCTGCGATTGGAGAATATCACCGTTTTCCTTGAAAGACTCACCCCCACCTGCAGTTGATGCAGAGTGACATTTGTGGCATCAAAATCGGAAATCCTTTGCAGGAAATCTGGAAAAAAACATTGGCATGTCATTATCCATGATACAAGGTAGATGGGAGGTTCATAATGGCCTTAAGATAAATACTCAGCCAGCACTCCTGAGCTCCTAGGATATTCAAGTATTAGGTATGGGTATCTCCAACTTTCATAATGGCTTCAATACGGATCTTAGTCACCCAAAACTAACCCAGCTGGTATTGTGTTTAATGCCTCAGTATGGTTACCAATTCTTTACAAAATAAGCTCTCAAATCAGGGACATCAATGACAACAAATGAAAATAAAATCGGCTCTTGCATGTATAAATAATTTCAGTGACAAGAGAATGAATCTTAATACAATTGTTCTTTGTTAAACGATGTCTATCTAGCGATAATGATTATCAATGGCCAACAATTGTTTAAATAAATGACATCTATCGTAAGAGGAGACCAATGTTAATGTGCCCCCTCGTGGTTGAAGCCTCAACCAAATGGAGGTAAGTAATCTCAATTAGCTCTCACCTGATTCGGATATTTTCACAAATTATACAACCTCCAGTCAAATTCATCCTAATACCACATACGGGGTAGGGCATCATTTTGTAGGTAAGTATGAATCGTTTTCAAAAGTATAACTTCATTAAGGAGTAAGTCATTGGTTTGACACATACACAACATTGAATGCACCTACATCCCAGCATGGATAAAGGTCAGTTAAACTGGAACGGTGATCTTTAATTAACATTTCCCCCTTATCACGAAAGGCCGACACGTCATTTTCAACCTGAATTACTGTTCTAATCGGTTTACATACTGTGCCCAAATGTACAGATTAATTTTAACGATTATACGAATGATTAACCACAACTTTAAAATGTCTGAAATCTACGTCCACACTCGTTAAACTGTCCTTACACCATAGGGGACGAAGATAACGGGGAATGAATCACAGTGGGATCTTACCTGGTTAACGGAGCTAAATCGTTGAAAAGGGGCCCCACATATGATACACACACATATCTTTAAAAGCACGACTTTTTTATCCCATATAAAAAAAAACACCACATAGCAACCAAATACAACTTTAAATGTACGTGTAAGCGCTCACCCCGGTTATACAAACAATACTCTACTGTTTTTAAATATCCGGGTTAAAAAAAAAAGACCGTAGATCCACACCCGACTGGGCCTACCTGTCCCGCCGCCCTCCTCGCGCGTTTCCTCGCAGGAGTCACTAGTCGAGCCCGGCTCGCTCCCCGAGCTGTCGATACGGACGCCTCTCTCGAGCAGCGAGCGCTCGATGGCCTCGATCTCGCGCCTGATCCGCTCCCTCTCCTCGGCTGCCTGCTGGTAAGACATTTCGTTTACCACGGCGGAGGGGGAAATGTCGAAGTTGTCGTGGTTGTTGTTGTTGTCGCTCTTCGCTCTCGGCAAAGCAGCCGGCCCGAGTCGCCTCGAGGCCGCCGCCCTCCGCTGTGGATGGGGGTAGGGGGGGGGGTGTTGGCAGTGGCACGCGATTTTAATTTTGTTCAAGCTTGTGTCTATAGTATGGGATCCTTTTTTTCTTGATTTATTATTTTATTTCTATTATTATTTATATTACTTATTTTTAGTTATTTTTATTTTTTACCTACGTGACTTTACCGAAAAAAACTAAGAGTATGTGACCTTTTTGTTGCTGCCAGTATCAAAGTATGAACAAAATGAAATAAGAATACAACAAGGTTTTGATTTAAAGCTTTCGTGACTGCAGGGATTCATATTCTTGGTTCTGTCGGTAAAGTCACGTAGAAGGGAAATAATAAAATAGTAAAAATATAAAACAATACAAATTCTCACGACGTTTCGACTGCAACACAAGCAATCATCAGGTGTGAAATCCACAGCAAGAAAATTTGAAAAAAGTGGCGTTATTTTTCTCAAAATTTCTTGCTGTGGATTTCACATTCAGACTCTGTCTTCTCGACAGACCTGTTCTCCACCTGAGGACGGCTGCTTGCGTTGTGGCCGAAACGTCGTGAGAATTATTTTATTGTTTAATTTTAATTATTTTATTATTTCCATTCTACGTGACTTTCCCGGAAGAACCAAGAAGATGAATCCCTGCAGTCACGAAAGCTTTAAATCGAAATTTCAATCACGACGCTTCGTGATTTAATTTATTTTAAATAAATTAAATCACGAAACGTCTTTAAATTAAATGTTTTACCTACGTGACTTTACCGAAAAAAACAAAGAGTATACTCTGGTAATATATTGCATTGTCTTAGATACTGATTGGTCAACACCAGATTCTTTATGGCCTCGTCTCACCGCCGGTGTGACACCAGAGGAGGCGAAAAGGCGACCGGTACAAGGACAATGCCAGGGCATTTGTCACGTCGATAGGAAAATAATAAAATATCACGACGTTTCGATCGCAACACAAGCAATCGTCATCAGGTGAAAAATATATCGGGAGAGTTGCTGAGGCAGGAAAAGTCACCTAGAAAGAAAATAAATTAAATAAGAAAATACATTTCATAATATTTAATTTATTTTCTTTCACGTAGAAAGAAAATAAATTAAATTATAAGATTTTTGTTTCCAGAATATTTAATTTATTTTCTTTCTACGTGACTTTACCGAAAGAACCAAAGAGTAATTCCTGCAGTCACGAAAGCTTCAAATCAACATTGTTATTGAGATCTAGATTCAAATCAACATTATTGAGATCTAGATTCAAATCAACATTGTTATTGAGATCTAGATTCAAATCAACATTGTTATTGAGATCTAGATTCAAATCAACATTGTTATTGAGATCTAGATTCAAATCAACATTATTGAGATCTAGATTCAAATCAACATTGTTATTGAGATCTAGATTCAAATCAACATTGTTATTGAGATCTAGATTCAAATCAAAATTGTTATTGAGTTTGCCAACGAATTGATGACGATGATACCCCCACCCCTCGCGCGCCATCTTGCTAAGGGAAGCGGCTCTTGCGGGGCGGGGGAAGCAGCCACCGGCGCGACGTCACCAAGACGCGACGCTAGAACCGGCGGCGTCATTCACCCCCCCTCCACCCACAAAGGTATAACCCTACCCAACATGGCCGCCGTTCTACTCGCGTCGCTTGTTGATGGCCGCCACCGTCGCTGCCGAGACATTTGGCGGGAAAAGGGCGGCCCGCGCTGTCGCAAAAGTCGAAGGCGGAATTCTGATCGATAACAAATAAACGACCGTGGGGGTTCTTTTATTTATTTAGATTCCTTCGATTGTCCGATGGATCTGAGCGCATTCGAGTCGGACAACACCGGCAGCTGCCGCGTCTCGTCCCCCGTGCCGGTGTCCTGCCTCACGGAGCCCGTGGCGCTCGGCGTGGACGAGGCGGGACGGGGGCCCGTGCTGGGTCAGTCAGTCAGCCAGCCAGTGTGAGGCTCACAGAGCCAAGCAGTGTGTGTGTGTGTGAGGCTCACAGAGCCAAGCAGTCAGTGGGGCTCACAGAGCCAGACTGTGTGTGTGAGGCTCACAGAGCCAGACTTGGGGTCTAGTGTGTGTGTGTGAGGCTCACAGAGCCAAGCAGTCAGTGTGGCTCACAGAGCCAGGCAGTGTGTGTGTGAGGCTCACAGAGCCAGACTGTGCGTGTGAGGCTCACAGAGCCAGGCAGTGTGTGTGTGAGGCTCACAGAGCCAGACCTGGGGTCCAGTGTGTGGATTAGGACAGCTAACAGGCTGCCTGACTAACAACGCCGAGGAGGTGAAGATGGTGACTAAGACTCCAGCAGCATGACGGGTTCCACTCCAAACAACAGCCCCGAACCTTGCTCAGGGTCCCCGTTTATCCACCCAGCGTGGCCTCGCTCTGCCTTTGGCCACGCACCCCTTCTCGAACCTACTAGAAGGTTCCCGGGCGTTACCTCACGTGCCCCCTCTATCACCTTTGCCCCAAAAACCGGCTTATCACGTGACCTGCTGGGAGACAGGGCTGCTCCAACAGCAAATCCCCTTCTCTGCCAGCAACCAGCGCTGCGCACCATAGTGACCCATTCCATATCACTACATCTATATAAAAAAATATCAAAGTATCCTTGCATATGTGTACTGAATGTATATTTCAATGTGCGTATCTTTTTGTGTGTTCAGGACCCATGGTTTATGGAATATGCTACTGTCTTGTCTCTAAGAAGTCTGCACTTGAAAAGATCAAAGTTGCAGGTAAGTCATGACCATACAATTCACCAACAGGTTCATAATTTCCATGGTTATAACACTTAGTTCCTGAAATCAGTTTCCTCATATTTCCCTGTGTCTCCCTTTATATCCCTGCATCTCCATGCCTCTCCCCGTGTTTCTTCATTTCTCCCTTCATGTGTCTCCCTGCACCTCCCTGTCCCCTTTCTTCCCCTGTGTCTGTCTGCACCTCCCCATTATCTCCCGTGTCCCATCCAGACTCTAAGACATTGTCCGAGAAAGAGAGGGAGCAACTCTTTGAGCAACTGAATGGGGAGGCGAGCAGTTTCGTCGGTTGGGCCCTTCAGATTCTCTCCCCAAACTACATCTCAACCTGCATGCAGAGACGGTAATAGTGGCGGTGGTGATGGTGGTTATGGTGATAAGACGATGGTGATGATGGGTCTGCCGCTGATTTGAATGACGATGATGCTGATCACGCTGCTAATGTTGATTCATGCAGCTGCCAATGATGATGCTAATGCTACCGACTACGATGATGTTTTTCAGGACTAAATACAACCTCAATGCTCTGTCTCACGACGCGGCCATCGACCTGATCCAACACGCGATTGACACGGGAGTCAATGTGCAGGAGGTGAACGTCAACAACGTCACCACCACATCGACACAATCACCAGTACAATCACCACCATCAAAACGACCATTGTGTACTGGCATCATGCTCCAAATAAAAATACTCGCAAATTGCTTAATTGGGAAACAGAAATAATTCGAAAATTTAGCAGGACCCTCCTGAAAAAGTTTTGAAGCTTAGTGATGCTTTCCTGGGTAAACATGCATAATAATAATCAGAAACATTAACATCATCAACACTGGCACCAACATAAAAACCACCAAGATCAATTTTGGTCCCATCAATACCATAGCTGCAGCAGGATCGTGAATACCATAATCACCATGGGTAATATTAGCAACATATATTCCACCATCATTCCTAATTCCATCACCACCACCGATGTGTCATATCTTACCATCTGTGGCTCTTTTTTTTCCCATGCGATTATCGTTCTCTACCTTAACTGTATTTTGGGTTTAGTTAAATCCTTTTCAAGAAACGTAATTGCAATGGACGGGGTTAAAAATGGAATGCACCGTGTAAAAATTTTCCTTAAGTGAGTTTTACCTGTTCCCCAATTTTATTTCCACCTATTCACGTGATTAAGAAAGGTAATCGCACAAGCCAACACTTTCCTTATGTACCATACAACAGCCTCCATGAAAGGATGTGTAAAACTCACGATCAAAGGAGCTTATGTTGAAGGCTTTGAAGACGTAGCCAATACAATGAGGCAACCCAAAGGCCTTCATCTGATGACGCCCAAAACCGCTGCCAGAAGCTGAGAGCTATGCATCAATGCATTAGGACCCACATGAGAAACTCGGAGCGTAAGCATTGGGGACATAATACATTCCCTACACTTTTTAACTGGACCTTTTCTGTCACGTGCACCTCGGTGTGTCTCACTGTGTATCTGCCCATGTGCCCTAGGTGTTTGTGGACACAGTAGGCCCTGCTGACAAATACCAGCAGAAGCTGTCTGCTCGTTTTCCAGGCATCTCCGTCACAGTCTCTGCCAAAGCGGACGCCCTCTTCCCTGTGGTCAGCGCGGCCAGCATCTGTGCCAAGGTGCGAAGATGATGTCAACATCCTCATCATTAAAACATAACCATACCACCACCGTCGTGATCGTCACCACAACCACTGAGTAAAAGCTCGCTCTTACAAAATTCAACGAGGGTTCTTTTCTCCTTTGTTTTATTGTATTTTTGTTAAACACTAAAATAGAAACGTATATGGACTGTAACTCTTCCAGAACAGTGATTAAAATGTTTAAACATCTGCCATAAAATTGTATCAGCAAAATTATGGATGCAATTTAACTGAAAGTATCTCACTGTAACTTGAACAAACTAACAGATTCAAAATGGCTCGGTCAGATTTTGTTAAATAATATTTAATGAAGTACTTAAAACAAACTGAATCTGTTGTTTGGGATAGAAAAATCCAGTTCAGTTTTCTATACTACCAGTTGAGTCATAAATTATTAGTAAAACAAAATACTCTACACACAACTGCTTTAAAAGAGAAAAAAATTTATATAACAGGTGACTTGGCATGAAGAAGGGCTAATGTCCAAGACATTCTTTAATGGCTGTAATATTGACAAATGTGTTGAATTTTTGTTACCACTTGACTACCTTAATGCATTCACTCATATAATTAAAATGTGTTTATTCAAGCACTCCTTTTCTAAACATTTTGTCACAAGCAAAGTAATATCGAAATACGTAAACAAACCATCACAATTTACCGCTACCACAATTACCAACATCATCATTGTGAGAACAATTAGGACAATTGCTCCCATCACCACCGCTGCCACCAACCGCCATCACCCACCCCACCACTCCCTTCTCTGGTCGCTCCACCCCAGGTGGCCCGCGATCGCTGCGTCTCGCGCTGGAAGTTTGTAGAGAATCTTGATGACGCGGCTGCTTCTGTGGCTGCCGATGTGGGGTCCGGCTACCCCAACGACCCCAAGACGAAGTCGTGGCTGCGTTCGCACTGCGACCCCGTGTTCGGCTTCCCTCAGCTCGTGCGATTCAGTTGGAGCACAGCCACCACCCTCCTGCAGGAACTCGCCACTCCGGTCACTTGGTGAGCAAACTAGCCCCGAGCTGTGGCCCAGCTCATAATGGTCATGTTGAAGACACCGAGTCGGTGTGACATTCAAGACCTGGGTCTACGTGTCTCTAACCGTGTTGTGTCTTTCAAAGGGGTTCAGAATGGTTGTCAGAGATACTGATTCCGGCACCACTGGTATTTAGGGTTCAATCTCCGAGTTTTGGAGTTTTACTTTCAAGGGGTTCACAATGGCTGTGTTGGCGATAACGAGCCAACACCGTTGAGGTGATGGAATCGATTCCTGAATATGGGCGTCACGTGGCTCAGAATAGCCGTGTCGGGTTCATAACAGCATTGGGTGATGTACACTCAATTGGCAATGTTGAGCTCCTGGGTTTGAGTGCCTCTTCCTAAGGAGGTACATAATGGTGGTGTTGAGGACATTGAGCAATATCGAGGTCCTGGGATTGATCCCTGGATGTGGATGTTTCACTCTCAAGGAATGCATAACGGCTCTGTCAGACACTGAGCCAACAACACTGAGATCCTGATTTTTTTTTATAGTTGCTGCCTCTTTCTAACACCGTTTCCATCTCTTAGGGATGACGATGAAGACGGTGAAGGTGGAGATTTATCCACGCCTTCTGTGATGTCGTTTTTTTCAAAAAAGAATCAAGCGTCAACGCCAGAAACCCATCGATACTTCCGAGACCGAAGCCTTGTTCCGTTCAGCGACATTTAACAGAGCCGACAAAACATCCAATTCAAGTTTCTTTATTTGACCAAACGAGAGCCCATTCAAGATCCCTTTTCACTTGAAATTGATATGCTTCAACCAAGTAACAGCCTATTTAGATTTACTATTTACACACACACATAAATGTGAATAACAAAGTGTCCCCCTGCTCAAACAAGTGTAGGCTGTCGCTCATCTCAATTTGGAGGCCTGAACCACAGGTGAACATTCCACATTTTCATGGCAGGGGCCAGTATCTCCACCGGATGACCACTGTTGACTTGACACTTGGGAGTAATCATCTAGAGTCAGTCATCAACACCAAAGACTGGAGTCCAACCTCTGACTGCTTCTTAAGCAATTGGGAGGTGACTGACCGGGCTTGGCCAACCTTTAGGTCCATCGAGTAAAAAATGTGTAGTGCTCAATTATTTAAAGTGGAGGACTCTGGTGATAAATGAGAGAGGGAGAATGAGAATTGTAGAATTTGTAAAAGAACAATAAAATGTATCAATAAGATTGCGTGTGAATATGTGCAAGCAAGTAAAACCGTATATGATCTTCTGCTTGTAATAATCATTTCGACTTGTAACGCACACAATATCCACTCACTGAAAGACAGAATGATTCGAAGGCGGGAGGAACCACAGGTGGCAAGGCAGCCACTCGGGTTAGCCGGCACCAACAATTGCATTTTCGTGCGTTCACCGTGTCCCCTGTATGTTTCGCCATGCCCCCAGTGTCTCTCTGCGTGTTCCAGTGCACCATCTCACTGTGTCCGCACGCGTTTCTGGGTGTCCCCGCATTTTTGGGTGTCCCCGCGTATCGCCACGGTCCGCACGTGCCGCGCAGTGAAGACGGCCAGGAACACGAGGAAGTGGAAACAGGAAGTCGCCGAGATGAGCACGGGGAAGAGGTCGGGGTAGCGAGCAGGCGCAGACACGAGGCAGCTCCCGGCAAGCAGCATCGCCATGGAGACTAACGAAGCAACCAGCTGACGGGGCGCGGACAACGGAGCGCAGAGTGAATACAAAACACCCCCGTATAGCCTTAAACTTTTGGGGCAAGTGCTGTTCGTGAGCACCTATAACGGCAAAGTAAACACGGTTACCTGCGTGCACACAATTACACACTGGTATATACACGTACAAATATCCCTAGTGTAGCCTGCATGGGTTGTTTGTGTCAAGTACTGCTTTGGAGCTTTTATTTAGGCTGGCATGAAACGCCACCACCACGAGCAAAGATTTACCTTTTAGCAATTTGACGAACCGTCACAATTTGAGGCTGCTATCTAATTCAAGAATATTTTTGTTCATCTTATAATTACCATCTCATTTTTTTAAATCATTTCTCATTATAGTTGATTCATCGGTAGTGTTGTTCCATTAGCCTGAATGTGACATTACTACAATCGCTTGCATGTAATTTACATTAAATGTGAATAAGCAAATCTCACGCGTACAATTCGGTGCACTTATGAGTGTAGGAATGAGCTTTGGTAAATTAATCGAAGAATTCTTACAAACCTAACCACCATCAACACTACCACTGCTACCCGACGCCACCCCCCCATGTTCTCACCACTGCCCGCGAGAGCCGAGTTAGCCTTGGGGTCAGGAGGCCCCATGAAGCGACCATGAATCCCAGCGTCATCGTCACGGTGGGAAGCAGCAGCCCGTCTCTCTGCAGCAGGGGTAGCATGCTGAAACACACGGGGGATACATGGCGATATGTGTGGGCATGCACACACATGGATACAGTTATTGACACATGGAGACACGGTGAGGCGCACGCACAATTTGAATTGGCTCGGGGAGCCGTGTCACGAGACGTTGAACCAGCACTGCTGAAATCATGCATCCTGGCTCTTGGTTTGGGTCTCTCTCTCGCGGACTCTAAAATCATTCAATAGATCTGATACAAAAGCATAGATAGCACTGAGAAATTAAATGAAACATGAGGAACAGAAGCATTTTTTTTGACTGGTCTTTAAAGCACAGCTGACTCGACTTCAGTTCGCAGATTGTTTCAGATCACAGGGGCTGCAGATTAAAAGCTCCGTTCTGTTCTCCTAAGTCGAGTGGATGTCACACAGCAGCAGCAGGTCCATACCCAGACGAGCGTAGATTTTGTGGCCGTGTAAGAGAGACTCATCCAGCACCAGTGGAATCGTGGTTTCAACTCAAAGTTTGGTTGTCTCTGAGGAGGTTCGCAATTGCCATTCGAGGTTCAGTCAGCACCACCGCTGAGATCCTGTGTTAATAGCCCTAGGTATCCCTCTCAGGAGATCTTTGTACCTGAACGTTGAAACCACGAGGAACCAAGTGACAGCCAGGGGGAATTCGGAGAGGAGTAGGCAGGCTGGGCTGTGAACACAAAGAAAAAGATCCCCCATATAGCCTTAACATTGTTGGGGCAAGTGCTGTTAGCAAGCACCTATGAAGGCCGGCACAGCACACTCCGTGGTGGGTGGCCAGCACCACGCCTGGCCGCCCCTGAGCACAGGCATACATTAATATACACATGCTGTGAATGCATAACAACCGATATCTGCCACGAAGTGGAGGTGATGTCACAACGGCACTTGTGCCAGGCTGGATGCACTGTGAGGCCACGCAAAGAGTGGAAGGCTCACTGGCAGATGATAAAGGAACAGACCCAAGTGTTACGAGTTGACTGAGATGACTGGCAGATGCACCACCAGTGCTCCCCACTGTCCCGAATTTCTGCGCACATACATTGATTTGTATACACATGCTGTGCATACACACACGTACATTAATTTACACATGCTGTGCATACACACACATACCTTAATATACACTGTGCCACTGCTCCCAGATATTACACGCACATAAACACATGCACGTAAACACATGCACATCTGTTATTGCTTGGCTGTTGTGAGATAAGTCCTGGTGTTGTTGATGTTACGGTTGCTGTTTTTGTGGCTGCTGTTCTTGTTGTCTCACATAGCGGCCAGGAGGATGGATTTTTCGTGAACTTGAAAGGAGAAGAGGAAGAACGAGAGAGATGAAATAACCTGGAGATACACGGAGACACACGAAGACAACGGTGTTAGCGTAATGACCTGTCCGAGTAGACCTAAATGTTGACCAGTTCACAGTCACTCGTCACGAGTTTAAATCCCGGTCGCAGAGCAACTCCATAGGACCGCCACTGTTGACGTCCCCCACGAAGTGATACTCGTTTTATCTACTCGGCTCAATCCCATTCAATGCCACAACCAGGAGTTCAACTTACAACCTCGCTGATCTCGTCAAGGAGCATAAACCATCACGTGAACTCCGGCCATCCTCGCAGCGGCTTTTGGCTGGCCATCGAACAAAAACGGTCACTGCATCGTGCACTTCAGATGTGCTTCTGCGGCCATCTGGAAAGCTCTTCCGATATTCGGAAGCCACTGGAGCTATGCACATTTAAATCTAAATTGAAAACGAATTTCTTTAGAACTGCTTTTTGTGTTTAGTTTGTTGTCCTTCCCCCACACCTCCGATGATCACAATCGACTACGTACGGTGCGAAAGAACTTCAACATACAGACATACTTGCTCGCTCTACCGATGAGCCACCAAGCCGCAATACATTTGGGAGAGGGGGGGGGGGAGGAATCAATAATAATATTAATAAATACAGTGAAGTGCGAATCTATCAATAGGGACTCCTCGATGGGTCAAGGGCTAATGGGTACTCACCAGGCACAGCTTGAATCCGAGGAGAGACGGGGATCGCAGGAGGAGGAAACACGACGGTGAGAGAGACAGTAGCGTCGACAGCAGACTGGGGACAGTGCGGACACAAGTGCGCACGAGAGAGGGTGTATATCGGTGTACAGTTGCTCATAAAAAAAGTTATCTTTTTGCGTTTTATTCATATGTAGTTGTGTGTGTGGCGGTTAGCGCACTGTGCTACGAGGCCGGTGACCCGCGTTCCATTCCTGCTCACGGACAACAGCAATGATGAAAATATTAACCGGGTTTGGGCCTCCCCTCGGTAGACTCAGCCTTAAATGTGTACCTGGTGCAGTGTGTAAAACATAAGCACTTGGAGAGACAATGGCGGCCAGACGTGGTGCTGGCTACCCACCCCATTGTGTACCGTGTTGACCTTGATAGGTGCTCGCTTACCAGCACTTGCCCCAAGAGGCTGTTAAAGTCTAGATGGGAGACACCTGTTTTGTATGTAATTCTGAGTGTATGTAAGCATGTATGTGTATGTATGCTGAATTCATTTTGTACCTGTACATAGCCAACCATGCTAATCGTATATGTATGGGACTTCTCGCAAGATGTCTGACCAGTGCAGAAGAGTAAGCCATAATTCCCTCGAGATGGGCTCTCTCCTCGTGGAGGCCCTTCTGCCAGCAATGGCATGAGCAAGTAAATTACAGGGCTGCACCTTTACTTTGTATTGTACATGTGCGTGATAGTGTGTTGTCTGCATACACACCTCACGAACAGCTGTGCTTCTTGGCTCAAAATATTTCGGATCTTGAAAACCACTGAGAGACTGCACCACACGTTAGCGACCTTATCCTGGCAACACAATCACCACCATCGTCATCACAACTGTAACACTCAACAGCATTTAACACTGTCAATCATTGTTCAGTTCATTAACATAGTGGCCCTGTCAGAAATAATGATTCCTTAAGGCCTGGATCTTGAGAGTCTCTCTATTTCATGTGAATTTAAATGGCCGTCTCACACTCAGCCAGGATCACTGAGACTCCGGGGTTTGAGTGCGGATTTCAGCTGTCTGTGATTAAACCAGCTTCTCAAGTACAGTAAGGTGATGGTCTCAGCCCAGTCACCAATGAATGCACATAAATGTTTTATAACATCTAAAATCAAAGTGTGTGCCTCCCCGTCTCTTCTCAGATTTATTCCGTGTTCTCTTTTCATCCTCTGGTTTCCCCTGTTCGTGTTGCCTTTGCTCCCCGTGTCTCTCTTCTCCCAATACCATCTTTCAGGTATGTGCCACCCTCCATATCACTCTTCTCTCTTTCGTGTCTGCCTTCCCCTCCCTGTGTTTGCCTCCTCTCAACTTCTCCCTTCACCTCCCCAAGCCAAGCCTCTGCTTTCGATGTCTCAGCTCCACTTTTAATGTCTCAGCTCCGCTCCCTGTCTCTTCACCTCGTAGAGACCGCGAGATACGGGGAAGATGCGTGCGAGGATCTGGAGCAGCTGCTGAGGATCGCTCAGGAAGGGAGCGGAGCACACGGCAAGGGTGGCGATCACGGTGATGGCCAGACGCAGCAGCAGCAACAACCTGGAGGCAAACAGCAACGGCAGAGGTAAAGTCCCCATGTCTGCTACGGCCTCCGTCTTCCTCCCCGCATCTCTGCCTCCTCTACGTGTCGCCTTTCTCTATCTATGTTTCTCTCTTCTTGCCTTTCTCCTCCCTGTCTCTCTCCATATCTTCCTTCTCCACCCCATGTCTTCTTCCTCCTCCCATCTGCCTGTGTCTCTCCTCTCCTTCCACACCTCCGTGACTCCCCTCTCCTCCCTGTCTCCGTGACTAATTTACTCCGTTTCCCCCCGCAACTTCCCTCGCCTCCCTGCACCTCTCTGCACTTCCCCTCTCCCCCGGTGTGCTTCCCCTCTCCTTCCCTCTCCTCCCCTTGTCCCCGCATACCCGCGTGTGCGTGGCCGTGAGTGGATGCAGCGTGCCAGCAGGAAGCAGAAGAAGGCGGGCGCGTGATAGAGTTGCATCTGCTTGTAGGCGAGCGAGAGGCAGAACGCGACCGAGGCGAGCAGCGGGCGGCCATGGAGGAGAGCGAGGCTTGCCCAGAGAGACAGACCCAGGCTCACGCCGTTATACCTAGGCTGGAGTCAAGGGCTTTCTCGCTTGCATGAACGCATGGACACACGGGTGCCGGCCACAGTGGCATAGACACACACACATAGAAATACCTACACAGGGATCAGGCAATTCATCGAATCGCGATGAAGCGAGAAAATGAAATGTCATGATTCAGGGTCAGTAACGAATTGGCAAGTTCTGTTTACGTGACAAACCTTACTAATTGTGTCAGGTGGTGGCGAGTTTAATGACACATTTATATATTTACGCGATCATGGTTGAATTTATCAACGGATTCTTTATTTTGCAACTGTAGTGTGTGTAGAATCCGCACTGGCTGCATGGTTTACATGTACCCATTACATACAACAATTACGAATGTAAAGTGTTTGCTTCTTACGTGCATCTTGTAATAAATGGGTTGTGAAATGAAGTATTTTACTTGAACCGATGGATTGTTTCATGAATAACAGGGACAAAGGTGGCATATTGGCAAAAAGCGATTTTCTGCTATTCATGGGAAATATGTCCATCCGTCTGATAACACTTTGTAAGTTTTGCATAAAAGCTACCAAAACTCACCGCACAGCTTGCCAATAACAGTTCCTGTGCGCATGATTCGGTCAAATCCCATAATCAAATGGAGGACCCCTTAATGGTTTTCAACACACGCGTGAAATCCAGCACTGTGGAGGCGAGGGTTGGTGGACAAATGTTGCGAGGATCCATACCCTGGCTTGCCAGAAGGCGGTACAGCAAAGTGCGGCTTCATATAATCTGTATGGGATAGTGTTGCTCCCTCGCAGATGTGGGTTTTCTCCAGGTGCTCGGGTTTCCCCTGACCTGTATGAAACCTCATGAAACGCCTGCATTTTTATATATATGCATCACTGTATTGTGGATTGTGAGATGGCGTTTGCATGATGGACGCTAAATATAAACACCCGTGGCAGCATCTAAATGCGACCGCATCTCAAGATGCTGTGCAAAGGGTACGGGCATATTCATCTTGTAGTTTTTAAGAGAGGTAGTAAGCAATAGGCAGAGGAATAAGGAACAGTCCTGAGTCTTGAGTTGAGACAGCGATTACAATTGTCTGTAAAGGATACTGAAAATGTCCATGGTCGATGAGAATTATCCCTGGATAGAGAAGCGTGCACACACATACTGACATCTACATACAAACACACGAACACAGATACAGACAACACAAAGACACACAAACACACAGACATGGACACACACTCATAGATGCACAGATAAATACATACTCAGATGCATACACAAGCAAAAAAACACATACAAGCAAATTAGTAATACAATTAAGTTAAATGATGTACATATATTTAAACGAGAATTCATCTCAATAGGCTCACAGGGATAAGTGTACATTTCTGGTTAAAATCAAGGCTCGGTATTGCTGTGGTCAGAGGGCTCAACTCACGGCCAGAGTTGTGAGTTCAATTCCGAGTCAGAGGTAGGCTCAGCCCACCCATCACCACCATCAACAATAGCATCATCACCACCACCATCACCATAAACATATTCACCATCACCAGTAGCATCATCATCATCCCTTCAGTGTTGATAAAATTTATTGGGAACGTTTTGTGAAAAAGTCAACAGCTGTCATCCTATTAATGGTCTGGCCCCCACCATGTCAATGTGGAATTACACCACTGGTTCATGTCCCATACCCATTTGAACAGATGGACACTGTGGCTCGAGTTGGTAATGAATTGGCAATACCGTTGTAACAATTTAAATATTTTAGGCCTCGGCAAAGCACTTTTCCTTTTTTGTTGTATTATTTGTTCTTGGAACTTGCTGAGCCAGCCCTACTGGACATTTTTGAACAAGAGCTTCACAGCTCATCGGATTCCTCTAGGATAAATCCCAAAAAAATTCGGATTATTTTAAATTGGCCAAACATCCCCAGGAGGGCACTCGTGGACACGAGTCTTGAAACTCGGAGAGGTGTCCACTTGCACAGACCCATGCCTCACTCGCATGGGCAGCAGCATCAGCAGCCGCCACCACCACCAACACGCACCTTGCGACGCCATGGGTCACGCGCCCCCCACAGGCAGCAGAGCACGACAGCGGGGATAAACACCAACACATCTGCCAGCATGACTGTCGGGGAGACACGGGGTAGGTGGGAGGAGAGGAGAGATACGGTGAGAAGAGGGAATACACGAGGAAGAAAGGGTAAATATGGGGTGTGGAGGAGACATGGGGAGGACAGGGGAAACACAATGATGAGAGAGGAAACACACAGGGAAGAGACTAGAGATATAAAGGGTAGAGGGAATACATGGGGACAAGATATGGGTAGAGAGACAGGAAGGAGAGGGGAGACAGAGAGATATGCACTTAACAATGTAATGACGTGTAAAGTGCATTAGAAATATTAAACGGTGATGAAGAGAACGGGGGGGAAACTCGGGGAGGAGTGCAGAGATACAGGGAGACTTGGGAGAGACACGGAGAAGAGAGACACAAAGAAAACAGGAAAAAGTACAGAGACACTGGGAGATTCGTGACTTTATGTGATTCATGGCGCACCGCTCATCCTTGTACTACTTTTATTTGTCAAATAAATAACGGCCACACTTTTCAATAAATCAAGTGTTGTGTTTGTGTGTGTGTATGCGTGTGTACCGGTCGCCCTCATGAACATCTTGTGCTCCATCCCTTCATGTCCCCTGGACTCCCCCAGCTCCACCCAGCGCCGGTCAAACCACCGTGCCCTGGCAGAAGGCAGGGGGGATGTGGCCATTATGAACGAGACATTGTTATTATGAATGTACTGAGACAGTGAGGAACCCAAACCCAGAGCTCAGAACTTAGAACTCTGATGTTGCTACTTCTGCATCTCTTGACATAACCATTTTGAAACCCCTAATATTCCCCGACCCAGGGCTTGGGGTGCCACGGTGGCGAGGTGTTAACTACTTTGCTTCGTATACAGAAGGTCGTGGGTTCAATCCCGAGCCTGACGCCTGTATATTTGGACTTTGCATGTTTATCCCTCTACGTTTAGAAACAGGCACTTCTGAAAAATAGCTATATAGCTCAGTGGGCTTTACCTGCTAAAATAAAACTAGTTTATAGCTTGAACTTTAACGCCAATAATTCAGTGGTGCTGCCTCGATACCTTGGGATACAGCCATCACGAAACCGCGTGAGCGCTCTGTCTAGTGAGGGTACTCACACATATCCGCACAGCAGGCTGTGGTAGGCGGTGAGCGGAGGGTAGTCGAGGCCCCAGTAGAGGAGGTCATTACGCGTACTGTTAAAATACCTGAGCACAGACAGGTCCACGGATAGGCAGACACAAATAATTAGGGAAAAACAGGCATGCAGACATCATTGAAATGAGAAAGGGACATCGGCACAGCAGCAAGGAACATTATTCAGGCAGTCAGCCAAGGTCGATAGACATCATGTTAGACATGTAAACAACATGAAAGAGATACATAGCATGTTACAAAGTGCATATATAGTAGGCTAACAGCCATACTGAGATAATGTTCTACACCGACTGTAAGACAGACAGGCAAACAAAATGAACAGACGTGTCTGACAAAGAGGCAGGCAGACATGCATTAGAGAGACAGCTAAAGCCAGCAGTTGGCTACATACAGTGCGAAAGAAGTTCAATATATATACATTCATAGATACAGATGGTATAATAAACAGAGTAAGTTAAAATATGTATAGTTACAAATGCTTAATGTGCAATGTCTATATATTCAGAGGCGCAGGAAACAAGACAAGCAGCAAGAGAGAAAAAACCGGCTACACTACCGCCCCCCACAATGTATATGCAGACAGAGAAACACGCGGACAGGGTTAGACCATGGTTACCACTCGTGGACGGGCAGGTTCAGGGTGATTTCTTGCCAGTGTCTCTGTGCCTCATAATCCCCAAACATGGGCGGCTTTCCAGCACCTACACACAGACGCACACAACATTAATAGCCGTCGTTCGCCTCTAAGGTGATGTCACCACGGCGCCTGTGCCAGGCGAGGTGCACTTTGAGGTCAAGTGATGTGTCAAAAACCCGCTGGCAGGAAGTTATACTGGTAGGAACCATCTGGTTCCACCAGCCCACAGGGGATTATTGTGTCCGTCCGTCGTGCATCCAAAAATGGGAGGGGCTGGGTGGGGAGGGTGGGGAGGGGCTGGGTGGGGAGGGTGGGGCTGGGTGGGGAGGGGCTGGTCACCCCGTGGTGCCCTTATAAAACTCAACGTTTAACCTACTCACGCCGGCCTGTGCCCGCCCTCATAGTCGGGCATATTTGCGGAATACACCACGCCGCCGTTGACCCTGGCCATTGAGCGAGCAACCCAACGTTCCTACTAGCTCCCTCCGCAGGAATGCGTTGGGACAGACCCAGTTACCATCGGTTGGTTGCCTGGGAAGATTGGCAGATACACGACCCGTGCTCCAGTGTAGCAAAAACACACAAAAACAAAGATTCCTCATGTAGCCGATACAGACTGGTGGGGCAAGTGGTCAGCTGTCCGCGAGCACCCCCTCGAACACCACAGGTTTTCGCCGGTTTCTTCCCCACAAGGAGCCAAACTGACACTCATGGAAATGGCCAAACATCCCAGCGAGGCGGTCCTGCGTAAACGACGATTAATGTAACGTAGGCTGGACAATTTCACCGAAACATTTAGCTACCACTTGACGCCATAGGTCGTTGTGGGCAAGGGCTACGTGGTGGGCAGCAAGAGGTTTGAGCAGCAAGTTCCCGCTGCCCTGCCCCGCTTTCACCGACCCTCTCTGGCAAGCGTGGTGCAGTGTCGCCCCCAAGGGGCAGACTGACGCTACGTCACTTTGCGCCGCATAGGGGCAGCTGCCACAAGGGGGGGGGGGTCCCCGCACACCCCCCCCCCCTCGAATGGCTGAGATAGGAGCTGCTGGTGGGGGGGGGCTCATCCAGCAGTGGATTGTGGCAAATGGGGCGCTGAGTCTACCCCACGCGAATCGCACGTGGGTGTGGCAAGACTCAATGCGAGATTCAGAAAAAAACCTCAACGTCAGTAACACTGTGGCCTTAAAAATGGGGGGTAATAGATATAGAAGCGACGTTTCGGGCAACGGCCCTTCTTTTTCGCACGTGGAGAAAACTGGGATTGGATAATGGATTCGAAGCACCACCGGTGAGTTTCAATCCGAGGTGATGTTCTTCTGTCTGTGACTGATTTGCCGTGTGTGGTCGTGTGCTGTTTCTCATGCTTTATGTCCCCTCTGTTCCATCGATTAATTCGCTCCATCAAGCTCAATTATTTGCGTAAAAGGTAAATCGATTCTTATACCCACCATTCAATCAAACGTTACGTGTTTTAAAAATATTCTTTGGTGATCTAAACGTCGTAGTTTTTGGTTTATTTTTTTTTATTAATTTGAACATAGGGACCGTCCATAAATGATGTCAAGCGATTTTGGACGATTTTTGACCCCCCCCCCCCCTCGTCAGACGGCGTCACAAAAAGTCAGACCCCCCCTTAAAATATGACGTCACAAAGCTCTGCCCCCCCCCCCAAAATAAAACATGCTTCAAATCGCTTTAAACTATTGTCATTGTAGTGCGTATTTAATGTGGCGCTGCACTCTGATGCTGTAGGAGAAAACATTTATTAAAAAGTCGAATTCATTGAGTAGTACGTCTATATTTATTTAATGTTGCGCATTTTGATGTGACGTCACATTTCTCACCCCCCCCCTCGTCACACATCGTCACAAATATCTGACCCCCCCTCCTAGGTGCGTGACGTCATTTATGGACGGCCCCATATCTACGTGACTTTACCGAAAGACCCAACGAATGAGTGAAGATGTAGCAACGTGTTTTATTAAGTTCTACTCTAACAGAACCTTCATACCGGAGAAATCCGATGAGCCGTAAAGCTCCCTTTTTGACATCTACGCAATGCGTACGCATCATCGGATACGCTCAACACAAAAGCTGGTCAAGAGCCCCCCTATTTGGCGACACGCGGTGATCGATTAATCGACGATGTGGAATAATGATCGACTCGCCTGAATATCCATTCAGGGCCACGCACCAGCGGACCACGATGGCCAGCAGCACGGCCAGGGCCGCGCACGTGCACCTGCGCATCGCTCCGATGAGATTAATCGCTTATCAATCGCACCAATGATAACGACGATAGCGATAATCGATCAAGCCCCAGCAGTGTACAAAAAGCGCGGGAGTTCCTTGGGGAGGAACTCGCGCGGACGCGGAAGCTGAGCGCGCGGTGCGGTGGCCTCTGCTGATTCGCGGTGGCGAGGCGAAGGCGCGCGATCGGGCAGCCGCTGATTCGCAATTTAAAGGGACGAGTTCAGACTGGAGCACGTGTGTGCGGGGGGGGGTGAAATCTGAATATTTGTTTTGGAGGAATTCGATGAGATCTAAAGCTCTTTTTCAGAACGTTACAACAAGCAGTACAAAACCACGGAGTGTAAAGGTTAACAAATCATTTTTATTTTTATATTTATATTATTTTATTATTTCCCTTTTACGTGACTTTACCGAAAGAACCAAGAATATGTTAACAAATCACTTAAAATACATGCGAATAAAACTAAACTGTCTTTTATTACCAGGTAAAGCCCGGAGCTATTCACTTAATTTTCAGAAGCGACCTGGCCACAAATAATAGCTCAACAAAGTGGCTTATGTGGACAATTATTGCATCGATATCCGACCCGCGAGCTCATTTCGTACAGCCTGTACCTAAATGAGTGAAGAAGCTTGACACATTCATCAATGGGTCTAACCACTGCTGAAGGCCTCCCAAAACTGTCGCCATCTGTCACCGACCCTGCGACGTCACGACCCACCCAGCACCTGCACACGAGCGAATGTCATCGCTTCATCTTCCCGACAGACGTGGTCTCGGGAACGTTCACTCCTTTGGGTGCTACTCCGCCATTAGTGTCGACCACCAGCCATCATCGTTTCTATCATATTCTGACCAATACAACTTTTATTAGCAATGTTACATCGGTAACTTGATGTTTGACATGTTGCATGTGTTCCTCTTTGTGACTCCCAGTGTCATTCCAAGGATGCATATCCATTATTCTTTGCTCACTTTTTATACTTGTGTTCCATTTTCTATCAGTGTCCCATGTTTTTGATCTATGGCATAGCAGGTAATACACACTGAATGAAAACGTTCCTCTTTCGACACATTGCTGTTGCTTTTCACCATCAATTTAGATTTTTTTAAAATAACTTTCACTTGTCTCCATTTCATTTTCATCCCAGTCTGCCTTTAATAACCATTCTCAATATACATATTCAAGCGTGTTCTTTCAACAGATATCGTCAATTGTTTATCAAACTTGTTGAGTATGAATGGGCATTCAGGCTAAATGTAAAGAAGTTCTTCATACATACTTGCCTGAAGGTGGTCACTGTTGCAACTGTGTCCAGATCTATCAAATCTGTGAGCTGGCTAAACCAGGCTGGATTGTAGACAGGCCAGCCCAAATGTATGAAGCTAGTGCAGGTGTTCATATTAAGGGGTCCATGTTCTGAAGCATAGGTGACATTTCTATAAAGACCCCTTCAATCTCTTGTTCATAACCACTCCCAATTTTGTATCTGCCCCAATGACTGACCACCCCATATGCCCACACAAACACACCCACATATACAAACACGCAAAAGGTCCAAGTCTTATTTTCTTTCACTTTATTTGTATGTATTTTCTATAACATCTGAGCAAGATCACTCCTCTTTTTAAACAGAGTTTACAGCCCATAAGCAAAATATGAACTCAACTGTCAGTCAAGTTAACGAACAGTATTTGGTTCAATGCATGTCCGTCATCCTATTTATTTACATAATTTCAGACCTCAGCAAATGGCTGACCTGAATTGAATAAAAATGAAAAAAATGATTCAATGATAAGGTGTTGCTTTGTGGAGCCATTTGAAATCAGGTTGAGACATTCAATGAAAACAATCTGGTTTAACTACCAGTGGAAAAAACCTGCATTCAGTGACAAATCATTATGAACCATCTGCGAGACAGAGAACAACAACTTTAATCTGGGACCTCAGCAGTGGTGGCTCAGCGTCTCTGACATGGCCATTCGTACGGTTGGATATGTACGGTGCGAAAGAGGTTCAACATACATACATGAACCTGACATGCCCATAACTAACTTACAATAGAGAGTGGAATGACTATCGTTGGTAAGGGTGGACGTTTGAAGCGGACTTGATGTTGGTTTTGATGGAACTTGGCATTTTACCTGCACACAGACACACAAATATATGGATATGCACATACACACATATACACATGCAAAAAGATAAATATCCCCCGTAAAGACATACAGACCACTGGGACAAGTACTGTTAGTGAATACCTACTAAGATTGGCCTTGGACATGAGGGGGCCATATTTCAGAAACAATGTTCCATCTCTCCAGTTCCAATGTTCACACAGAGCATTCGGTATTTGTTGAAGGCCAAATCCACCGAGAGAAGGCCCAGGACAGGTTCAGGTAATACTTGCAACTGTTATTTTTCGTGGCCAGAATGGAACTCAGGTCTCTGGGCCCATAGCAGTGTGTACAATACTGCACTACCACTCAAAAAACAAAGATCTCTCATATAACCTGTAATGGACTGTTGGGGCAAGTGCTGTTAGCGAGCACCTATGAAGGTCGGCACTGCACACGAGATGGTAGGGAGCTAGCACCACGCCCGGATGCTCGTCTCCCTAGTGTTGATGTTTGCGCACCACACTAGGTACTCATTTGAGGCCGAGTCTACCTAGGGGAGGCCCAGGACCGCCTCAAATATATGCCACTGTTATATACACGCACCCACATACATGGATATAACTGTAATAAATGCAATATATGCAGATGCTACGGTTGCTGCTGATGCTAATGCTGCACCCTCCACACACCAACTATACACCTGCATGACTCTTCATCTATTGCTGTAACTTTTTCTGTGGTTGTTGTTGCTACTGCGACAGCTGTTAATGTTTTTTCCGCTATTGATACAACTGCTGCTGCTCTTGATGCTTGTGCTGCTTCTATTGCAACTGCCATTGTTGCTGCTGCACACATCACACACGTACACACAGCACAAACCTGCATGACTCTGCATCTGTTGCTGCTGTTGTTGCTGCTGTTGCTGAACCATTGACCCGCTGGGACCCCCCTGCCCAACATTCGAACATCCCACAGGCCCTCCTTGCCCGGAGAGGCCGGGTTGGACCGTGCCACCCTGGGATGGGGGTCGTCCAGGCCGGCTGAGACCCTTGCCAAACCCCACCGCTGCCACTAATGCGTTGGTGTCGGCTGGGTTGAAGGTGTGCTTGGAGTGACGCAGAGCTGGTAATGAGGGGGGGGGGGGGGAGAGGAGGTGAACAGAGGGGAGAGGTGTTAAGTGATGAAGATAGTGGTAATGATAATGCTGCTAATGCTGGTGTTGATAATGCTTCTTCAGATGTTAACCCGTTCCGATGACGTATGTGTACTTCGTAACTTTATCAGTACCGAGGCTCCCATAAGGCCATGCGGGAGAGTGTGTGGCACAGCTATCATAGAGTGCGGTCGTGTCGCTACAGTGTAGTATCATATATATTACATGTTTTACGATCTGGACCTATCCGGGTCACACCATAAGGCTCTCTAATCCACAAATAAGACATTTAAAGAACGTAATGAGGGAAATCTGAGCAAGTAATTACAAAGAATAAGAGTGAGTCTTCTTCTTGGTTCTTTCGGTAAAGTCACGTAGAAGGGAAGTAATAAAATAATAAAAATAAAACATAATAAAACAATTCTCACGACGTTTCGGCCACAACGCAAGCAGCCGTCCTCAGGTGAAAACCAGGTCCGTCGAGGCGACAGAGTCTGAATGAAACAGCACACGAGCTTGGAGCATATATATAAGCTGGGCGCATTGACAAAGGAATTTGCATATCAAAAGGAATTTAGCATATTTATGGGAAATGCAGGAATGTGATTAGTCCTGCATATGCATGTGCATTATGCAGGATTAACAGCATCAAAGGGAGCTGCAGTTACTGCTGCTGCTGAAATTACTGCTGCTGCTGCTGCAGTTTCTGCTGCTGCTGCAGTTACTGCTGCTGCTGCAGTTGCTGCTGCTGCTGCACTTGCTGCTGCTGCTGCACTTGCTGCTGCTGCAGTTGCTGCCTTATCCATTTTAATATAACACTATGTATTATTCTACCCACCCTAATGTGTATCACACTGCTATATGTTTACTATACAATTACGACACCATACATTACTCTGCACACTGCACCATGCCAGTGAGTGGAACGCGGTCTGAAAGTCACCGTAAACGTGAACACAATCAGTTAAGATCCGAAATGGTTTATTACGTCCTTCCAATGATTGCTAAGCCAGAATCCATCTTCTCGGTTGAAATTGTCTCTGTGTTTGTATATGTGGATCGCCTCATGAACGAATCTCTCATGATAGCCGGATGGCTTGCAGAGAACCTCTGTCTTGGAGAAGTCAATGTCATGTGAGCCCACTGAATTGTAACAGTGATCTGCCACGGCTGAGGTGTTTGTCCTACCGTGTTTCAGGTCTGCCTTATGTTCACGGATGCGGTCCGAGACATGTCGTTTGGTTTCCCCAATGTAACTGCTACCACATTCCTGCATTTCCCATAAATATGCTAAATTCCTTTTGATATGCAAATTCCTTTGTCAATGCGCCCAGCTTATATATATGCTCCAAGCTCGTGTGCTGTTTCATTCAGACTCTGTCGCCTCGACGGACCTGGTTTTCACCTGAGGACGGCTGCTTGCGTTGTGGCCGAAACGTCGTGAGAATTGTTTTATTATGTTTTATTTTTATTATTTTATTACTTCCCTTCTACGTGACTTTACCGAAAGAACCAAGAAGATGAATCCCTGCAGTCACGAAAGCTTTAAATCGAAAAGAGTGAGTCTACTTGAGGCCCCTGCTACTTATGTTGATTAGCATACTGGGAGGTGAGATGCAGGGTTGACTTGAGACGCCAGGCTCTAAAGGTGATGCTGCTGATGTTGAAAACACTGCTGCAGAGGATGGACGATGATGATAGGAGTGCTGCTAATGACAATGATGATGAAACTGCTACTCATAATGCTGTTGATGATATTGATGCAAATCAACTGACTGGAGGAATCTCCGTCCCTGTCATCACGAGTGCTGTTGAGGCGGTCCAGCAGCGAGTTGCACATCTTATTCATAGATGCCATGTGTTTCTGTAAAACAAAGACAGAGATAATTGTTTAAGGACAATGACCTTCGTGACTGAGTAACACATCACCTCTCCGCCCATACTAAAGTTGTAATTTTCAAAGTATACCCACCTTAGGCTTGAATGCATCACAAATCCCATAGAGCAGTGGTTCTTAACCGGAGGTGCATGCACCCTCCTTAGGGCAGGGGTGGGGAACCTTTTTTCTGCCAAGGGCCATTTTGACATTTATAAAATCATTTGCGGGCCATACAAAATTATCAACTTAAAAATTTGCCTGTTATATTTGGTCAAACATTTAATTAACTCGCCCCTAATGTGATGGCTGGAACTGCCAATTGATTTCGCGAGCCTTATACGGCCCGCGGGCCGGACGTTCCCCACCCCTGCCTTAGGGGATGCAAGATGCCCTTTGCACCCAACACACACGCACACATCACTGTGCATCTGCTCCTGCTACTGTTGCCACTCTTGTTGCTCTCCCTTTCACACAACACACCTCAGTGACTGGATTATGCTGCTGTTTCTGCAACCACTGATAATATTACCGCTACTATTGCATTCTCCAAACACGCAACACACCCCTGTATGACTCTGGATCTGCTGCCGTCCCTGCCTGCTATCACTGCTGCTACAATTTATGCAACTGCACCACCCGGAGCTCTTCTTGGTCTTGTCTCATGCTGCTATCGCTGCTACTTCTGCCCCCTGCACACACCCAGCACGGCTGCATACCTCGACACCTACTGCTACTCTTATTGCTGCCGTACATTTCATACAGCCAACACCTGTATAAATGGTACATCTGTTGCTGCTACTGATGCCACTACTGCTGCTACTGCTCAATTCTTGCCTCTTAACTATATTCTCGTGCCCTCTCCACCCGCACTCAATCTGTACCTTTCTGCTGTAAGTGGTGCTTCACCATGCCACTCTCAGCTGCCCCCTGGCCCATCTCCCTGTGATTCCCTGGAGTTCTCCCCTCGACACATTCCATCCTCGGCTGTGTGCATACCTGTGCCATGTCCGGTGTGAGGCGAGCGGCGTCGAGTGACATCTGCTTCTCCTGCTCCTCCACAGCCGGGTCTGGCTTAGTGCGCAGGTGATCCGGCACCACGTCGTGGCTGAACACTGGCACGCGGCCCTCGGTCATTTTCTGCGTCACACGCGCAAAACACGCAGATCCCCAGAGCCTTATAGACCAACTGTTGAGGTGTTATTAGCAAACACCTATTGGATCCAGTACGGAACAAAATGTGGTGGTGTGGATAGCACCGACGAACCTTTGTCCCTCCAGTAGGGAAATTATCCAATCTATTCATCATAATTTGCTTTCATACATTTTGCTTTTACCTAATTCACGTATCACAGATTCGCGCATTACTTCTCATATATTTTAGTCACCTCATCTCCACCATTACATTCATATGTACCATTCTTACTTCTCTGTAAAGCGCCTCGGTGAAGGCGCTATATAAATTACGCTAAGATAAGATTTTTACATACTGTATCAGGTAATCGTTTACAATTCAGACGTCACTCATCACTAATGGATGGTAGCCATGCCCGGGAACTGAACCAAGTCAACGGGTTGTTAAGATCACGTGGGCTGACTACTGCACTACCGCTCCCCACATATATGCAGACACCGTTATATGCACACATGACAACATATACGCATGCACGTTCTCACTCACCATGAGCTCGTCGTCCCTGTCAGGTGACAGCAGGAGCGGCATGATGATCTGCCCCCTCAGACACGGTGTCTTGTCGTTGCGTAGCAACTTGTTCAGCGAGTTCAGCTGCCCCGACAGCAGCGCAAAGCTGTCGAGCATGCTTGGCCTGATACGCACATATATACACACACACGTCAACGAGCTACAGCACCGAGGAGGGATTAAACTCATTTGAAATTAAGAGCCCAGTTTGATTATTTATCTGGGTATCTCTCCTCTGCGTCTCGATTTCTGTATACAGTATTATATTGTCCATCTCTTTGTGTCTCTCTAAATGTATGTCTGGCTGTATGCCGCTCCAATTGCACACTCCATGCAGCTTCAATTGTTTGTACCTGGAGGTATTTAAAAAAAGTGTATTGAATCCACATATCAGGTGACTGTTTTTTCTTTTCTTTTTTCGAAAAGTGTGCCGACACAGAACGTGAAGGAAGTTGCATACTTCATACACAAATACAGTACTGTACACACAGGTGCATATACTGCAGCGATTGCACAATACACATACACACATACATGCATGCACAATGCATTTTAGGACTCTGCTGACGATTACATTTCTAAGCTGCTGGTGTTGATTTTGATATTGATGGTGCGATTGATGATGATGATGATGGCATCACCAGTTGAGAGTCTCGTATTGAGTCTCCAGTTTCCGGATGAACCCCTCCAGGGAATTCTTGAGGTCGCTGACGCGCTGGGTCAGAGACTCCAGGCACAGCTCCAACACCTTCTCCTCGCGCTGCGGAATCAGAATGTTTTAATTCGACTGGAGGAACCCGATGAGATATGCAGCCCTTTTCCACAGACGTACAGTATGAGCGGGTAAGCAAGTCACATAGTCACTTTTAGATGTTTTTTGTTCATGTTTTTGTTTGTTGCGGTTGCACCCGATTCAAGAGTCGAATGGCTCACAGGGCTACACCTAATACATTAACTTGAACTTGAAGTGGCAATGTTAACACCAGCATCAATGTCATCATCATCACAACCGTCACGAGATTCAGTAGAACCACAATCAGCAATATCATCAGTGATGACCATTATTACCAACATTAGCTTCATTGCCTTCACCATGACCGTCACTAAGAACACTGCTCCTCTATACAGTACAGTGGTAACAAGTTGAAAAGGTTAATGTTAACTGTTTTTTTAACATGACCCATGCCATAACTATTTATAAAACTATCATCACAACTACCAAGAACCATTCGTACCACGATCAACAACAACCACTGCATCATCACAACTACCACTAACCATTCACACCACGATCAACAACAACCACTGCATCATCACAACTACCACTAACCATTCACACCACGATCAACAACAACCACTGCATCATCACAACTACCACTAACCATTCACACCACGATCAACAACAACCACTGCAATTAGCACCGCTACTATAACAGCACCACCACAATCACCACCGACGCTGCCTTTAACATCGCCAAAGTCTCAAGGTAACAATGTTACAATCACAATATTTCCTTAAAGAAATGGGAACTGCCATTGATATGCCGTATATCTTAATCGATTTAAGATGTCATCAAATCTAGGATGTAAGAGGCCTTGTCAAACCTACTGCTGGATGGAGGCCTGCCTCCGCACGCCGTGCTGGTCACGGAGGCTGTCTAAGTTATGATTTAATTTCGTTTAAATTACTCACCTGCATATTTCCGTATTCTATTTTTAAAAGAAGTAAACGCCTTTACAAATAGAGTTAAAGATATTGACTCCAAGCCACCACCACCACCATGAAAGTGCGCGAGATGGATGACGTCACTTCCCACTGTGATGACATCACTCCGAATTTATTATAACAGGATGACGTCATACTTTAATAGAGCCATAAGATTATGTAAAATAAGTTTAAGTAAAACAATATTTTTAAAAAGCCAGTCAAATCATTGCATAGCGAAACAAAAAGGGGCCGTCCATAAATGACGTCACAACAAAATGCGCAACTTTTAATAAATATAGACAACACGTTCTACTTAATTAAATAGACTTTAATACATGTTTTCTCCTACAACATCAGAGCGCAGCAGCACATTGTGACGCTGTGTGATTGGGGGGGGGGTCAAAAATCGTCCAAAATCGCGTGACGTCATTTATGGACGGCCCCTAACAGGATGTGACGTCCCCCAAAACAAGTTCGTGTATTATTTTTCGCGTGATAATTACCTTTAACAATACATATTAATTTTACTTTCTTAATAAATCCTTTCCAATTTAACATTCGCCTCGGAAATATTTACAACTTATATATATTAATTTTTTAAACAAACAATGACGTCATACGGTGCGCGAGACCTCCCCCCCTAGCCACAGCCCTCCCCCCCGCCCTTCGGCTCACATCCCCCTTCGCCGCCTTCCGATTGGTCCGCAGCGCTCGCGAACAGCGGGGGGGGAGGTCGGAGGGGGATCTCCTGCGTTCTGATTGGTTGAAGCGCTCGCGAACAACGGGGACTCCCGCGTTCCGATTGGTCGGAGCGCTCGCGAACAGCGGGGGGGAGGGGTGGTGGGGGGAGGGGTGGTGGGTGGGAAATTCCCGCTTTCCAATTGGTCGGAGAGCTTGCGAACAGCGACGGGGGGAAAATTCTCGCGTTCTCATTGGTCGTCGGAACGCTCACAAACAGCGGGGGGGTGGTGGGTGGGGAATTCCCGCGTTCCAATTGGTCGGAGCGCTCGCGAACAACAGCGGGTGGGCGGGGTGGGGGGGCAACTCCCGCGTTCCGATTGGTCCGGAGCCCGCTGCGCGTGCTCGACGATGACGTACGCGGGGGGGGGGGGGGTGATATGAGTGATTATATAATTATTATTGTTGTTCCTCTCCGCTCCCATTGGTCGGTTGGCTCGTGTTGAGGAACCGAGGGAGTTGTGGGCGGCCTGTTGACGAGGGAGGGGGCAAAGCAATGGACGAAGGTTCGCTCGTCTGTCCCCGGTGCCGTGGCGGTGCCTACAGAGCGAGGGATCGTTACGACGCCGTGTAAACGAGAACAAGTTTAGCTGGCGACTGTGTTGTTGCACGAGAACGAGACTCGATGGCGGCGTTTAGCGAGACGGCCGAGTTGGAGAATGAGGTATGAAGTGGGTTGTCAATAAATGTTTATCTTTGATTATTGCAATTCTGCGGCGGAGGGGTGTTCCGAGGGTGAATTAAACCTCGGGTTTAAAGTTTCGAGTGTGTTAATGTACACGGATATGAATGTGATGTGCTTGGGATACATGGTGAGACGTTAATTTGGATTGCGACGTTGGTATTGTTGGTCGTCTTCCGAAACAAGCGTCGCCCGGCCAGAGAAACGTGGAACTTCCACCGGTTGGCTCGGACGCCGTGTCAACAGGAGATGGGGGGTACCGATCATCATCGTCGTTGTTAGTTGCTGTGTGATCTGTGGTGTGAGGCGCACGTTTGTGTAGGCTGCAGAGGATTGCATTTTTGGTAAAACACGCGAACTTTTGTGGAGACTTGTAACTGCTGATGGGCCCAACAAAGGGCGAAACCCGCCCGCCGCAGTTCCGACGAATGGTGATTGCAGGGCCCGTGGAATGTATTGAAATGACACGTTCACTCTGTGACGATACACAGCAACAGTTTACGTTATAACATGTTTGTTGTTTTGTTTTCAAATGGGGACTATACACTACTTTAATGTACAGTGCGTAACGGTGTTACTAAATGCCAGCCTGTTGTGTGTGTATATATACATGGATATTTACGTGTTGCGGTGTACATTTAACACACTCGTAAAATACAACGATCTTAAAGGAAAGTGTAGGGTTATGGCAATGCTATCTTCATAGCACGTGCGTGTGCTAGGAATGCAGTATAATTGACGACTGTTGTGCCATGTGTGTTTGTGTGCACCCTGGCAGTGCAGTATTATCACCAAAGCGTTAAATATTCGCGATATTCTTGTGACGATATATTCAAGTGTGCGGGGTATATTGTGAAATAACAGTGTGCCACCGATGTAGTTCTTTAGTCGGTTTAGTTACCCCAGCCACTGCCCTAAAACTCAACGCAATCGTCAACTGCTGACTATTTAAAGGATTACACTTTTTGGCCAAACACGGGGTCAATCGCTAAAGATATCCAACAGCGGTTGTTTAACCAGCGTGTGACCCTGCTGATGGAGACCCAGAGGTCCAAGGTTTGCTTTCTTTAAACATATGCCGCTTGATTATTGGTCTGGAGAGCCAATCGTAGTCTGTCTGTTGGACTATTTAATTGATTTATATGTGGACACAATGGGGAGTGTTTGGGGTATTGTTTTTGTTTACCAATGATGCCCCAAGGAAATGCATAATTAGTACGGTATTTCTAAACATTGTCGTGTATCTTTCCTCATGGATATAATCAGCCCTGGCTAATATATAACGTCATGTGCATATGTGAAAATGAGTATCGGTTATAGATCTCGAGAAATCGGCGGTCGTGATGGAAAGCATTGTTATTGTTTAAAACGTCAAGCATGGTAAACAAAGTATTATCTTCTACATGGGCACACTACTTCATGCATATTAATATAAACGGTCTAAGTAGACTAGGTTTATTGCTAGAGTTTAAATTATAATTGCTCTAAAAATAAAATTACCGTTGTGTCCTTGTAAATAAGGTGCGCAGCTGCAAATAACATTATAGTATATCACCACTAGAGGGCAGCATACGATTTATCACTAAAAACACCTGCATTCACATTGCAGTGTGAATCCCGTCGCCCATTTCAACTGGACAGAGATAGATTAGTTGAAAAGTGAATTGTGCTGTTGGTGCCATCTCACGAGATGTATCTATTCGTAACTTTTCCAGAGCAATGTAAACGAATGTTTTAGAGCACAGTCCACAGATCTACTTCAAATATTCCTTGAAGTGATCTCATTTGACCACTGCAGAGAAAATGTTGCCAAATTAAGCGCAATACCAAATTTACCATGATTGTGTTTTTGTGGGTGTGCATCTCTGTTGTGTAGGTGCTGGAAGCTGGTCAAGTGTACCTGCTTATGAAGAAACAGTATCGCATCTCTCGGAACATGCGCTCAGCGTGGTTTTTTTCAAATCTCAACCGGATTGTAGCCCCAACACCCCTACACGAGCTGGTAACACATGAGTGCTTGCATGTATCTGGATTTATTTGTCGGTTCACCTCTCTGTCCTACCTCAGATTAGCATGGTTAGCTACGTACGGTGTGAAAGGGGTTCAACATGCATGCATATATGTGTATCATGGAAATGCCTCTTTTAAACTTGAGTTGTCCATCAATTTGAGATCTTGGATTTATGCATTCAACTTGAGTCGACTTGAGTTCACTCGGGTTTGGGTGTTTAATGAAGCAGGGTGCATTTGGCTCTGGCTGCCTTGCTCCCAAACACGGGTTTCACCCCGTGCGGACCCTAGAGCCAGTCATGGCATCACAAGGTCAACTCGGATACCACCGTTTCTGCAGTAGACTCAATACGGAAATGTTCTGTAAAGCCTACAGAGCATGGTCATGGTGCTTTCTTGATGACCATTGTATAAGGCACACAGTGTGATATCACGAGCATAATCTACAGTTGCGTTTTAAATGAAAAAGCATTGCAAAACATTAAATTGCAGATTTTTATTTAATATAACCTAACCTATCTAAAGTCTTTGCTTGATATTAAAACATTTTTCAAAATCTCATTCTGAAACCCACTCTCCAACTGTTAAGATTTTATTGAGGAGCAGTGGGCCCAAGCCTAGTTCCCATTGGTCGTAGAAACGTTGATTAGTCAACATTCTCTCCTGCCCTCCCTTCCTCAGGAGAGTGGTGATGGTGATCTACTCGTGCTGTCAGTGCTGCCCAAGGGCTGGCAGCCTGATGACAGCCCTCCTTGTGGCTCGGCTACTGCCGATGATGATCGTGGAGGAGGAGTGACGCCCCCATGCCGTCTTGTCCCGTCGAGTCACGTGATCTTCCTCGCGTGCCGCTACCGCTTCGTTATCGCTCTCGACCTCAGCCCCTCCACAGCCGTTGTGGTGAGAGACCCGGGGGGGGGGGGGGGGGAGTGAAGAGCGCAGTGGTGTTGTAGTAAGCATATGGAGAGAGTGGTTCTGTTATGGTTAGTACTCTCTTTATGATGAGTAGCTGGATGGTGGGGTTGCGGTGAATGCATTGTGGGGACAGAATGATTCTGGTCAAAACTGTTATGAGGGTTTTTTTGGAGTGAATACTGTAATGGTTACATTGTGCTAAGGCTAATACTGATTTGTAGTGAGTTGGCATGGTTAGCACTGTGCTGTGGGGAGTAATTTATTTAAAGTAGCTTTATGGTGAGGGCTTTGTGGTGGTGGTGTTTTATCCTAATGAGTTTTCAGTACCTCCACTACCATCCTTTATTACTACCCTCATCATCATCAATACAACCTTCATTTCTACCAACATCACCAACACCACTACCAACAACATCACCATCCCCTTTCACCTAATGAGCGTTGCCTCGCTGGCCCTAATAGGTGATCGCTAATGTGGTGTCCTGCCTTCCTCCCCAACCAGGATGATTGGTGTGGAGAGATCGTGTTCGACCGTGTGTTCCGCACGTTGGCGCTGTGTCTGCGTCGTCTGGCACGTCCTTTCCTCGTCCCCGGAACGAGGAATTTGTTTCGGCCAGAGATCTTCATCACTGTGCTCGCCTACTCGCCCTTCATGGCGTCGGGATCGCAGCAGGTGCTGCTGATGCGAGTGGGCGGGGAGATTTGACATTGCTCCCACACACCGTGCCATTCAGTGTATAGTTAGTATTATAGAAGGATTGCAATGTAATTTTACAATTATTTATCTTTGTGCTTTATCAGAATCCTCATTTAGACTGGAGGAATCCGATGAGCTCTGAAGCTCTTTCACACATTCAGTATGGGCGGGTCAGAAAGTTACAACAACAAACAATACAAAAAAACGATAGGAGTGCAAAATAGAGAAAAAGGTAAATAAGTCACTAAATATATATATTTTAATTATATTAGTCTGATTTATTAAGCTACATTTTCATTGAACTATGCCTTGGCTGTCTCAGAGCACTTAACATGCAGTATGCGACTTTCATCATTATCTCAAACATTTCAAAGGGCACCCTCGGTCGCAGCTATCCCTGTGTGGCACAAGGTGACTTAGCACGTGGCCTGGGCAATAGTCCGCCAGTAGAGGGGGGTACATTATTTCTATGCATAATCTCAATAATATGCGGATAATATTTGGACCACGATAGACCACCTTATTTCGAAAGACGTCGGGGGATCTTCAACACCCACTGAAAAAGACTGTATTTCACGGTTAATACGTCCACAGTAATGACCAGGGCGGGCTGCCGGATTGGAACCTCTGCAACAAGCGGCGAACGTCTAAACTGCTGGGCCTTGTCACCGGCCCACATTGCGGTACAGTTGACGGCTCGTTTGTTGCGGCCCTCAGGTGCTGGTGCAGGGGTGCCGGCTGGACCGCGTGCACCTCCCCTCCTTCCTGCATGACGTGCGGGTGCAGCTGATGCAGTTCGAGGGCCACGTCGCAGAGTTTCTGCAGAAGCAGCGGGAGCCCATGATGGCACAGGTGAGTGCGTCACTGTTTGCGTGTGTGCACGTTCCTCGTGGTTTTCTTTGATTTTCTTGGTGATGTCGCTCTTTATTTATCTTCACGCATGCGCAGATGACAACACCTTTGCAACGACGTCTCGTTCACAGGACGATGGCGACGCTCCCATCTCCCCACCGCCTTTCCCCTCCTCTCCCACTGGCCCCACCGCCCCAGCCCCTTTGGTCCGACCCCCACCCTCCGTGCCCCCACTTGGCGCCGGTGTGGAGCGGCACCTGGCAGAACCCGTGGTTATGGTGACGGCGGACGTGGGGCTTGTGAGCGTGCTGCGCTATGGGGTGCTCGCCCTGCAGCTGCTGCCCGCCAACACGAGCTCTGGTGAGACGATCCAGCTTCACGTGCTGGCATTGAGTCGGCAACCCCTGAATGGGACCCTGGTTCGAGCACTGGGTCTCTCAAGGAGGAGGGGGGGGTCTTACAGGTTATATCAACTAGCCACCTACTTGTGAATATCTGAGACACTGGATTTGAGCCTTGGTCAGGGTGTCTTGCTTTCTTCCGGTTTCTAATGATGGTTGTGTCAATTTGTATTTGTGTCTCCAGGTATCATCGTGATCACGGACGGGGTGACGAGCATACCTGACATCAACTACTGCGACATGCTGCTCACGCAGCTGCGCAATAGCACCGTTGCCTGCTCCTTCCTGCAGGCATGACATACAGGACACCCAGCAATGGCACATAGGGCAGCAGTAGAATTTGACAGCTGAGACACAGCAATGGGAACAGTCAACACAGTAGAGACAGCAAGGGGCATGCAAATACAGCGATGGGGATAGCAGAAATAGCATTGACAGCAGTCGGGGATAGCCTGGGTGTAACAGCATTACCTAATGTTTTGATTGGGTGTCGTTGCTGCTGGTTTCTTCTGTAATTGAGTGTACTTTATCTGATTTTTTTTATTTTGTTTGCCTCTGAATTGTTTTTGAGTTGTTTGAATCACTGTTTATGTTACGGCACACTTTATTCTTTGGTTGGGCGATTTAAATTTTTACTTGCATTTTTTTAAATTCATATCATCCACAATTGGCTTGTGAAAAAGATCGGATTGAAATGACAGTTGTGTGTGTAACTGCAGTCGTGGAATGGCTTTGGATTATATTTTTCACGATAATTATTTTCAAAAATCCAATAGGTATCCTTTGTTTTCTTCACACATCATGGGTCGAAACTTGTCAATGCACTCTGCTGCGAGATTGTAAGATAACTGATACATTTCATTTTTAGAGGTGGACTTTAGCCAAATGAATTGAAAAACCAAATGTTTTCTTTTTTTATATAGTGCTTTGGTGACCAGGCTGAGATTATTTCACTACACGAAGCTGGTTTAATCACAATTGGTGAGCCATACTCAAACTCTGGGTTTCAGCGGTGCTACCTCAGCACTCTGACCTCGAAGCTCCACTGCCACCTCTACAATTGTTGTTTAGATGTCATCATTTGTTCCAAGTTATGGTGGTTGTTTATGTCATTCTTATTGGTTCAAAGTCGTTTTTGTTGTTGCTGCTGTTTGTTGTTGCTGTAAGGTGGGAGGTGTCTTCTCTTACGACTGCAACTTTGGCCACGTCCCGAATGTGGAGATGATGCGCTTCATCGCCACAGCGACGGGAGGCACCTATGCGGGACCTGAAGTCTTTCATGGGGACATTGATGACTACAGCCGTGAAGACGACGTTTTTGAGGGCGGAGGGCAGGAGTGTGCACAGGAGTGGCAGGGGAGGAGGGAGAGTGGGAGCTGCATTGTTAAAGAGGAGGTTGGGACATTAGGAGATGTGCTGCTGCATCAGCAGGAGGTGGTAGGAGCGGGAGCCAAGAGTGGTCGTCGGTCAACGGGTAGCTTGGCGATGACGGCCTACCACAGGGCTTTCCTGACGTACAGCTTCATGGAGGCAGCAAGAGGTGGTGGTGTCGGAGACATGTGCGGTGAGCAAGAACCCAGCTCACACTATACATTGATCACCTGTTCACTTGTTCGCTAAATTGACTTAGTTATCTACTCACCCATTAATTAGCTTAACTTCTCTCCATTACCGACTCGCTCACTCACTGGCTCACTCGGGTTAAAAAATGTAATTGTTGCTAATGAGGTCTCGGGTTTGAGCACTTTGTCTGCGCGTCTTTCTGTCATTGCTTCATAATGGTCATGACAGGTTTGTAATGGCTATGTATGAGACACTGAACCAACTATGATGTAAAGTTCTAGGTTCAAGTCCCATGTCTGGGCAAATCTCTGTAGGTTCATAATGGCCAGCTGTCTCCATGTGTCCCACACTGCTACCAGGTGCGGAGCATCGGCTGTTTAATGAGCACCTGGCGTGGGCTAGCGCCAATCCTGCGCTGGCGACACGGCGGAAAAAGCACACCGAGCGTGAGGTTCACGCGGAGCTGGGCAGCATCGTGTCGGTGCGGCTCCGCGAGGGCTACAGCGTGAGGGATGTGGCTCTCACCAAGGGTAACTCTCGCACTGCACACTAACACAATACGCACACTATACACTCACACTATGTTCAGACTACACACTAACACGATACACTTGCACTATAGATACACACTGTACGCTCGCGATACGATCACTATACATGAACACAGAACATATGCAAGCACTATTCACTTGCATAATACTTGCATTATACATTAACAATGAGCATAGGCGTACACTACTCTCGTTATACACCGACACAATACGTATGCAAGCATATTATCATGAACATACACTAACCTCTAATCTCCAACTTTTAACAGCAGCCTTCAGTCCTAACACTCCCGTCGCAAGCCCCGACCCCAGACCGTAACTCACTTTCACCCTCTCGCCCTTTGCACCAGGAGGTTCCCAGATCGAGGTGAAGCTCGTGTTGCCATGGAAACACAACCTTCGAATCGAGTACTGCGTGTCGGCTCCCTGGCCTCAGCACCGCTCTCCTCCGCCATCATCACCGCTGCTCGTCCCAACGACAGGAGCAGCAGCAGCACATCCTCTCTCCCACTGCAGCTCTACCACTACCTCGTCAATATCGTCAACATCCTCCTCATCATCAGTCCAAGCCTCAACATCGTCATCGACCACCAACACATCAGCATCGCACTTTGTGTCAACTTCCACAGCAGCTTCCTTATCAGCTGTCACCTCTACCACTACTTCCACCGTCACCTCCACTTCTACCTCATCATCGAGTGCGGTTGCTGGGCACTCGAATTCAACAGTGTCGTCATCTTCATCATCTTCGTTGGCAACGGCGGGTGGAGCAGGGACTGCTCGTGGCGGTAAGCAGTTATCATACTACTATTAAAGCTAATCGATGCCTTGAGTTTCCTGGCTGGCTGTTGGCTGGACTCCTCTGTACACCACCAAAAACGTATTAGTGGCAGTGGGCCGTTGCCACCGACACTGGCTGGGGGACTGGCTAAATAGAATTTTCCCTGAAAGCCTTTAAAAGCGGTGGCCTTCTGTGACCTTCCCCCTCTTTCCTCCTGAAGACGATCACTTGTGTTGTGATCGAAACGTCCTGGGTTTTCTATTTTTATTTGATTATTATTCTATCTACCTGACTTGATCGAAAGAACCAAAGAATATAAAAACAAATAAACATTCAATAAAATTGAAACGGCAGAAGAAGTTTGGGAGACGTATAATAGGTAGCAACACAGAAGAGGTGGAGTAACGAATTCATAAGATTGACACGATTCATTTAATACTGCTCTAACTTTTCAATTTGTGCTCCTATTAATGTAATTATTTCGGCAGAATATTCTTTATATTCTATTGAATACCTATTGAATATAAAACAAATATCACAATGCGTATTATCTTAGCATTTTATAACATAAAAACTATTACTTTTAATGCTCCGAGTATAGACTTATAATAAGTGTGTGAAATGACAGCTGTCTCTTATTTTCCATTGCAGAGCAATGGGTTCTCTACTCGTAATAATTCAACTCGTAATATTTGGTCGGGTCTCGCCCATTGTCAACAGTTTTACTGATCTGTAAATTTATGAGTTCATAATCCAGTCGGGTAAATTCACTTCATCCGACCTGACTTCCAGTGCCTTCCACGTGCTTCCACATTTAAGTAATCACTCGTGATAATGGATGGATGCGTGCTGTGACCAAGTGGTTGGTGGAGCCATATAAATAGTTATTGTCAGGAGGGACCCCAATTTGACCAAGTGCATTGCACTTTAACGGGCCTCTGTATAAAAATAAACACCGTCTTGTCAGATTCACTAATGGCTGGGTTAATCAGGCCGCAAACCATTCCACGAGTTTCCTTATCAACAAAACTACACCTTGTTCCTGGGTTGGGTCTTTTCTTTAGAGGGTAGAGGTTGGAGAGCACCACACCTGATGTGTCGCGAATGTCTCTGCCTGCCACAGGGTCCGCCGTGCAGCCTGTGTGCTTAACCGAGGTGACAATGGAGGGCGGGTATGAGGTGCTGCACGACATCACCTGCACCATGAGGAAGCCGATCGCCTCTCCCTATCGCATGGCTGTGGTTCGCAAATTCTGGCAGACGCTGCTCGGGTGGGTCCCGAGTTTATCCACCTTGCCTGTCGTTTTCAGCAATATTGTCATCAGCCGCGGCAGCGTTCTCGTCATCATTTTTACTTCCAAATTCTTAATCAACTTCGGCAGCATTGTCATGTCTGTCAGCAGCAGCATCCGTCATTGTCGTCATAGTCATGTTTGTCATCATCATTAGCAGCATCACGATTGTCATGACTTCAGTCTACTTTATTTGTGTACAGTGCATATGTGTGCGTGTGTATTTGGAAATGTGTTGTGCGCGTACATTTGCGTGCAAGTATACGTACACGTGAAATTTACTGTTTCTCCTTTCTAAACATCTCCTCCACCATGATATCGAGGGGCCCAGGCCAATTTGGTTTTAACAAAAGCCATTCTACAGAGACTCCTCGTCTGCACGTGGTCAGTGCGTGTCCTCTTGTGACCATGCATGTCTCTTGTTGTTGTCCGTGACCTCGCTGCTGATTTCGGTACCATCGATCACGCCATCCTCCTCGTTTGTGTACGGTGCTTGTTTTCTGGAAGACTTTGCAGTTTTTTTCTGGATTTTTCTGTTTGCGCATAGTCACTTTAAGATGTCTTCTTGTTCATGTTTTTTTGTTTGTTGCGGTTGCACCTGATTCAAGAGCCAAATGGCTCACAGGGCTATACCTAATACATGAAACTGAAACTGAACACCTCCGCAACTGTGGGAGTTTCTACAATCGTTCTCTTCTGGCTCTGCTCTTACCTCAGAGTCTATCTTTTCAGAAACACATAGTGTAGAGCACTATAGCATACATGGTTGTGTGTGTATATGTGTATGAATGTTTAAGTGTCATAGTTTGTGAAGACAAGTAACCCGTAGTTTTCTGTCAACTTAGCGTCTTTTGAGAGTCACACTCTTATAAAAAAAAACATGAGTAATACTCTACGACATTAATAAGGTTTTGTAAGCCTATGTTCACAAACAAAACGTTATATTTGACTAATTATAATCATAGACTCTGCTGATTTGAATAAATATGAGCTTTCTGGCTTGTGTAAAAGATCAATAGAATGTATTAAATAATAATCCACTACTGGATGAGGGAATCCCTGTGGTGTAATGGTCATGGGGGTCATTTGACCATACTTCACCTCGCTAGACAATGCGGGTTGGTGAAGGGCGAGGCCAAGCGCTGGTTATGATGTTACTCTCTACTTAACCTTGGGAGAGAATGGAAATCAAACTCAGGTCCCCAGGTTCATAGTGCAGTGTGCTAACCAGTCCGCCACCGCTCCACTCTCAATATTAGATATGTGTATGTGTGTGCCCCTTCAGCATTGCCCAGACCGACCAGCTGCTCGTTCACCTGCAGTCGTTCAGCAGTAACCCAGCATTCTACACCGTGCCGGAGAGCACACGGAACGGAGTGCCCCTCTTCTACCTCCCACCGGGCTCCAGCACCCCTGTGAGACACGGCACTCATATTGACACTGACACGACACTGATGAATGTTCGTATGTCTTTTGAACTTCTTTTGCACCGTAGAAAGCAGTATAATAAAGCGCAAGCACATCTGTGAGGGAAGACGGAGACATGGCGATAATACTGATACTACACCATAGACCATAAACATGAGGTGAAATGTGTCTGTATGGTGACATGCAGACACATGCCACTAAAATGGCACAATATTGCACCTAAGACCTAACTGTAGATTCGCATGAGAAGATAGACCGAACATTTATCCCTAACCGTAACGCTTAATTCTAGCCCGAACCCTAAACTTTACCATAATGCTAAGCCTGACCTTAATCCTAAAAACAAACCAAACTTTAACCCAATGAATGAAAAATAAACCAATCGATCTTCTGCAAGATTTCGCGGTTACCAGCGAGTCCAGTTAGTTTGAGAAGTACCTTCCACCTGGTGCCTCCCTCTCCACACCGTCCCCCTCAAACCTCCCCCTCTGCTCCTCCGCATCCTGCAGGTGCTGTCCCTGCAGCAGAGTGGGCTGGGCAAGGACTCGAGCCATGGGCAGTTCTCAGGCTACTGGAAGCCCGTGTTCTCTCTCGATGTGGGCAAACTCCAGCGGTGGATGCACCTGCATCGCATTGGGGTCCTGTTGCAACATGACATGTAAGAAAGAGAGAGGGAGAGAACCTGACTCATAATTATTTGCATGCAAAGTAGGGATTAGTTTAAGATTTTGGATTTTCAGAATTGAATTTCTAATGTTTTATTGTAATTGCAATTGTCACGGCACCCTCTCAACTAGGTCGCTCAAACCCACCAAACTACGCACCTAGCCTCCATCAGTCGCTCAGTAAATCCCTCGCTCAACCACTGTCACTGACGGTGACATTGACTGACTCGCTCAACTCACACAGGCACAGACTTATACATTCATGCACGCATTCATTGTCATCAACTCTCCCACCCACACACTTGCCCACCTGCTCATTGAACCAATCATTATCTTGCCACTCATTCTTTTACCCAGGCACTCGATGCAGAATGTATGTATTTTTGTAATTCTGGTTCTTTACATTGTATTTACATTGTTTCTGTTTTTGCTGTGTTAAGGCCTGTGCCACGTTTCATCCACACCCCCAATTCAAACGGCCGTTTTGCCACGGTGCAAAGTCGAGTGGCAATGTCAGCCCTCACCTCCCTCCTGCGTACGTGGAGCTCCTTTGTGCTGGTGGAGGCAAACTCCTACGTGAAGCTCGTGTGAGTAGGTGCACCCGGCAGCTTCCTCGCACAGCACCACATCAAGCCCACCTCTAATTTACCACAGTGACTCCAAGTGCATCCGAATGAGTTTTAATTCCTCCTCACGTCCATGGTCAACTGACGTTGGCTGTAATTGGCCACGGTCCCTTACGTTATGGCAAGCTTTGGGGCCACTTCCTGGAGTCGTGGAGTTCTGCCATTACTAGTACATTTCATAAAAGTGTGTTTTTGAAATATTTTTTTTTAAATATTACTTATTTATTTGCTTCTATGTTCCCTCTTGCCTCCCCTTTGTCTCGCCATGTTTCTCCATGTCTGGTTGTACTTCCCCATGCATTTATATCTGCCCATCCATACCCATTTATCCCTATTTACCTTGACTCTTTTCCTTTTTTAGAGATTTACCAAATGGTTCGGTCACGTTCTACCTGGTGCGGATTTCAGCAAAAGCTCCTTGTGTCGTCCTCCGCTTGGCGTTTCCGCTTGAGACTCCAGCTTCAACGCGCAACAAGGCAAGGATGATGGTGTCCTTTAATGCGGTGCACTGATCGTGAAACCTGATGTCCTGGAGCCAAGTCGAATCAAAACTCGCATCTCTTTCCCCAGTCTCAATCAAGACTTAATCTTGTAACCCAGTCTCCTTTAACTCGGATTCAATCGAGATTATATCCTTCACATTAAAAAAAGTCCTACCATCTGGGTTGTGAAATTCTGACTTGAATGTTTCCTTTTTTTGTGTTATTTCTTTGACGTTGATGACAGGTTGTGGACGACCTGAGGAAACAGATTTGGGAGATGAGTTTTCCACAGCGCGTGCTGCAGCAGCCGCAGCCGCAACCGCAGCAGCAGCAGCAGCAACAGCCAGAGGAAGTGCAAACGGGCAAGAGCAAGACGTGTTTGTTCACAGAAAGCCCCGCAGCTTCAAAATCCAGTCAGCCGCCACCCTCTTCAGACCGTCCTTGTGCTGTGCTGCTGACAAAACCCGTGGAAAAATTGCTGATTAGGTGTGTCATTGTAATCGTCAACATCATCATGATCATCGGTAGCATCATAAGTAGCAGTAACATGATTAACATCATTATCAGCAACACCAGTATAAGTATCAACAGCATCACTACCATTATGAACTATTACCATCATCACCATCACCACATTGTGTGCACACTGCTGCTTGCACACATGCTCATACCCATATACACAAATAAACACAACCTTGCATTCACACATGCACCCTGTGCGCACGCACACACACATGCGCACACACACTCACACACTGCCTGCCCCCTGTTTCTTTCCCTCCTTGCGCAGGTATGAGCGAGCCCCCATCGACTACCTGTCTCCTCCTGCTCCAGCGCCTCCGCTGCCCATGATGCAGCAGCGGCAGCCCCCGCTGCTACTGGCAGCCTCTGCTGCTGTCCCCGGCTCCCCGTGCTCGGCACTCGCTCACTACTTCACTCACCGCCGCTGGGTATTCAGCGTGGAACCACTGGCTTCCTCCACCACCTCCGCCAACGCCTCATCGACCACCTCCCCCACCTCCTCATACACGGCTGTGGTCATGGCAGCCTGCACCAGACTTCTGCAGACACTCGCAGAGTAAGGACGGTGGTGGTTCATGTTGGTGGTGCTCATGCTGTGATGATGGTGTGGGGAAAGTGGGTATAATGATGTTGATTGTGTGCTTATATATATTGTTGATATTTTTCCTTGTAAAATTATACATTCCACATGGTGTTGCTATAGTTAGAGTAATTAACTCATAATAAGCGAGTTCAAATTCTCATTAATAACATCCTCGCCATCATTTGCGTCATCAAATAGCATCTCATCTCACCTCATCTTTCTGCGATGAATACAATGAATCGCATCATTTTGTGAGTAGTGGACAGTGGTTATCCGATGGATTAATGTGAGAATGTGGAATTTACATTGCTGACTCAGAACAGCCAAGTAAAGTGCGTACCACCAAAGGTTATTTGAGCAAGAACACTCTTTGCAATTACGTCAATACATGTTTTATTTATGATGGTAATGATGATGTTTTTCAGACTCCGTCTTGCTGAGGGCTTCAACTTTGCAGCGAGTGGGGATGGGGTCGTTTCTATGGTGACAGAGTTGCCCATGAAGGTAGTGACCCCAAAAATCACATTTTCCTCCGTGCACTAGTGTGTGTCCACAATGCTGGTCTTAAGAGGCTGCTTGCAAACACTGGTTAACTTCGTGCTTGTGTGTGTGTGTGTTTGCAGGCAGAGTGTGAAGGTCAAGCCGATTGCGATGAGGTGCAGACCTGCCTGGTTCAGTATGTGCTCTTCCCCCCTCTCAGCAGCTCACCCAGACACACGTGAGCGTTTCATTGTCACTGCATCGCAACTCGCCGACACCACCAACTACTAAGACCACTACATTCAATAGGAAAGTTATTGGTTGAACAGGTGCAACAGCTTTGAGGTTCAGAATTATATTGTAGCGGGTGAGCGTTATAGGTGTAATTCAGAATTATCGGTTGTGATAGGTGGGACACGTATGAAAGATGGAGGAAGGCAAGTTATTGACGTGGACATGGGCCTGCTGACCTTTGGTGACAAGAGGGAAATCTTAAAGCCAGGGGTGGTGATGAAGCTTTACGAGTGGTGCTTGAAGGATATGTCAACTGTTAAATTAAACTTAAGCCAGGCAGTGGTTATACTCTCAAGAGCCAACCATGGAGGTCGGGTGTAAACGTTTGCAAAATTTGGTAGTAATTTACAGAAGGAAGAAAGCGATGGCAAGAGATGGTGGCATCAACAGCATTGGCTTTGATGACATTTTCATTTTGTTAATATTGTTTTTGCCATCACGTGACGTATGGAATTTTATGGTAAATTGTTCCTCACCTCGCCAGGTTTTCAACTGATGAAGATGGCGATGATGATGGTGAAGATGACTGCAATGGTGACCTCTTGGGTTCTGATGGAGAGGTAGAGATTTAAAATGGAAACGCGCTATTCTGCTCGACGAGACTGAGTCTCAGAATTCGTGGCTTGATTGAGACTTCAGCTTCGAGAGCCAGGAGCTCATTAGAGTCCCAATCAGTCAGTAATGATTATTTATACGTGTGTCTCTGAGAGTATTATTATCTCTGAGTATCCCTATATCTCTTATCAATGTACCAGTGTCTTAATGAGTACGTATGTCTCGATGAGTGTATGAGTGGCTTCATGAGTATCAATGTGTATGTGTCTAGTTATCTGTATGAATATCTGAGTGTCAAGGAGTGTCTCGTTATGCGATTGTCTCTTGAGAATGTGTCGCGATATATTTGCATCTTTTTTGTGAGTACTCCTGTTTCTTTGGTAGTTTGTGATCATTTTTTACGAGTGTCCTATGTGTGTCTCTTGAGTTTCCCTATGTGTGTGCCCCTGTCTCCAGGTAATGCTTCTTGTCTCAACCGAGTGCTGGTTGGAGCCCCTTTCAGGCCGGGTATCAATCCCACCTGAACGCTACGCGCAGCAGTCGCACCTGGACGGACTTTGTTACACCGACATCGCCCATGCAGTAAGCTCGCACCCATAAAACATTCGCGTATAGCGTCTTGTACAATTTCCACATGTACAGCACTAGAACTGAATTCTTGCATGCAATACCGATGTACACACTCGCATTCAACACTCGCTGAAGACTGGCGTTCAATCGCATGCAGTAAAACAATAATCAATTACACATGCGCTCATAAGAACTCGCATACGCTTACCAACATTCATTTAGACTCGCACTCACCCACACTAATACCCTTATATATAAAACTGGATACTTCCAAAAACACACACGTACATTTACACACAATTAACACTTGACTTACTCCCAAGACTCACACCAGCACTCGCGCACACACACACACACGTAAACGCTTGCATACATTTATAAACATTTGCATTCACTAGCCTCGCACAACAATAGCCATGATAATAATAAAGATAATGTTGCTGAAAATGACAAACTCCTGTCATTGCTGGTGTTGATTTCACTATCTTTGCTGCTGCTGATCATGGTAACTGTTTTGTGCCAGATGCACCCTCGTGATATCGACTGTGTCAACACTCTGCTGACCAGTGAACTGCTCGCCTTCCTGTGCAACAACCCAGATGCTCACTATGCAACCAACCGTGCCATACAGCCCCTAGGTAAACTATCTTGGTCGGTGGGTGTGTGCATGTCTCTGTGAGAGTGTAGTTTGTGTCAGTCCATGTGTGTAATGTTACGTCTGTGTGTGCGCACATGTAACAGGTCGTCATTGTAACTGTGGGGTGGACAACAAGCAGAATCACTTTGTCGGTAATCAAGAGTGGGTGTCGTCCCGTGTATGAATGTTTTGTTTGTTGAACGTCTTTCGCACCATATGTAGCCAACCATGCTAGTCGGGAGGTGCGTGTGATTGCAGTGTGCGTGGAATGTGTTTGTGGTGCAGCGATTTAATGTTTTACCCTTCCCCCCCCCTCTTCTCAGTTTTTAATAAATTGTTACAATTGAGGGTGGTGAGTCAATTCGAGAATTATTTTTGTGTCTCGTTTTTCGTCTGGAGCAATTTCTTATTTTCTGCCTTGTTCTAACCATGATGCTGATTGTAAAGTTGTATAATCTGCATAAATTGTAAATAATACATTTCTGCTAGATTTTATGTATGCATCATGAATGTAAACATTTATTGGGAATGATGAATCTTGATTAGTGTGGTGTGTGTGTATCTAAACTAGTTTCTATGTTGCAGGTAGTCCTTGCTGTGGTTCTTTGCTGTGCTATGATCTCTGTAATCTGTTTGATTCTTATCCATAGATAACATTGGGATAACATTGGGGGAAAATTGTATCAGAGCTCATCCTGGGCTTTGCATGAGTTAACTGAGCCTTAATGGAGTACTTGTTGTTGTTTGTAAAATATATGCACATTTGAGACAAAATGTATACATGTTGAAATTATTTTGCACCGTACGTAACCAACCAGGTGTGGGGGGGAAGGACAACAAACTAAACACAAAAAGCAGTTCTAAAGAAATGAGTTTTCAATCTAGATTTAAATGTGCATAGCTCCAGTGGCTTCCTAAAATTGATCTGATATGTTCCTGATCACAACACCCCTTGACACTCGATGCTGGTCTTAATATGTGTTGGCGAAGAACACTTAGCTCAGGTTAAACAGCAACTCGTTGTCTTTGTGTGTATGTGTTTACAGTTAAGCAGCAGAGTGGGGCCAGCACTTTGTGGCACATACCTTTCCGATTTGATCTCATGTGCCTCCTGCCCAAGTGTCGACAGGCGGAAATGGTGTTCAACACCTACAGCACTGGTGAGTGGGTGAAATGGGTGGTGTGTACGGAGTGGGTGATAAAGGGGCTGAGTGAGATGAGTGAATACGTGAATGGGTGTGTGGTCCATGCAATACATAATTTCTGATTTACACTTCTTTACCCAACTGTGTATTGTTTGTGTGTGTAGATTATTCATGGCCCGACTCTTCAACCACTGGCTCCACTCACCCATCTGATTGGCTCCTGAGCCTCTTCCATACCAGCCTATCAGATGCCCTTTCTCTCCGTGAAATCCCATTGGACGAGGGTGATCATGTGACCTTTGTGAAGTTGGTTCTCGAGAGGAACAGGGGTGGCCATAAACCTCTCTTCAGCATGCCGACGCAAGGAGGTGCAAACATAGTCTAACTTTGTTGTTTATTCATTTAAACAAAACTCGCTCTAGTTACGTCACCATTGTTTTGTTCTTAGTATTATATTCATGTTGGACAGCCTGCCACATGCAGCCGAGGAATATATAAGATGATTGTTTTGGCTTGTGGGTTGTGCCCTTCATTAAATTTGCAATGCTGGAGAGAACATGAGGCTTTTTTGATGTTATCTCCAAAGTCGTTTGACTCCACGCTTTTCTTGTGCTGACATTGTGCTATGTGTAAGGTTTTCTGTTGTCCACAATGGCAATATATGTAGGTGGCTAAAACATGGATTCAAACCCAGGCTACTAACAGCGTTGGTTCTTTGTCATTCACAAACGACATTTATAAACCCCCTTAGCTGAAGACACGCCCAGTCATAGGGCTTGAATCCAGGCTGTAAGAACTGTTAGCTCATTGCTTATGACGCATACATTATGTATCTTACATGGTTATTATGAACAATCGGAGTAAAAAAAACTACTTTGTATGAAAAGAGGTGTATAAATTTCGATTTAAAGCTTTCGTGACTGCAGGGATTCATCTTCTTGGTTCTTTCGGTAAAGTCACGTAGAAGGGAAGTAATAAAAATAATAAAAATAAAACATAATAAAATCAAATAATTCTCACGACGTTTCGGCTACAACGCAAGCAGCCGTCTTCAGGTGAAGAATGAGACACTGCCAAGCTAGGAGCTTATATATAAGCTGAGTTGGAGGTGGAAGAAGAAGAGAGCCTTAACAAAAGAATGTGCATATCAAGAGGAATTTAGCATATTCATGGTAAATGCGTAGGAGGTGGGCGGGGGGGTTTGAAAGTCATATTATGCCCATGCATTATGCAGGATCAGCAGCACCAAAGGGAGGGGGGGTAGCATTAACAAAGGGAGGGCATGTTTATAGTATGTAGAAGCAATGAAACAGGTGTATAGTTGTGTGGTTATTGATGTTTAGCACATCCGGTTTAGCACTGTTGGCTATGTACGGTGAGAAAGAAGTTCAACATGCATGTTTACAGTTAATAAAAATATAAATGTTTTCATTGTTGAAGATAAGTAAGAGTTTGCTTGCTTTTTTTCTTTATTTAGTGGAGTCGGATAAACAGGAATCTCCCGTATTGAATGCCAGCAAAGACAGCACAGAGACGACGATTCCGACGACTACAGCAAAGGTAAGCCCTTGCACAATGCCAAATCAGAATATACAGTGGTACCTCGGTATACGTCGTTGATTCGTTCCAGAAGGTAGGACTTATACCGAAAATGACGTATATCAAACAAATATTTCCCATAAGAAATGAAGGGAAAGGAAATAATCCGTTCCAGAGTATAAGAAATGATATTTTATATGGCATATTATACATTAATGGGGTTGTATAAAATAATTTAGACACTACTTATTACTAAAATGCATAAATATAATTAACTACATTGAAATAAAAATAAAATGTAACATCACTTTACCTTGCTGAGAGGAGTCGATAGCCTACGAGGATGGTGGTGAGGAAGGGGAGGAGTCGTGGACGGGGTTATACGCGGCGGGTACGCGGTGACTCATCCCGACCCATGCAAGTTCTAGCAAGTGCGTCGTATCCCAAGCAAGACGTCGTATCCCAAGACATTTTTTTCTCGTCAAAACACAACGTAGACCAAATTCGACGTATTCCAAAGCGGTCGTATACCGAGGTATGACTGTACTCTCCACTCTAGACTCCATTGTTGAAACTTGAGTCTTCCTGAGCCTCAATGGTGACTCTAATCCTCAAACCCAGTCTCAAGCAAGACTTTGATCCTGGAACCTTGAATCAGTCTAGACTGTGATCTTGAAACCCTGTTACGAGAAAATCTAATCCTGAGACCTGATGTCCTGGAGCCGAGTCTCTGTAAACACTCTAAATTTTAATCGCAATCCCCTGGTTTTTATCTGTTGGTGCGCAGGGCACAGGAATTGCGCGATGGCGTTGTTACGCCAAAGCCACGGGATCTGGGCACACACTCGTCTTTGTGCCGGCGTCATTTACAGGTTACCTTGCGTTCATTTTATTGAATTAAAATCTTCGAATTCCTAACCCTTGTATCATCCAGTGTAACCCTCGTCTACTCTACAGTACCCTTGTCTCATCTGACACAGAACGCTCATCTAAAACACATCCAGCACCAAATCTTCATCTCATTCGTATACATGACACTCTTTTTATCAGATAGAGAATCCTAGTCTACATCCAATGCAGAACTCGAATCTCATCTGATACGTAACCTTTTCTCTATTTATGCGTGTCTGTTTCATTTCCTGATTATGTAATTAAAAATTACTTTAAAGGTATTTGTACAAAATAATGTATGTATACGTGTGTGTGTGTGTGGTTGTTCAATACAGACCTTCAATTACTCTTGGGAACCAATCCACATACAGTCAATCCGGATCCTGTACTACAAGCTTCGGATCCAGTTGTTAATGCAGTACAAACAGAGGAGTTGGTTCCACTACCTGTAAATCCAAACCAGGATCCTGATCAAGTCGTCAAGTCTCCAGCAGGTGAGTGTGTGATGCTAGCTACAGCCCAGAAACCTAAGTGTAAGCTTGGTGGATCATATGTGTGTTGTGAGTGAGACGCGTCTTCTGCAATCCAGTAAATAGGCAGCTGCGGCCACTGCCTTGCGGCTCGCTTATGTTATTCCCTCTTGCTTGGGTTTTTTTGAGCATTCCAGTTTCCTACCACACAGGTCACACTCGCGTCTACATTCTTGCCGCTCCAGACTATTCGCTACAGCAAGGTTGGCTACGTAGTTCACCATACAATCGGAGATGTAAAACTCGCTTGTTACTCATTACTAACCCTTGGTTGTCATTTCTGGACAATTACTAACACCGATCAAGACTCACGCTCTCTAAAAATACTAACCCTTGGTTGTCATTTCTGGACAATTACTAACACCGATCAAGACTCACGCTCACTAAAAATACTTAATACTGCTCACTTCTTGAGATGAAGATTTATATATATCGCCAATAACTGTTCAAACTCATTACCCATCTACAGTGATGATGCTGCTGCTTCTACCGCCACTGTAACACCTTCAGACACCTCCCACCCCCTCCATCCACCACAAGATCACCTCATCACTCCTTTCACCTTCACTGCTCACACTTCATGATCATACGAGTCACTATTCATACTTATGATGATAACAGTGGTGATGATGACTTCTATTTCTGATAATTATTTTACTTTTCCCGATGCTGCTGATGATTAATGCGTATTCTGCTGCTGATGCTTTTGTCGACAGGTGCTAAAGTGAATGCCCACTGCTTATAATGATGATGACGATGTTACTACTTCTGCCATTGACACCAACTCCCACTCACCGACACCTTCCACAGGCCGCCCTGCATCCCAGGATCACCCCCACCGCTCTTCCCACTCGCTCGCTTTGAGTCGCCAGGGCTCGCTGCTCGAACCGTCTCCTAGCAGCAATGGGCTCAGGTTTCCGGTTTACATCTACAGCCACTCTGTTGACAGCCTCCGTGAGACACTCACAGCGACTCCCAGCCTCTCCCTGCCCTTCCTCTACCCCTGATGCCACGGCCACAGCGGCAGAAACAGAAGCAGAAATGTCTTCGTCGGGTGGAGAAGACATGTTTTTCTGGTGAGCATTTGTCTAGTTGGGGTATTGCATATGAAAGCACATCCTTAACAGGGGGTTCACGATGGCCAATATACGATGCTACCACTGCTGAAATCCTATGTTTAAGGTGTTACACTTTCTCTTTTTCATGGGTTTATAATGGCCATGTCACATACTCTTTGGTTTTTTCAGTAAAGTCATGTATGTAAAAAAGAAATAAAATAATTGAAAACAACTAAATTAAATCACGACGTTTCGGGCGTAAAACAGTCTGCATCAGCAGCAGACCATGCTTCCCACCTGATGACGGACGCTTGTGTTGCGCCCGAAACGTCATGATTTATTTTAGTTGTTTTCATTTATTTTATTTTTTTACCTATGCGACTTTACCAAAAAACCAAAGAGTGAATCCTTGCAGTCACGAAAGCTTCAAATATAGAATTAGGCCATGTCACAGTTATAAACACTGTTTCAGAGACACTTAGCCAGTACCACTGGACTTAAACCCTTGATATGGGTGTTTTAGGAGGTTCAGAATGGCTCTTGATATTATAGCGGGTTCATAATGGCCGTGTTGGAGACACTAATCCCCATAGTTGGGTCTGTTTCTATCACGGGAGAATCATCGTGGTATTGCTAGAGACATCGATCCAGGACTACTGAATACCTGAGTTTCAATCCCTAGGTCTGGGTGTCTCCAGCAGGGTTCATTATGGGCCATGGCTCTGTGGGAGACCACTGAACCAGCATCACTGACTGCCAGGATTCATGTCCTGAATCTAGGTGTCTCTCTCCCTCTTGTAGGAGATTTATAATAGACATTTCAGTAACTACCAAGTCAGTACCGCTGATATGCTGGATTTGAGCCCCGCGGCCGGTTGTCTGTCAATCTCAGAGGGTTCATATAATAGCCATGTCAGGATGAACCGGCTCTGATTTAACCTTTGCTGCTCAGTGTCTCTGAAATGGCCATTGTGGGCCTGACCCATCCATTGTGAACCGCCTTGTATAGAGAGACCCCCTTCCTATACCCAGGGCTTGAACACAGGCCCCCAGAGGATACTGGCATGGCTCACTCCACTGTCCTTATTCTTTCTTTCCCGATCGTCCCCCCCACCACCACGACCCCCTCCCCTCTTGTCTCAGGTGTTCGTCTGAGGAGGGTAGCGTTGACCTGTCGTCACGGCAACATCGGGAAAAGGAGCTCATGGTGGTTTGTGAGCTGGTGCAGGAGGTGTTCCACCAGAGCTTCATGAAAGGTTCGACTCTGAACTCTCATTTGTGATGGTAATCTCACAGTCGTCCTTGCAATCCTATGGCCATTATCATCATCCGTGGTCGTTATCGTAATCTCTGAGTCTTTATTGTGATCTCATGATTATCACTGATCTCGTTAACGCGATCTCTCATGCATTTTTGCAATCTCGCAGACATTTCCACGATCGCTCGATCACGACAGCCAACTCGCGGTCATTGTTGTGATCTCGAGTCTGCCGTCACCGTCTCGTGGTCTTTGTTGCTATTTATTGATCTCGACCCTGTGCCACCCAGGTCTGTTCCACTGCTTGCGACGGTCGGTTGCCGTCGCAGCATCAGACGTCCTCTCCGCCATTGACTTCTGTGAGGAGACGCTCACCGAGGTGGACATTACGGCGTTCCTGCAGGTCAGAGCGGCTATGGCTTTCATGGCTCACTGATGAGCCCCAATGATCACAAGACCCCCATGTATCACCTTGGGCTTTACTTGGCAAGGGAATCTGTAGCTGTGTTGGTTCAGTGTCTCTGACATGACCATTATGAACGCTCAGGGAGAGGCACCTGTACCACAAGTGCAGAATCTAAGTGGTCCTACTTATTTGGCTTTTGACATGACCATCATGAGCCTCCTGAGAGAGAAAGGGACTGTTCCTGGGCTCCAACCCAGGACCTATGTGGTCCTAGCTCATGAATATGACATGCCCCCATTATAAACCCAATGAGTGTGCTGTTGAGTGAGGGCTCATTAAATTTCGATTTAAAGCTGTGGTTTTCACACCTGATGATGATTGCTTGTGTTGCAATAGAAACGTCGTGAGAATGTTACTGTTTTATTTTTATTTATTATTTCCCTTCTACGTGACTTTACCGAAAGAACCAAGAATATGAGGGCTCATTAGTATCCAGTTAAATCTGGCTTGGCCATTATGAACCATCTAAAATGCAAAATAAAATTCTGCCACAGGCGCTGTGTGGCCACGTGCGTCCCCGTGCCTCCTGCCAAAGCCGCCACAGCAGCTGGGAGGACGATGGTGGTGGTGGTGGTGGTGATGATGGTGATGCTGACGGTGAAGGAGACGATGTTGGTGATCTGCACACCTCCTACTGCTGTTGCTGTCACAAGGAACATGAAAGCCTTAGAGGTGTTCACTCATTGTCTGACGCACACTGCTATTATAATTATCGCATGAAGGAGATGGACCGCCAGACCTAGTGCTCGAACCTAGAATTCTCAGCAGTTCTGTTCCTCACAAACCTTATGAAGCTCTTGGGAAAGACAGAAAGCCACATACTTGACGAAATCCATGTCTTTCACTTGACCATTATGAACCCTATTTTAGAGAGATACAGAAAGACACTCAGCCCCAGAGTTTGAACCCAGAACCTAAATGGTGCAGGCTTGGTTTCTCTGATGTGGCCAATTTGCACCCCCTCTGGATATCCAGTGATCTTATAAGCCTCTTACAAATGCCGTGTATGCATGTTTATGGGACAGGAGGAGTTTCTGTTGTGGCTGAGGCTGTGGAGACGGGGAAAAACTTGGCAGCCTGATGATGGGGGCGGTGTTGCGAGTATGGACAAGGATCCAACGGCTACAATAAGGTGAGTGGTAAGAAGGGTTGTGATGTTTGTGAATGTGCACCTCTGCTTTAACGGGGATGGTGATAGTGAAGAAGATGATGGTGATGTTTCTGGTGGTTGTGGTTATAGCAGCGGTATTCATGATGGTTGTGGTCATGGTGGTAATAATGTTGATAGTATTGATGGAAATGGTGGTGTAAGTGGTAATTGTCATGATGGTGGCGATGCTCGTATGACTACTGTAATTCCTGATACTGCTGCTGGTTAAAGCTTCTCAGATTCATGCTACTGCATCTTCTGCTGCTACTGATGCATCGTGGTCTAGATGATGCTGTTGCTGATAAGTCTTTCTACTGGATGTGCTAGTATTGCTGCTGCAGATGTTAATCATATATCACCTAATAATATTGCTGCTGCTTGTGTTACTAGTATTATTTATTGCTACCCCTGTGGTTGCTGTACTGATGCTGCAGATGTTGACAATAATGCACATGATTATGACAATTATGCTGTTTGCTGATGCCTTTTACTCATACTTTTGCCTGTTTGAATAATGCTGCTGTTGTTAATGGTAATGCTATTTTTGCTGCGACTGGTACTACTGTTTGCAACTATTACTGCGGACTGCTGTCACTCGTAACAGTGTGCTGCCTGGCTCGTCACCGCACGCCGCTGCCTCCAGTCCCCTCTGCCCTCATCTTGCCTCGTCGCCCATCACCAGCCATGATGACCCATGCCAGCCCTTGCCCAACCTACACAGTGCTATACAGGTGAGACTGAATGAGTGAACAAATATATGGGCGAGTAATTTATTGGGTCAGTGAGTGAATGGACAAGTAGATGGCGTACTTGAGCAAGTTAGTGGGTATGAGCTTGAGTGAGCATATGGGGACTTGGCATGAGCAAGTATGTGAGTGCATGAGAGAGGGAGTGGGTGGGTAAATTAGTAAGTGAATGAATGAATAATTGAGTTGGTGAAGAAGTGAACAAGTCCGTTCTGAATGCAGTATAATATTTAATTCAATAATATTAATGGCTGTCTTTATCCAGGCAAAATTTTTGGAAATCAGCAGTCGATTTTTCAAGAGCATCCCTTCCAATCCCGCCTTCTTTTTCTACTGTCCAACCTCACCTAAGAAAGAGGTATGGAAGCATTAGGGTGCAATAGGTGCTCACAAACTCAAACACCACCCACTCGTGTTTCCCTCTACCCTATGCCACAACACTTGTTAATCGTGGTCTTGCCTACAGTAGCAATCATGGCAGAATAATTTTGCTGCCATGCACAGCAACTCTTCAGAAGCAATCGACAAACTGTTCTTCTCGAGTAGCTACACACCGAGGCTTTGTGTCTCTCGCTGACCAACGTGGGTTTTTCTCTCGACTTAACGAAAAACAACGTGTTCACATGAACGTACGGAGCACTGGTATGAGAACTCCGATATTGTGATAAAAAAGCCACTTAAATTACGTCACTTGATCACTCGTGAATGATATTTTAAAGTTGTTTACTAAATCATTTATTAATATTCAAACCCGCATTGGGCAGTCCAGCACAAATTGCCTACTTGTGTATCTTTATAATAGCAGATATTTGTTTCTATGGGCTGCTTGTATTTTTAACTGCTGTTTTTTTTCAGTTTTTAGGCGTAATCGGTGAATTTTTGTCTGCGGTCATGTATGGATTGTTTTGTCAGAACGAGACTCAGGGCGCCAAGAGAAAATCGCGGCGCTTTGGCAAAGCCGAGGGAGTCTCCGAGACAGAGGGGAGCACTGGAGGTACGGTTTCTAATCCCGTCTATCCTGTTCCAGGTCAGAGGTTTAATTCCTGCCGCTGGTGTTGTCGGCAGTGATTTTATTTGGGTTATTGCCACGTGATTATCGTGTTCAAATCACTCAGTGCCTGATCTCATTAAGTTTGGTAACTAAGTAGACTTGAGATTGGATAGTGCTTGTATGGGTGACCGCCTTGCACAGAGGTCAGTAGGGCTCTGGGGCTCCATGATGGACAGCAGAGGGAATGCAGAAAAATCTATACGACAATATTTCTTTGCTTCAACATCTATGCACCCTGCCTTCACCAACCCACACTAAGCGGTGTCGTGAAGAATAGTCGTGTAACCTCCACGGCATGGAGAGACCCTCATCCAGCAGTAGATTGATAACAAGGCTGTACATGTTCACATGTTAATGGTGCACATTCTTCTTTCGTTCGTTTCTCAGTCTGCTTGTCTTGGCGAGGGTCGTGGCTGTTGCATGTTCTTATAATATATTCCTTTTGTAATAGTAGAGAAGAGAGTCTGATTGTTCGAGGCTGAAGTCAATGTCCTTCCCTTGCAAGTGAACGTGGGCCAGCGCTCATCTCTGGTGGTGGCTCTGAGCTTAGTGTTGAAAATTTCACGTTTCCATAACAGCGACGAGTCTCCGTAGGATGACCATTGTTGACGTCCCTCGCGTGGTTTCTGGTTTTATCGACCCCTAGAGCTGCAAACTTTTGTCGTATAGCCTGAAACACATAGCCTAGGTACCTCGCTGCAAAAAGATTTGCTTCATTGAGTTTCATCTCCTCGCAATGGAAGAAAAGACTTTCAAATCACAGTCCGGTCTGTTCTTGTGATCATTACTGGGATATTTCTAGATTTGAAGTTTTCGTGACTTCAAGGATCCATTCTCTTTGGTTCTTTCGGTAAAGTCACGTAGGTGAAAATAAAAAAATAAAATAAGAATAAAAAATAACTAAATTAAATCAGTAATTCATGTTTTTTGCTGTGGTTGTGCCACCTGATGACGGAAGCTTGTGTTGCCTCCGAAACGTCGTGATTAAATTAGTTATTTTTATTCTTTATTCTTATTTTTATCGTATTTATTTTTTATTTTCACCTACGTGACTTTACTGAAAGAACCCAAAGAGTACTGGGATATTGTTCCTCAACTTTTGATTACACAGCAGTAGACGATTAACTCAAGGACTTTTGACCATGATGGAGTTTCATTCAGAGAAAATCAAAGCAAAGCACTTCTTAGATAATGCTTACGAAATGTGTTCCTTGTGTGCCCCATTTCTCCTGTACCTGCTCCCTCCAGTACGACGAACCTCCTTCTCTCTGACCGAGAGCGATGCCGATATCGTTGTCGAATACCGTGACGAGCATAACACGGGAGGGGATGCCGCCACCTCCACCTGGCGCCAAGGCCCACGCAAAGGCCCTGATGACGATGACGAGGAAGACGATGAAGAGCTAGAGGATGATGATGAAGATGATGGTGATGAACAAAAGGACGATAATGGAGAAGTAGAATTTTCATCAGATGGAACTATTGACGCTGCAGACCGGGAAAATGACTTCGAAATTGATGACGATGATGACGAAGATGACAGTGATGGTGACGGCTGTGGTGATGATGGTGGAGACGGCGGTGATGGATTGCCACCATTGTTCATCCACCTGACTTGCTCCGTCAGTGTTCGGAACCAGCACTGTTCCATGCCTGTGCGCACGCTGCCCACATGCCTTGGTGAGTTTGCGTATGTATTGAGGTGTGCGGAATTGCCCGGTGCATGCGTGTGCTGCTACGTCGGTTGGTGTAATTGCACTGTGCAGAAAACGGACCGGCACACATACGTGTGTAGGCTCGTATAAAGCATATACAGCGAAACCACAATGTAACGTTAAAAGAACATTGCATGACGAAGGATATTTCCTGAAATTAAATGCCAACTCTTTAAAGTAATACCTGTTCTGCTCCCCATGCTGTCTGGAATTCCCGCTCTTGTCCTAACTTCTTATTGCCCCTACTTTAAGGAAAGGCTTAAGACCTTTCTCTCCTTTGCTTTAAATATGGAGACGTCTCCAATAACAACTCTCTCCTGTTTCTACACCTGCTCTCCTACCCCATCCTAATCATCTCCCCTTCCCCTTGTCTGCTGTCTAGGTGCAGAGCTTAAACTGAACTATTATCTCGTAAGATAGATCCTTGAAGTGACACATTGACTTTGCAATGAGGGTAAGACCTAATGCCAGGTGGCGGCAGCGATGAAAACTACAAGAGCAGACCTTGGTGGGCAAGTGCATTCATTGTGGCTTCTGGCAGAAGGAAGGGAGCGGTGATGCGACATATTTTACCCTTTGCTGTCTTGTGGTTGCTGTTGTCCCAGGGGAGGTGTTGGGATGGCTGGAAGGTGTGGATCTGAGGAAGTTTAGTCTCAAGGACTTGACGGTCACATTGGACATCATCATCCTCACCCTGCCACTTGAAATTGAGGAGTCGCCACTTGGGATATCGCATAACAGGTCAGTCTGTTATTTAACGCATTCACACGCACATACGATAACATCATTTCCAATGTTCTTGCGCATTGACTGAATGCAAGTAAGCATTGATGATTTTCTATTTGTATGTGTTGGTTGCGAATGTTTCATGTGACTTCTGCAGCCAATAGGGGGCACTACATTTACCAAAATGCAGAGAAGACAATTGTTGCTCTGCATACACATGCAACCACCCACACACACATACACACATACGCACGCATATGTTATGAACCATTGCCTGACATTATCGCCCAGCTTGCATTGCATGTTCATCTGCTGCCCGGCAGCGTGAATAAGGAAGAGGGTTGAGAGGTTTTTTTTATATTTTGTTTGCTTAATTTTTTTCTCACTTCACTCCAGGTACGCGTCTGAGAACAGCGCCTTCATACACCGCTCGCCAGCACAGGGCAGCTCCTACCGGTCGGACGAGGAGAACATCCTGCACGGCCCACTGCTCCCCTCGGCCATTGCCGAGCTACGGTTAGGCCACCTGCCCGCGCGCCAATGCGTGCAACTGCACTGCCTCGCTATGCTGCCCTCATTCGTGTTTTGTTCACCGTGTTTCTGATCACGATGCCGTCATATATTGTCATTGTCTGTAACCGTGGTGGTGGTGGTGGCGGTGGTGGCATTAGTAGCAATGCCAGTAATACCAGAAACAGAGGCAGCAGAAGCAATGGCAGCAGTAATAACCCTATCTTTACGATCATCCTCAGCAGTAGTAATAACAGTAGCAGAAACATCATCAGCATCGTCCTCATCGGCAGTAGCAATAACAGCAGCAGAAATATCGTTATCAGCAGCAGCTCCTTTGCCATCGTCATCACCACCAGTATCATTATCGCCAGGAGCAGCAAGGCACATAATTGCAATCTCAGAGCCACAAAGCAAGCAATGCTAAAGCCTGAATTCAAGCCCTTGGACTGGGCGCACCTCTATTTCTCACGCACTTATCTCCCACCTTGTGCTTTTGTCATTGACGACAGTGAGGGAATACCGACCCCCTTGTCCAACCTGACGGAGACACACAGGCAAGCCGTCTTGGACACCGTCGAGGAGGTAACTTTGAGCGCAAGAACACGGAGTCTTTTACAAACGCCTCTACTACCAACAGTGTCATCTTCATTCTGTTCATCCCCACATGATCATGAGGAATGTAACAATTCACTCACCTCTCAATTCGATAAACTGTTACAAATCGGCACCATGATTATATTGGAAGTATTCACCATTGTGGTGAGCAGTGCAGCACGTGTAATGGCTGCAGGGTTTACCTGAGGAAATTGTATGCAACACCTTTGCATTGCAAACAATCAATTCCTGCACGCCACGGTTCAATGCTTTTATCGTGAGTGGAAAAATCAGTTTTATTTAACGGATTGATGACTAAGTACATGCCTATTCAGCATTATTGGGTTTTCACCACCAATATACGAGTCACCAGGAATAAATCGGCATCATCACTTTACCACCACCTTCATCGTCACCATTACTACTACCACTTTCAGCATCATCAACACCACCATTTCGATCACAATTGCCATCATTTTGTTAATTATATTAACCATCACCACCACCTTTCATAATACAGGTGTTTTTGGGTTAGATCGTGTAAATATATAAATGTGGTTAAACCCGCCACCACCAGACAGCCAATTAGTGAGGGTTGTCACGTGAACAGAACGTGCCAATTAATCATTAGTACAGCACACCAGTGTGTTGGAGAGCCAAGCCACAACATTTACAATCTGAGTACGACGTTTTCGCCAGTAATTACAACTAGCTTCATCAGGCGACAGTCAGATTTGTGGCTTGGTTCTCCAACACACCGGTATGCTGTACTAGTGATGAATTGGCATGTTCTATTTACGCAACAACTCCGCTGCTTCTGACCCAGTAATCTGGCTTGACCACCTGGGTGTGAGATTGTAGTTGTTGCTCTGCATCTACATCAGCCGTACGAAAGAAGAAGTTTGACAACCCATCTCCACCCTGCTTGTTGCTCCTCCTCCTCCCGCTGCTGCTGCCGCCCAACGCAGGTGCGCTGGCTGCTTCGCGACGAGGTGGTGTCGGCTCTGCGCGTGTCTCGCTCCACGTCGCGCCGCTCCCTCGCCTCGGTGGCCGCCCATGTGTCGCGCTCACGGGACCGCCCCTCCTGCCTCACGGAGCACGTGGCGCTGCAGTTTGTGTTCGGGCCCGACCAGTCCATGAGTCGCTTCATGCGGGTGAGAGAGTGAGAAGAGAGGAGTGATTGGATACGCCACAAGTGTCAGGGAACCATTCGCCTGCGGGCCGGATACAGCTCATGACTTCTAAGTCTGCTTTTAGACCATAAAGCAAGATTGCTTCTGCCCCAATCACAAATGCTGTAACCATGTTCTACTACTACTACAACCTGTCTCTGAATATCTTTTAGTGTCTCCATCTATCCCCTCGTCTTTCTTCATGTCTCCTTGTGTTTGAAGCATTTATTTAATATGTCCCTACATCTCCACATGTCTGCATGTTCCCACACTGATATCACGTATCTGTATATTTCAACTTGTCCCCACGTTTCTGTATTACCCAGATGTCTCCGCATGCCTCGCCGTGCCCCAGATCTTAATTTGTCTCCTGGCTCCATATGTCCCCACATTTCTCCTCATCTCCACGTGTGTCTCAATGTTACCACATCTCAGTAGTTTCTCTGTCACCGTGTGCGTCTGTTTGCAAAAGTCTCTTCATGCTTCTACGCGTCTCCATATGTTTCTGCATGTGCTCGCGTTTTTCTATACACTTATACGGGACTCGTTTTTCATGGAAAAAGAATGGATAATGCACTAACATGATGACAAATGTGTGTTAATAGCTTCAAAAAGGTGAGTCTCCACTGGTTCGCCATCATTGTCAACACGTGCCTGGAATCATCTCCAGGTGGTCTCCATTGCCCGGAGGCAGCAGATTTGCTGTGGTATTGTTCGAAATTATTAGAAGTGTTTTAAAAAAAATGTAAACACCCTGTGTAATGCTTATCTTCATGTGTATTTGTGTTTGTCTCCAGGAGCTGGAGTCAATGGACATGGGACAGAAATATGAGCTCCTTCGATCTGGAGAATTTCACTTTGTGGCCCTACGGGAAACACGGGACACAGAGCCCTCGCTCAACGCGGATATCGGCAACACTACCAGCGTTGAAGCCCCTGCAGCCACCGCTAGTGGTGGGGGGGGTGGTGGTGGTGATGGTGGTGATGGTGGTGGTGTTCATGATGCTGCCAGTGCTGATGGTGTTGCAGTTGATAGTAGGGCTCGTGATGATACTGATGCCATAGCAGATACTGATGCCATAGCAGCAGCAGCTACTGCTGCTGTCGATGTTAGTGCTGTTGATTCTATTTCTGTTGAGGCTGCTGTTGACGGTAGCGTCGTTGACCCTGCTGTTGATGGTGCAGCTCACGATGACACTTGCTGTGACTGCTTCTGTTGACACCACCACCACTGTCACCACCAACGTCATCGAAGACAGTAGCTCAAATGATGGCATTACCTCTCCCACGCCTGCCATAGACGTCCATATTGAAGATAGCGAAGAAAGCGTCGTCACGAAAGACGCGCCGAATTCACCAGAGGGTGAAGAATCTCTCTCTGCGGAACGTGCTGCCTCTGACACCGGTAATGATTACATGCAAAGGCACCAGCTGGTCCCCTTGCTGTTTGTATCTTAGTAGTGAAAGGGCAATGGTGATGATCATGGTGAAGATGGTGATGCCAGTGAGCTGATGTTGGTTTCAATTGTGATGTGGATGAACATGATGACAGCAGTAGTGGTGGGTGGTAATCCTGCTGATGTTCCAGGTAAATAGTCCACTGCTCACTGGCTAGAGATCTTTCTTCTTCTCTCCCTTTGATAGTTACTTTATGTCCAGTGTTTAAAAGATGCTGTCACAATTACATTGACAGCACCTCAAATGATGGAAATGCTGCTGACGAGAAATTTTATGATAAGTTTGCTTCTCCACGATGTTGATTTATGAGCTGAGTTGACCCTCTGATCAGGATTTAAACTCAAGACCTACTTGTGGTCTGAGTCCTTTGAACTTTGCAGTCTCTGAGTTCAAAGCAAACCCTTGTAACACCGTTTTGAGACTAAAGAAAGCTGTCTGGTGTGGACCAATCCGTTTTAAAGACAATGCATATATTATCAGTTTTTTTTTTTGCATTTTGACCACAAGTATTGTGGTTAATGCAGACATGATTCCTTGTTAAAGGTTTCAGTTTGGTGTTTTAACATCTTAACACCTGTTTGTTGCCAGAAAAAAGGGAAACCTATTCTCATTAAATGGGTAGCAGCACTTTGTAGGAAGCCAGTAGCAATTGTCTTGGGAGAGACTGGCCTCTGAGTTGGGCCACATTTTGAGTCGTGTATCTACGTACGTTGGTAATGTGCTACTGTGCTGCACTACAAACGCCCCATGGTGTTCTTGTGGTATTCTTGACAATAACACCAGGCAGAATTTGTTTGAGGCTACATCCTGCTGAGACTTTGAACAGATGAAACTGAAAATAATGCCGCTTCAAAAGCGTTCAGAGGGCCTATAGGCCGATGGACATAATTGTTCTTTTTTACAAGAAAGCGCCTGTTTCCTAACTTAGGATTTATGAATTCTTGTAATGTATTTTTTATCTTCTTGGTTCTTTTGGTGAAGTGAAATAATAAAATAATAAAAATAAAACATAATAAAATACAATTCTCACAACGTTTCGGCCACAACGCAAGCAGCCGTCCTCAGGTGAAGAACAGGGCTGTCGGAAAGACAGCGTCTGAAATTTCAGACGCTGTCTTTCCGACAGCCCTCTGAAATTTCAGATGCTGTCTTTCCGATAGCCCTGTTCTTCGGCCACAACGCAAGCAGCCGTCCTCAGGTGATCTCAGACGCTGTTTTTCCGACAGCCCTGTGAAATTTCAGACGCTGTCTTTCCGACAGCCCTGTTCTTCACCTGAGGACGGCTGCTTGCGTTGTGGCCGAAACGTCGTGAGAATTGTATTTTATTATGTTAATTTTAGTTTTATTATTTCCCTTGTACGTGACTTTACCGAAAGAACCAAGAAGATGAATCCCTGCAGTCACGAAAGCTTTAAATCGGTATTTGTTTATTTTCCTATTTTAGGCCGAGAATGCATTGTGGAGGGTGACACCGAGATGGGCCGGCGAGGGGGGCCTGAGGACCCCGTGAGGCGTCCACCGCTCATGCCGGACTTCTGGCTCATCCTGCGCGTTCAGCCAGACCGAGTCACTGTCTTCACGCACTCCAGGTCGGCTTACCCGTGACGAAGAGATGTTATTGTGGTGGTGGTAGTGTTTGCGACAGAGGTGGTGGTTCCGATCGTGTATTATGTGATGGTATAACATCTCCATCGAACCAGCCAGGTGGCTCAACAGTCGATTGAGCGGCTCCGAATCGGAATTTTGTGAGTTCAAATCTTGGTTGGGGGGGGGCTGATTAAGAGTTGATGAAATAAGTGCCGCTTTGTCAGGAAGTCAACAGTGTGTGTGTCCTACAAAGAGACTTGCCCCCTGGCCATAGGAATGAGGAATTGTCGCTACTGGTTTTGAGCGGTAAATAGTCGATGCGCGCCACCACCTTCAAAGTTCATTTGAGCAGGAAATCACTTTGAGTTTTAATGTGTAGTCGGAGTAGTTGAGATGGTTGTGTTACTGCTGCTGCTGCTGCTTTCACTCCTGCAACTGCTTCTGCTCCTGCTGCTACTATAACCACTACTATTGCTCCTGCTAGTACTATTGAACATTTGCTTTTATTTCTATATTTGAAGCTTTCGTGACTGCAAGGGTTCATACTCTTTGGTTTTTTTTCGGTAAAGTCACGTAGGTATAAAATAAAATAAATGAAAACAACTAAATTAAATCACGACGTTTCGGACACACTTAAGCGGTTGTGCTTTCGCTACGTTGTCCCCACCTGAAGAAGGACGCTTGTGTTACGCCCGAAACGTCGTGATTTAATTTAGTTGTTTTCATTTATTTTATTTTTTACCTACGTGACTTTACCGGAAAAAAAAACTAAGTATTTGCTTTTATGTTTATATTTTAACGAACTCTAGATAGTATATATATTATGTTGTCAACGGATAAAATGTTATGTTTAAGTATTAATGCGATGATGCGTGGCAGATTTATACCAGCAAGGCGACCACGTGTTTAAGCAAAAGCAAAAATAAAATTGTCTTGACTTGACAATGCACAGTTGCTATTACGATTGCTGTTACTGCTACTACTATACTCATGTTATGGCTGTAGTTGCTGTTGCTGCTGCTCTTGCTGCAACAACTACTGCTGCTTCTATTATTGCTCTTCCTAATACTGCTGCTGCTCGACTGACCTTGATTTTTATGTCCATCAGGAGTCTCGTCGTCTCATTGGGCTCTATGGCTCATACCTCGCCCTTGTCGTCGTCATCATCATCAGCAGCATCATCAGCATCTTCATCATCGTTGTCATTGGCAGACAATGAGCCCGAATTCCTTTCAGTCCACCTAATGGTCGTGAAGAAAATTGCTGAGATTTGTCGTGTGGTGAACCAGGTGAGGTACCTCTCACTCTACCTCTGTGTCGTTTATGCGATTTCATATTGGGCGTTCATGAAGTCTTTTCGTGTATGTACATGTATGTGGCTGTGTGTGTGCGTGTGTCTGTCATAGTTGCTCTCTAACAGCACTTTCCCCAAAACGTTTGTTAGGCTATAAGGGGGACCTTTGTATCTGTGTGTGTACACAAAAGAGGGAGCAGTTGTGTAATTGTTAGCACTCTGTGCTATGAACCTGGTGCATCCAGTGATTCCCCCTGATGACCAATAACTGGAAATATTTGAACTGTACCTGGGCCTCCCTTAGGTTAATTCAGCCTTAACTCAGTGCCTGGTGTGGTGTGTAAACATCAGTTCGGGGAGAAAAAGGTTACCGGATGTGCTGTTGGCCACCCACCCCCACTCCCTCGTGTGCTGTACTGGCTTTCATCGGTGCTCGTTAATATTGGCCCAACAAGTCTGTCTGAGACTATAGGCGGGATCTTTGTCTTTGCATACATATTAATGTCTATGTACATGTGTATATCTGCATGCATATTGTTTGTATGCTTTTGGGTTTATAGTTGGTTTATTCAATAAGTAGTGTGGACTTTTGACACTGACTTTTTAGGCAAGAAAACATGGAATGCTGGGATATAAACCTGGCAATGATATGCAAAAGTTTTCCCAAGCTTTGCCACTAGATGTCTATGTTGCCAGTGATTAAACACAGTGGTGACCTTGCACATTTGTACTTGACAACAATGCGATGAAAATGTATCGATGAATGTAGTTCCGCTTGGGTGACAACTCTAAGAATCGTAGCAATGTTTGCATGGCGGTGGCATTGTCGCATTGAGATTTTAACAAATGCATTCCCTTCATGTCGGAATCTGGCCGATTTAAAGCATTACAATGCAAATTCTGTTTTGTGTTCTTCCGTTGTCATGTTTGATGTGCAGTTGCGCAAGGCAGCCGCCATGTTCATTGATCACGTCATGTCTTTCGTCTAGCTGCCTTATCTAGAAATATATCGCGTGTCAGAACCAGGGGCGTGCTCCATGGTTACTTGGCAATTGTTACCAAAATTGTACAAATGTAGTTTACAGAATTTAACGGTGTGTAATCGCTGTAATTTTATCTTAAACACTTCACCTGTTTCCACAGAGCCTTCTCCTTCAGGACCTTCATGACACGCGCTGCTGTAACTCTCTGCTCGTGGCCGAAAGCGAGGAGGACATATGGAAGCCAGAGTCGGCGTACAGTTCCTACCGGCACAAACACTACATCACTGAAGGTCGCTCGCTGCCACCCACGCCTCTGTGCATACTTGTGCCAATCTGTATCGGTGCGTGTCTATCTCTTTTGAGTGTCTCCGAGTGTATCCATCGGTCTCCGGAGGGTGTGATGAACGTGTTTTGGCAGAGGGCAAGAAAAATAGGCAGAGTGTCCTGCCAGGCAAAAATGGCCTCCCATCAATATGCCAGTTGTCCTGTATATTTATCTTCTGTGTGTATGTGTGTGTATTTATTTGACTTTCTGGATTGTTCTCGCTCTCTGTGTGTCTCTATCTCTGCATGTCTGTCTGACTTGGTCTCTTTCTATCTTTTTCTATCGCCTTGTCTTTATAAATTTCTATCTTTGTGTGTCTGTGTCTCTCTTTGTCTCTGTCTTTCTGTTTCTCCATGCTTCTTACCGTCTTAGTTTCTCTTATCTCCTCCATCTTTAACTCTACTTTTCTCTGTGATTGTCTTTGTCTCTCTAGACTTAGCAGTTGTTCTAGATTTGAAGTTTTCGTGACTGCAAGGATTCATATTCTTAGTTTTTTTCGGTAAAGTCACGTAGGTAAAAAATTAAAATTCATAAAAGTAAAATAAAATAAAAATCACGACGTTTCGGAGGCAACACAAGCTTCCGTCTTCAGGTGGAACCGTCACAGCACGATAGCTGTATCAAGTGATACAGCAGTTGTTGACCTATGTCTGGGTATAAACTGCCAGGCCATGTGTGTATGTTCTTCAAATGTTTCTTTGGCTCACTCCGGTGTCTTTTGTTTCCTAGATTATGGAGCTGATGACGGCTATCAGAGTAAAGACTACCTGGCTGCCTCCATGCTCTTCATGCCTGGTCACTTTGCGTGTGACATCATGTGGACCACCATCATCCCCGTACATCCACGCTTACGCATGGCCCCCAGCTTGGCTGGCAGCAAAGGTGACAGATCCTGACAGCATTAACCTGTCACTGATACTGACAATAGCATTAACCTGTCACTGATACTGACAATAGCATTAACCTGTCACTGATACTGACAATAGCATTATAAACTACCTGACGCTGACAACAGCATGGGCACGAACAGTACCATTGTGACAATGACAGTGACAGTGACGAATCCTGCTCATCTGCAAAGTGATGCACTCTTTTTCTATCTTGTGGAACTATTCACGTTTACAAAGATAGATTAAATGAAGATGGTCAAGAAGAGCATCAGATGCGGAATTAACTTTTGTCATCCTACTGGGAGGTGAATACAAGGGGTGACTGATGACAATCGTGTTCTTTTTGCCTCCACAGTTACAGTTTGGATTTTAAAAATAATTTTCACTTATGCATCCGATATCCTCATCGCCCATCGGAAGTCCTGATGCGGTTTATTAGCGTTCATTGTCTCCGTGATAGTGCGAAGCCAGGAGCTTCAGCTGTAAGATCTCCAATTAGTTCTCCTGTTTTTGACATCTGACACTGTCATACTGGCATTGTACACTGATATTGTGAAATTTACTTTGTAACACTAAAATTAGTGATTTAAAGCTTTCGTGACTGCAGGGATTCATATTATTGGTTCTTTCGGTAAAGTCACGTAGAAGGGAAATAATAAAATAATATTTTATTACTTTAAATAATAAAATATAAAATAATACTTTATTCATAATCAACGTTTTTGGGTTTAGATCGCGTTACTTATAAATGTGTCGTAACCCTCCACCACCCGACACGGCCAATCAGTAAAAAAGTGTCACGTTGACAAAAGACAAATAGTTCACTGCTTTGTCAACGTGACACTTTTTTACTGATTGGGCGTGTCGGGTGGTGGAGGGTTACGACACATTTATAAATAACGCGATCTAAACCCAAAAACGTTGATTATGAATAACATTGGTCGCGAAAGCCTACGTGTTAATACTTTATTATTTCCCTTCTACATGACTTTGACGCATCGTAATTTACCTATAGCCTTCATAATCATCTCAAATCTGTGTCCTTACATGCGGAGTGTAAATATGGCACACAATGAGTCTAATATTGTGATACCGACACGATTGCACTGATACCGACACTGGCACTATATATACTGTTACATTGGCACTGTGAACGTGACACTGTAACACTGGCACTATATATACTGTTACATTGGCACTGTGAACGTGACACTGTAACGCTGACACATACCCACTGTGACACTGGCACTATATTATATACTGTAACACTGGCACTATATTATATACTGTTACACTGGCACTGTGAACGTGACACTGTAACACTGACACATACCCACTGTAACACTGGCACTATATTATATACTGTAACACTGGCACTATATTATATACTGTTACACTGGCACTGTGAACGTGACACTGTAACACTGACACATACCCACTGTGACACTGGGGCCTGGGCCCTGTGACTCTAACGATGACGCCGACAGATCTTTTCTGGCAGCAAAGGTGGTACGCGTTGACAGCAACAATGACACTTTGACACTAACATTGACTCAACATACATGGCACACGTAAGTCAAAGTGTGTCTGCTCATCTCTGGGGGTCCTGAGCCAGTGGTGGAAACTCCACATTCCTATGCCACATGCATGTGAGTCTCTCCATAGAAGAGCAACCAGTATCCACAATGCCAGTGTCAGAGATGCTGAACCATTATTTCTGAGGTCCTGGATTTGAGCCCTGGATACTGGTGTTTCTATCTTGCGCTCATTCTCGCCGTCACCCGAACAACAGTGCTGTCACCTGCGGGTTACACAGGTCACTCACAAGGGATAATGATCCTCTTCATCGGTCCAAGTTCATTTATTAGGTATAACCCTGTGAGCCATTCGGCTCTTGAATCGAGTGCAACCGCAACAAACAAAAAACAAAAACATGAACAAGAAAACATCTTAGAGTGACTATGTGCAAACAGAAAATCCGAGAAAAGACAGCAAAATATTGCAGAAAAAGCACTACACCAAAGCTGTGCAAAAATCCCAGTGGGATGCAAGTCAAACAACAACAACCACAAGACAACTCCGATTAAGGCCATCAGTCTAACTCTGTACTACAACAAACAAACATGGCCAAACCCAAAAACTTTTCGAAAATCACCAAAATAAAGCCATAAAAGCAATAAAACAGTGATCATAGGAACTGTGACCGAATTTTCACAATAAACAACGTAAACAACATGTACTACCAAACTCTGCAGCCATAGCTGGTCCTTACCTGATTAAATAGAGGATGTCAATTGTGAGAGATAAACAACCTTTGTGAGTTCTCGCCTCTTAAAGGAGTTAATTTGAGTGATTTTATTGAAGTGTGAAGGAGGAAACTCGAATGTCTTGAAAGCCCATCGTGCATATGAAGGGAGACCATAAGAATATAACAAGAGATAATTTCATTTATTTTTCTTGCTCTTGTTTTTCCTGCAGGCATGCAGTCACTGCGATCGGCACTTGCCGCTTTCTCCGTGGGGAATCGCAAGAACATGTATGTTTATCAAGAGAGGTCAACAGGAGCGGTCTGCTATCTCAGGTGCGGTTTGTGGGGTAATTATCGTTAACATCATCTTCATTCACGCTATCCGCATAATTTTTGTCATCAAAACTACACTCCGTGGTGATAGTGCGTTGGCAATGATGCGCAAATAACGATGACGCCCGAATAACAAAAAAGCACGCGTAACAAATAACTCGCCACATTTGTCAAAAACACTGCCTTAATAGGAAAAGTAAATAAAAGACATCGTGTTTGGCAATGACCCTTCTTCAGAGCCTTCATTAGCAATAAAGACGGTCATTTTCCGAAATGCCACCTATGATATACTTTTACTTTCAAAGCCATAGTGTTATTAACGAAGGTGAGTTTTATGTTCTTTGCTGTCATAATCATTAACAGCGGTCGCATAATCATCACCAGAAGCAGGATTAACATCAGTTTCATAATAATAATTTTAATTATAATCAGCAGCATCTACGGAATCATTCTGATAATTAATTATGAGCTTCATTATTCTCATCATATTCAGCAGCATCACATACACCCTTGTCATCTGTGGCATCGGCTTCATCATCTTTCTCATAAGCAGCAGTCGCATCACCTCAATCATCAGCATCAAATTACTGAGGTTATTAAGTGTGTGTGTGTAACAATTATAATCATTCGTAAGACTCTTTCATGTCGAGCCAATTGCATAAATGAGTGCTTAGTTAGCTTTTGTGCTTATGTATATGTGTGTGTGTGTATGTTGAACTTATTTGCATAAATGAGTGCTTAGTTTGGTAACGCATGTCCTTATGTATGTGTGTGTATGTATGTTGGACTTTTTGGGCACAGCACGTAACCAACCATGCTAATCCTGCCAGTATCCAGTGGGGAACAATGCCACTTCCTTTCGGCTTTTAATATCACTCATCATAAAAGTACTAGAAATTGTAGAAAAAAAACAGTGTCATCGTATTTGAATTTAGCACCCACAAAAATATCCAGATACAAACATGAGTAGGTTTGCTTAAAATATTACAATGTTTTTCTTCAGGCCATGAGGTATAAGCATCGGCATGTCTTATATTTTAAGCCAAGCTTCAGTTTACTCGCCATGTTGTGTTTATGCATGTGTTTTAGTTTAAACGTGTGTGTTGGGATGGGATGGTATTTGAATATATATATCAGCTCTGGGTAGACAGTCTAGCACAAGGGTCGGCAACCTACGGCTCCAGAGCTGCATGTGGCTCTTTAAGGAATGCTTCATGACGTTATCTATTAAGGACCACGTCTCGTATTCACATGCATTGCAACTCTTGAAATGTTGAGTTTTCCGAATGAAAATGAAATGGCTCTATTTGTTATTTTGGTTGCCGACCCACTGGTCTGGCATGTTGCCCGTCACATCACACGTGATTTACTTACCCTCGTTACCCTCGTTACCCTCGTAAGTAATCGTTGTCTCTTAGGTTTAGATCGGGGATACTTTCTCTTTCATCTATGCATCCGATTGTGTGTGACTGTGTGGAGTGGAAGTGGCGTGGTTAGCGCATTGCGTTACGAACCCGGTGACCCGAGTTTGATTCCTGCTCACGGCCAACACCAGTGACGATTATCTGAACTAGTCCTGGGCCTCCCCTAGATCGACTCAGCCTCAAATGAGTACCTGGTGCGATGTGGAAACATCAACACTGGGGAGACAAAGGCGGCCGGGCGTGGTGTTGGCCACAAAGTAATGTGCCGTGCCGGGCCTTCATAGGTGCTCGCTACCAGCACTTGCCCCAACAGTCTATTCAGGCTATATACGGCAGATCTTTCTATATATGCTGTGCAGATCTGTGTATACATCTACTGTATATATGCTATTTGAATACTTGTCTGTGCGTGTTTGCGTGTGCATGCTCCTCTGTGCACTTATGCCTGTTTCATACCTGCCATTAACTCAAAGCCTTTTCCAATAAAATCTATTCACCTAATCCCATAAAACATTTAACAGGGCCAATTTGGCCAAGAAAATCAACGCTTTTCCTTCCTTAACTAATCTTTGGGTTTTTCTTGTTTTGTTGTTCATTGCAATTAACCCTTTAACAAAGTGAAAGTCTTTGAGATACAATTACGGCAAATATTATTTATTTAACTATTTAAGGACCCATTGTTCTTAGTAACATGCTAACAATGTATCTTTACTTATGCGTGCACATGTGCTTATGTACTCGTATGCGTGTACATGTCGTGTTGCGGGCATGTTCGTGTGCGTATGTGTCTACGCTGTGATTCCAGCTCCCCGAGTTCACATGTTTATGAATAACGTAATTGTTAAGTGATATTTCAAGTGGTCCGAGGTCTCTCCCACACGTTGACTTGGCTCTAAATGTGTATCAGGTGTGGTACTGGCCACATTCCTCCCTTGCGTGCTATGCAAACCTGAATGGGTGTGTGTTTTTAAGAGCACTTGCTCCGACAGTTTTTATTGCTGTATGGGTGATCTTTTGTTTATGTGTGCGTGTGTATTTCTATGTGGAGGAGAGTAGTGTCGTGGTTAGTGCATTGTCTTGCGAGCTCGGTGACCCGAGTTCGATTCTTGCCTGCAGCCAACATTAGTGAGGTCTATCTTAGCTGGTTATGGGCCTCCCCTAGGTTGTCTCAACCTTAAATGAGTACCTGGTGTGATTTGAAAAAAAACATCAACATTGGGGAGACAGGCAGCCGGGCATGATCCTGGCCACCCACCCCTCGTGTATCATGCCGGCCTTAATAGGTGCTCGCTTAACAGCACTTGCGCCCCCGCCCTCCCCACAGTCGGTTAAGGCTTTGGTAGAGGAGTGGGGGGATTTTTGTGTTTGAGTGTATGAGTGTACGAGTGTGCGTGTGAGCTGCAATATTACAAATTGGACTACATACAGGATTAGACAGACTTGCCAGTGCACGTTTCATATTGAACAACGACACAATTTTTATAATGGACTATGGTTGGGGTGGGTGGGGAGGTGGGGGGGGGTGTGTTCCATTTCTGACACGATGACATCATTTCCCTTACTCCATTAGGGAAATGAAGTCCTGTTAAACCAAAGTGACCTTAATCATAAGAATGGCAACATTAATAATGATAATAATTCCTTATTTACCCACGGAAGACCTTGAATTTTTTCAAGTACAACTGTTTTTTGCGAAGCCAAAAGATGATAGGTTTTAAAGTCATTGAAGGGATATGCTTGCTCTCAATTTATGAGCTATATTAATGCTGGTTTGACAGTGCTGTATGATTAAAGTGTTCAAATCTAAAAAGGGAAAACTAACTTAGCACTTAGGAATACGTTTTAGTAGCAGCATTATATCATAATTGTAATGTGCAGCAGCATCAGAAAGTTAATATTTTCTTTTATTTGCGTACCTTTGCGTTGTCTTTGTAACCATACATATGTATCTATATTTAAATTGAGTTCTATTAGTATGCATTGACACATCTCCAGGGATTAATTTAAGGGATGGCCCAGAACCAGTTTAGATACCACTTACCACTCTTGCTATCGAATTAGGAATTGTGTGTGTATGTGTGTGCACTTGCATGTTTAATGGCGTGTGCATGTGTGTGTGTGAGTATATTGTTCATTTGTGTCTTGCCACAGGCTTATCGAGGAGTCCGCTGCCACCAGAACTTCCTTTGATTCCAACAAGGAGGGGATTCCATCGGCAGCATCGCTTCAATCCCCCGTCATAGCGTCCCCCTTCATGTCTCTCACACGCAGCCAGGAGCCTACAGCCACAACAGATGAGCCCGTGGTGAGCCCTGGCCCCAGTAGAGACTCGGCTCCAGGAGATCAGGCTTTAAAATCCGTTTTGATTGAGACTTGAAACCAGCATGCTGGTTTTCAGAATCCGTCTTAATTGAGACTTGGTTCCAGGGGCCCAGGTTTGGGGATTGTAATTTATTGAGACCAGGTTTCAATACAAGGGCGGTGACATGGCCTAGCGCATTGGCCACTTGTTGCAAAGGTTCACGATTCGAATTCAGTAGCAACTCCCTGATTTTAATACTGCGTGAATATGAACTGTAAAAATAAACGCCGTGTACTTCACGGTGGACGTTAAATATCCTGTGACGTTATTTGCAAGAGTAGGCCATTATGTGCCAGCGCCGTCGCGGTCCAAGTTTGCCAAATTAAAAAAGGTACCCGCAAATTACTCAATTTGGATATACATAGCAGTCATTGTTCCCTCGCTGCCAAAACTTGGCAGAACCCACCTGAAAAAAAGTCATGATTCTCATTGAGGCTTTACTGGATAAACAAACAAAAATAGTCTTGAGTTTTGACTTGGGCTCGGTTTTATTCGAAGTGGCTTGCGACCCTCAAAGAAATGGCGCCGCCCCCGTGGTCGCCCCCGTGAGATGTGGATCAAACAAATCACTCGTCACCGGCAAGAGTGGTTTATCCCACTGCTGTCACAAGCGGTCACACGCTTGGTGCTACGGTCCTTCGCTGACTATGCATGATGAATGAACAGGAGACAGGGTTTCGGCTTCGGGAGTCTTGGATGAGACTCGCGCAGAATGGTTTTTGAAGATAACAATCTCAATTATGTTTCGATTTAAAGCTTTCGTGACTGCAGGGATTCATCTTCTTGGTTCTTTCGGTAAAGTCACGTAGAATGGAAATAATAAAATGTTTTATTTTTATTATTTTATTATTTCTATTCTACGTGACTTTACCGAAAGAATCAAGAAGATGAATCTCAATTATGACCACATTTCAGGATCAATGTTTTGATTGAGGCTCCGCTATAGGAATCTGTTTTTCAGGATTTGTTTTGATTGGGACTCTTCTCTTTTTGTCACCCAGACGCCGCGTGGGTGGTGGGACAGGCAGGTGTCCATAGAATCCGTGAGCTCACGGACGGCAGAATCCTCCGCCCGTGCCGTCGGTCACTCGGAGAAGAACATCCGCCTCAACGTGCACGGTGTTGTACCGGCCGGTAGGCGCTGTCCCACCGACATGGCCATATCCATGGCTTGTTGGTTCATTGTCTCTGACTTGACCGTATTGAACCTGAACAGCCATTATGATTATTTTGAAAGAAATGCCTAACTCAGCTCTTGAGGGACTCCCATTAGCATGGCTGGCAACGTATGGTACGAAAGAAGTTCTATATACATACGAAGTCAGCGGTGGTTAGCGACACCCAACGTAAGGCGCGTAAGGCGCGGACCCAATATCTCAGTAGTGCTGGCACAGTATCCTTAATGCCATTATGAACCCGATCTGGCCATTGTGAGAGACTTGAGAGAGGCAGTTAAACCTGGCAATTGAACCCAGGATACATTTGTATAATCATACTTATAATTTACAACCCTTTGTCAATCCACTGCTGAATAAAAGACTTGCTATGTCGTGTCAGATGTGGAAGTTGTTTGACCATACTTCACCAAACTGGTCGGTACATGTTATACGGTACTGTATTTTGTGTTTTCTCATAGCTTCTGTATATTTTGCCTTGTATGTATTGCTTTTTACATCATTACATGCCCTCGTGTATTTATGTTGTATCGTTTTGTGTCCTCTCTTGTACTCTCTTTTTGTATTGTCAGGTCTGTACTCTTTTTTTTTCGTTAGTCTGCGATCTCTTTATTTATGACATCTTTCTCGAACTCTGTTACATTGCCTGTCGACCCGTGACACATCTGTCCGTGTTCAGCCCTTTTGCCAGTGCCAGCATTCATCAACCTGCACTGACCAGCATGGTGACATGTCCCTCAAACTCTCCACACTATCCCTCGCAGCGTAGGGAGGCCCTAATCCAGCAGCGGATGGACTAAAGGGCTGCACATGTACCCGCAGTACTGTATACCAAACCATACATCACCGACTTATCGGTTGCCAGATATTCACTGCAATACTTCGTCATGGCCAGTAGGCAGAGTAAAGAGCCACCGTGGGGGCCAGTTTACCACTTGGATTACCACTACTCAACTTTCCAAAAAGTAACATTTCTTATTTGTGAGCCATATCTATGTTTGTGTGATTTTACAAGACCTCTGTGTATTTATCTCCCTATATTTGTTGGATTAGAGGTGACAGGGCAGCTTCGAAAGGCTCTGCTGTACCATGCATGTGCATTTATCTCTATGTGCCTTTCTCTGTCTGCGTGTGTGTGTGTGTATCTGTGTGTCTATGGCTGCGTGTGTGTGTGTATCTGTGTGTCTATGGCTGCGTGTGTGTGTGTATCTGTGTGTCTATGGCTGCGTGTGTGTGTGTCTGTATCTGTGTGTGTCTATGTCGTGGGGAGGTGGTAGTGTAGCGGCTAGTGCGCTGTGCTACGAACCTGGGGACCTGGGTTCGATTCCCACTCACAGCCAACACCAGTGACGATTATATGAACCGGTCCTGGGCTTCCCCTAGGTCGACTCGGCCTCAAATGAGTACCTGGTGCGATGTGTAAACATCGCCACTAAGGAGACAAAGGCGGCCGGGCGTGGTGTTGGCCACCCTCTCCCTCGTGTGCCATGCCGGCTTACATAGGTGCTCGCTAACAGCACTTGCCCCAACAGTCTGTTAAGGCTATATGGGGATCTTTGTTTTTTTTCTACGTCTGCGTGTGTTTCTGCGTGTGTGTATCCGTGTGTGTCCTATGTCTGTGTGTGTAGGAGTGGAGGTGACAGGTGAGCTGCTCAAAGCTCTGCTGCGCCGTCTCCACGAGGCGACACTTGATGTCATCACCGTGATGCTCGTGCGCAACTGCATGCTCACGCCCGCCGACGTGCAGGTGCTGTTGATGAGCCCCCAAGTGCGGCGGTGCAAAGGGTCCCGTCCCGCTTAGGAGCTGTAAAGACAGAGGGCAGGTCCATGTCTAACTGATGAGTCCCAAACCTGGTGGGTTCGTGAGCCATGTCCGGCCGATGAGAACCGAATACAGGGCATTGGCTTATTGATGATTCTCATCCATAGGGGAAGCAGTTCCTCATGTCCTACTGATGATCCCATGTCCTATGAAACTAGAGGGTTATGTCTTAATGAGCCCTAGCAATATGAAATGAGAATTAAACGGCTTTAAATATGTTTAATGACTTCAGAGGCTAGCCATGTTGTTCTGATGAGTCCTGATAAAGTGTAATGCCTACTGAGAGAATAGGCCATTATATGTTGCGTAACAGTTTCGATACGAGGCTGGTGGTGTCCTGCTAATGAGTCCCTATCATGGGCAGCCAGAATCTCTCAACTTACTCGCTCGCCCTAATGAGAGCTGTGTCCTGCGAGATGGAATGGTCCATTAAAAATATGCGTAAGAAACTTAGCTGATTGTGATCTCAAACTTAGTCTTAAATTAATTCCTAGGGCTGTAGTTAAATATCGGCACTCGGCCGACCAAAGGTGGGCAGTCCATTTTACCGGTCACACCGCTTTCTCGTGCGCTGTGCTGGCCTCCGTAGGTAGTCACTAGCAGCACTTTCCTCAACAGTCTGTGAAAGGATATAGAGGATCATAATTAATATATTTTGTCTTTGTGTACGGTATGTATATATGTAGATCTATGTGTGTGTGTGTATATATATACAGTTTGTGTTTCGATTTAAAGCTTTCGTGACTGCAGGGATCCATCTTCTTGGTTCTTTCGGTAAAGTCACGTAGAAGGGACGTTTTGGCCACAACGCAAGCAGCCGGCTGCTTGCGTTGTGGCCGAAACGTCGTGAGAATTATTTTATTTTATTATGTTTTATTTGTATTATTTTATTGCTTCCCTTCTACGTGACTTTACCGAAAGAACCAAGAAGATACAGTTTGTGTGTTTATATATGTCTGTGTGGGTTTCTCGGTATTTCATCTCTTTTACTGCGTTTATGCATGGCTTCGGCAAAAGACTATTGAAGCAAACTTGGCTTTTCGCCATTAAACCTGGTGTTACCAGCACATGTAATGAAAATAATATCTTGGAAAAAGAGTTGTTTTAATTAAATAACAAATGTTCACTTTAAAAAACCCAATTGCAAGGGGCATGAATAGGATTGCGCGTCAAACCACAGGCATCATTTATTAATTGGCGAGCACGGCTATTTCTCTGTGGCCTTAATTAGAGTTGGCGGGACTGATGAATTATAAAACGCACATTGCAAAAGGGTTGTCTGACTGGTTGCATTTTAAAATAATGAAATAATGTTTTGTTTAAATGTACGTGTGTGTGTGTGTCTACTGGATATGTTCTAAGATTGATGATGGGAATGGGGTTTTCATCGTCGTCATTATAGTGTGCTTAAGACTTTTAAGGTGTTATTCGTTGTGGAGGGTGGTGGCGATATTAATGGTGGTTGTTGGATTGTGGTGGTGGTGATGGTCAAGTGAAAGACACCCAGACCGAGGATTCGAACCCAGGGATTCAAAGTTCATTGCTCACTGCTAAGTGTGCCTCTTGACACGGTGGCGGCCATTATGGTCGTCCTATAGACTGGACTCTGCCACAGAAATGTGGAATTTCCTTCACTGGCTCAGGGCTGCTAATAGAGATGTGAACACTTCCCAATACACATCTTAACAGGGAGATATTTTACACACTTGAAGAAATTTGCACTATTGCGCACTTATTAAATGCTATGCTTAAGGACTCAACATTCCTTTGCAAACCCATCCAATCCTATGCAAAGGGTTAAACAAGAAAAATGGATGGTAGGAAATGGAGCGTTAAGAGGTGATAAATATATGGATGAGACCTCGCTGCAGTGGAGTCTGTTTGGTGATTAAAAAAAAGATGTGGTTGTAGGCTCTAGGGGCCCATAATGGCTGTGTCGGACACACAATGCCAGTACCACCGTGTCTTGGGTTTGAGCCCTGCCATTGGCTGTCTCTCGCAAGGAGTTCACAATTGCCTTTTCAGCTACTGTGGCAGCCTATGCCTAGTTCCTGGGTTCGAATCCAGTTCCAGCAGTCCACAATTCTACCAGGTTATTATGAGCTTGGTCTGTGTGTATGTTGAACTTCTTGCGCACCATACGTAGCCAACTGTGCTAATCGGAGGTGCTGATATCTCGGCCCTTTCCCCATTAACTGTACAAAATAATAGCCAACATCATATACATTTAGGATTTCACTCACAATCGCTGCCTTCCCATGTATCCCTCTTTTCTTATCCTGTTGCTCCTCCTCCCTTTCTCTCCCTTATCTTCTTTTACCTCGATTTCCCACCCATCACCTCCCTTAAACTCGCAAGACCTCACCTTTCAGCTCTCCCCCACCTCCAATCACCTCCCTTTACTTCCTCTCACCGCCTCTCCATTCCCACCACCTTCGCCTGCCTCTGTTTGCTTCCCTTTGCATTCTTCACCTCTTGTTCCCCCGTTTCGTTTATTTTCTTCCTCTGCATCATCAGCGTCTCATTGCCTCCCCATGCGACTTGCCTCCTCCTCGCATCCCTTCACTTCATCTCCCACTAACTCCTGTCACATCTGCTCACTTCTCATCAGCTTCCTTCATGTCGATGTACCTCTTCTTCCTCTTCACTCCCCCCCGCTGCTTCCTTGACTCTTGTTTCTCTATACCTCTCGTCACCACCCTCCTTCTTTCACCTCCCATCATTTCCCGTCACCTCTGCTCACCATCCCTCACATCTCTTCACTTTCCCCTCCCTTTCCCTCTCCTTGCTTCACCTCTCCCTCACTTCCCCCCGCACCTTCATTGTATACCTGCTCTCACTTTCCCTCGTGCGTAGTTCCTCCAGCCACATGGGCAGGCACCGTCGGAAACCGTGCTGGTGTTGATGCCGCCAATGTGGGGCCCGCGCTTCCCGGCCGTCCTGCACTACCTCCGCCAGAACCTGCACACCTTCCTCCTCTCGCCCAAGTACATCGACACCGATCCTGAAAACCACTTCCAGGTCAGGGGCTGGTGGCAGTTCAGGGTGGGTTGGCGGGGGGGAAGGAAACCTTTGGAGAGTGCATCCCTGTTTTTTTCTCCATGTCGTGTAACTCCGCGTGTCTCCCCCTCCCTGTGCCTCTTCACCTCCCCATAGCTCCCTTCAACTTCCTCTGTTTTCCCTTCATCACCCCCGAATGGTTCTATAATGTACAATGAATCGATGCAAGCAGATAATGAATCTCACGGGCACTGACTGGTCTGGTTAAAGGACGAAAAGAATTCATGGTACAAGTTCAATTGTTAAGTAAAATACAACAAATAATAATAATAATATAGCTACCTGGAATTCATAGTTCTCGACTCACAATTAGTAGATTATAAGTTCAAAGGCTGCTCTGGGGTCGAATTGGCCTATCACCATTATCAACCCTCCAGGGTTGGGGAAAAATAGTACCACTTTGTTCAACGTCTTAAAACAGTGGTTGTCTTGGAGCGTCTGGAGCCTGCTGTGAAAATGTGATTTCCTCCACTAGCCTAGCAGAGGTACACTTTTGAAAGAGACAGACACCCAGACATAAGGAGGATTGAACCCTAGATCTTCGAGTTTGCTGGCTAACATGGCCAATATGAGCCTAACCTCCTGACTGGGAAAGAGGGGACACACTCTCTGGTTAATATTTTTAACACCACACAAGCCACACTTTGAGAGAGACTGACAGAAAGATACTCAGCTCCTGGGCCTGAACCCATAAATTCCTAAATTGCTAGGTTTGTGTGTCACGTGACTATTATGAGCCCCCAGAGGGAGACGGAGAAAGTGAGAGACAGACCTGCATCAGGGCTCAAACTCAGGGAAGGGTGAGGTTTGTTGATTCTGGCTTGTGAATGATGTGTTTCTACTCCAGCATTGCCCTGACAAGAGATATTCAAAGGGAGAAATTTACCTGTACAACAAGCCTGGCGGTCTGGGAACAGGAGGAAAAGGTAAGGAACCACTGAGCCTCACTCAGTCTTGAGTAACATAAAGCCAATATAAAACCAAATTGAAAACCGTGTTACATTTCACTTTGTTGCGTTTAAAATGTTGCACAGCGTGCCATGTTAAGCACTGCAACTTGCTTCGGTTTAGCAATGTATTTATACATTACTGAGCCATTGGGGTCAACCACGATCCACGTGTTTTAATTATTCATTGGTTAAAGCAGGAAATGCATGGATGCCCAGCCCAAGGGGCTCAACTTAGTCTCAAGGAAATGCATCTGGTTTGGCCTATGAGTAAAAAAAAAAAGGAGACTTTTATTTGCGCGAGGAACACGCAAATAAGAACGTACGAATAAAATAACCAGGACAAATTATTTTTTCCGTTTTATTCAACATCTCTGGATTCATGCGTGACAAAAAACCCCCATGTTTAATATTTACCCTCATGCTGCCACATGACAATCCATGTAATTCAATCTGGCCAATCGCGGCGCCGTCTTATGTGTAACAATAAAAAAAAAACACTTTGAGCAAAGTTGCTGTGAGTTTGCATACTCGCATGCATCTTTCTTTTTCTCGTGTAGCATTCTGGTAGCATTGCTGTGTGCAACGTTATTGCATGAACGTTGCACTAGTTAACTTGCGGTTAATGATCGCGCCCCCACACAAACTGACCACGTCCATCATCGTGCTCTGCTGATTGGTGCTGTATCAACAGCGGCGGCCCAAGACCATCCGTCCTTTGTAGTGTATTTAAGGCTTTATCGATGTGAGGGCTCAATATTTTCTCAAGAAGGCCAGTCTCAATGATCAAGTTCCTTTCTTGTATGCTCCGCAATGGCTTTCCATTCAAAAGTCCAAGAGAAAAGCTCAAAATAATATAATAAATCAATTAAAATCCCTACTTTTTGTTTCGGTAAGTTCAGCATCTTACTGTTTTTTTTTTAAATGGAATTGCTTCTTCTTTACAAACCATGGTGGTTGGTGTTCTGTGATTTCCTTGTTATCTTTAAAGCTTTTTTTCACTGTAGCTTCCTGCTCAGAGGTGTTTCTAATTGTATTGAGTTTGACGCATGAAACGTTTCCTTCTCATTTACCGTCACTTAAAGACATAAAAAAATGTCAAGGACATATTAAACATTTTTTCCTGCTTGTGGATACTATTTTGTCTATTTGTGGCGGGATCAATAATGATCTTTCCTGACTTTAACGTAATTTTCTCCAGGCACCAGATCTTATGATGCTGCTTTTCCACTTGTGTCACAGTGCCAGTCAGCGTCCTGTTGTTTTCTGACATTATCAGCGTCTGTCGTCTGCTTTTCCTCATGAATAGGATACGTTTTTAAGGATTTATTTAAACGATCCTCTTCATTTTCCAAACCACTTTTTTTATTATCAATTTAACAGCATGTTTTCAAACAAAAATGAAAATTGGTAATTGGCTTAAAGTGATACATTAAAAAAACCTTAATATTATTTTGTATTATATATTATTTCTATTATATAATTAATAATGTGTGTCCACAAAGCTCCCCATACATACCTGAGTCAATGTTGATAAACAACGGCCTCATTTATAGGAATTCAACAGTGGTCATCCTATGGATGGACTGGGCCCCTGCCATAGGAATGCTTGGGGTATCTGCACAGGACGGAGGTGCTTTGGTTACATTGGAATGAGACGGAGGCCAGTGACTGAAGGGAAGACATAGCCATGTGGGGGGTGCTATAAACATGGTCCTTAAAATACCTGTTGACTGTGCAAGAAAGGGAGCTGATAGGAACGTTGGGTTGCTCGGTCAATGGCCAGGGTCAACGGCGGCGTGGTGTATTCCACAAATATGGCCGACCTGTGAGGGCGGGCACAAGCCGTCGTGAGTAGGTTAAACGTTGAGTTTTATAAGGGCACCACGGGGTGACCAGCCCCTCCCACGCCCCTCCCCACCCTCCCCTCCCCACCCAGCCCCTCCCCACCCTCCCCTCTCCACCCAGCCCCACCCCTCCCATTTTTGGATGCAGGATGGACGGACACAATAATCCCCTGTGGGCTGGTGTAACCAGGAGGTTCCTACCAGTATAACTAAATCCTAGTGGTGGGAATGTAAGAGTGCTCCTTGAAGGCGATGTCGACTGTGTAACAAGACCAAAAGCCGCCACAGTTCTAGTAATGAGACTGAGGGTGATGCTTGAAGGGCATGTCCATGTTGTAGCAAACAGAAGACCATTATCATCACGCGTTACATTTATTTTTTGGAAAGAGTAGGTCTTTATTTTTACAGTTATTTCATTATCCATTTATAAAAATCAAAATAACATTTGTGCTTAATTTGCAATTTTTTTTAAGGAAAAGCAAATCTTTATTTTGGTCTCTCTGAAAAAAATCTTTAACATGATTAAGGAATTATTTATTTCTGTGTGCAGAGAGGTCCGTAAATCTAAACTTAGCAGAGTGCCTCCTGCTTGGAAATTGATGCTTTGTCAATCGATTTTTCTCTTTTTATTTTTTTATTTCGACCGCTGAGACGTTGCAGGTTTGGGGTGGGTTTGTTACAGCGAATCAAGCGGCATTCGACGTGACCAACAATGTTACCCCAGCCTCCTCATCCTGCCACTCTTCCATCGCTCACCAAACATTTAACCCTTTATTAGACCGAGACTTGCCTGCACAGGACGCTGGGTTGCAGCATTTTGAGTATTAATTCACACCAGATTTTAAAATCACAGTCTTCATTGAGGTTCAGTTCTAGAAGACTGGGTTTCAGGATTTCAGACCCATCATCGAAACTAGATTTGAGGATCTTTATCTTTGCCAAGACTTGAGTTATAATTGAAGATTGGGATTATAGCCTCTTGGAGCCTAGTCTCAATTACAACTCATTACACTACCTTGCGCTAATAGATAAAATTAAGACCGAGGACACACCATTTCTCCTATGAGTATTGGCCCCTAAACTGCATTACCCTGGTGGTCTGTTCTAATTTCCTCCCGACTGCTGCTTGCTGTTTTTTTCGTAACTTTTTTTTCATCGTTTTTATATATTTTTTTCTCCTAATTGTTCCTATGTTGTTGTTACGTGGTGAAATACATTTCCACTCGGAACTCTCACAGAATGCTAACATCTTCCCGAAGATGCTACTGAACCACTCGAGTCCCTTCAATTGCCTTTCATACCGATGTCACGAGCTGTGCCGTAGAAGCGTTCGTTGCACGGACATCGAGCTGAGCATTTTAGTCCTCTGCTTTAATTTGCTTAATGTCTGCAATAAAACACAAATTTCACTTTTTTCTGCACATTGGTTGGTGATCGGGCTGAGAGCATTCACTCTCTGCACTTGAGAACTGCTTGTAATTACTGCTGGCTGAATTATGGACCTCGGTGGTGCCATGTCGCAGGCTGATGGAGTTACTGACCCAATGGCTGTCGGTAACGCTGACAAAGCCATTTTGATGTGAAGTGGTGGAAAATCTTAAATTGTACCAATGATTTTTATGCTATCCTAGGTATCTGAAGACAGCCATGTATCTTTGATAATTATTACAGCAAAAATATTTAGCATTTTCAGCAGAGGCAGTGGCAGAATCATCATTGCCATCATTCGCATCACCACCACCACCATCAGGAGCAATAGTAACAGTATAAGGGTTTATGGAAAGACAGTTGGAGAGCGTGGGAGATGAGATAGATATATCATAGAGAGAGAGAGGGCGAGTACGGGACTGGAAGGATTGAAGAGGGGAGAGCTATAATAGGGTAGAGAAAGGAGAGGAGAGAGGGTATAGTGGTGTGTCATTCAAACAGCATTTGACAGGAAACACAGAATACATAAATCAGATGATGCACACGAACACATGCACACAGATACGTAAATCCACAGATATCGAAATGCACTCTCATGCACACACAAACACACTTTTTCATTCACCCACACACGCTCCTTCATTCACCCGCACACTCTCCAATTCACTCACAATTGTACACTCCCTTTCACTCATACACTCTCCCTTTCACTCCGACACACTCCCATTCGTACATTATCCTATTCGCTCATACATACACACAAACTCTCTCCCAGTCACATTCTTCCATTCCCTTAGACACACAGACATCTTCCCATGCATTCGTACATATACACATACACGCTTTCCTATTCACTCTGGTACAAAGACAAAGATCCCCCCTTAACAGGCTGTCGGGGCGAGTACTGTTATTGATCACGTACTCTCATACAAAGAAACACACACATACAAAAACAACTGCCATTTGTCACTAATTAGTGGTGACATCACTGCAGTGCTTGTGCCAGGCTAGATGCATCTTGAGGTGCGCACACGCACACACTCTCACACACATGCATGCTCTACCACTCGCTGAAATACTTTCCCATTCACCGACACACGCATACACACACATCCATTCACCCTCGCTCATACTCGTACGCATATGCATGCACACGCACAGAGAGGCTTTTAGTGATATTGATTGGTAATGATGGAGTGCCGTGTTATGAATGAACGCAGCAAAATTAATATCGCGTCCAGTTAAATTAAGGCGCTGAGGGCAGGAAGGCAAAGCCTGGCTTAGAAGTTTCAAACCCCCTCTGATTTTAACCCCTGAGACAGCGGCATTATCCTTATTAATACTCGTGTCAAAATGTCTCCCTGCTTTAGAGTGCTTTGAGCGACATGCTTCTCTTTGTATGTATGTTCAACTTTTTTCCCACCGTGTGTAGCCATCCGTGCTGTGATCGGAGGTTGGCAGTCGGGAGCTGGCAGAGGTTCCATATTCCCGTGGCGGGTTCCAGTTGATCCCTACTACAATCACTGTTGATGAAGCATATTCTGTTGACCTCACACGGACAACTTGTTTCTAATGGTAACAACGCTGGGTGTGGTGGTAATGGCAGTAGTATTAATATCGTTCTCTATTTATCCGTATTCTACATTGCATTTTATTTAGCCCTTTGAGAGGCCATATTATCCATGTTTCATGACTGACATTCTTTAAATATCTATATGGGAGCCCATGAACTCGAACTCATTGCAATAAATTTCACTGTAATTGCCATCCTTAATTTAACCAGGTGAGAATTCAAAAAATGCATCCTCATAAATGAGATTCCTTTATTTAACCAGTAAAGAGTCCATTGACATGCATTATTTCGTCAATGACATCTTTTATTTAAGCACATCGGTGCCCACGGAAATCCATTGCCTCTCAATAATTGGTAACCTTATTTAATCTGGCTGTGGTATATTGAGAGATTTATAAATTGTACACACGAACGTACCTACCAGGGACCTAAAGAGAAAAACAGTGAGCCGCATTGCAAATGCCCACGACTCAAAGATCCCGAGGAAAATGTTGATATAATTCTCAGTGTTTTGTGGTGGACACTACTGAAACTAAAGCATGCCTTTTGACAATTCTGCATGAGTGCAGTGGGAGAAGCGAGCCCAACAATGCTTGCGTTACTGCGTTGTGTATCGCATGCATTGCGTTAAAATATCCGATCCATCATAACCAGCTTAAATGCGCTCCTCCCCTCCGTGTGTGTGGAGATTAATGATGGCACAAATGCGTATGTGTGGCGGCTGTCTGCTCTCATTGACATAAATCTGTGAGCATGTGTTTGTACGAGGCAGAGTGTGTGCAGTGGTGTGCGTGGGGAGCGGTAGTGTAACAGTTCGCACACGCTGCGCTACGAACCTGGCGATCCGGTTTCGATTCCCGCTCACGGCAAATATTTGAACCAGTTCTAGGCCTCCCCTAGGTCTACTCAGCCTTACATATGCGGTGTGTAAACAGCAGCACGGTGGAGACAAAGGCAGCTGGGTGTGGTAATGGCCACCCACCCCACCGTGGTCCGTACTTGCTAACAGCACTTGCCCCAATGATATATCAAAGGCTATACGTGGGATATTTGTATCATGTGCTTCTGATTGTGTCTTATTAGTATGAATGAGAGTGTAATAATGGTGATGAATATGTAATAATAACCCGAAGACAATCTCATTGCATTGCACACTCTTTGCAAGGAGTGTCCTGCATTGCATTATAAGTCATTTTAAATGTATACATATATATGTGCTGTACGAACTCTGCGACCGGAGTTCTATTTATGCTTACGGCCAACTTCCGTGACACATATATAACTGGCCCTGGGCCTCCCATAGGTCATTTGACCCTTAAATTCATACCTGATGCAGTTTGTAAACATTAGCTTAGAGGAGACATTGGCAGCCGGGCATGGTGCTGGCAACGCTACCCACGAAATGTACTGTGCTAGTCTTATTAGGTACTCGCTTACAGCACTTGCCCCAACAGTCTGTTAAGGCTATACGTGAGATCTTTGTGTGGTATGTGTGGGATTGCATGTTTATTTGGGTGGAGCAGTGGTGCATTTATTTGTGCACTCCACTACTAGTAAAGATCTGGGTTAAATTTCTGGTCACATAACATTAATGGGCAATTATTGTCTGAATTTATCCTGCGCCTTGTCCCTAGGTTAACCGAGCCTTAAATTAATACTTGGTGCAGTGTGGAAACACCATCACTAAGGGGACAAAGGTAGCTGGGAGTGACGCTCGCTATGCCTCCCTGTGTGCTGTTGCCGGCTTCCATAGCTAACCACACCTCCGATTTAGCAGTTGGCTACGTACGGTACGAAAGAAGTTTAACAAACCTACATTTTGGAAGGCTATACAGGGCTCTCTTATCTTTTTTGTGTCTGCACACATTTGTATAAATGTGTGTGTGTGTGTAGCAAGCACATTTGTATATATATATGTGTGTGTAGCAAGCGGTAGTGGAGCTGTTAGCTGCGCTGCGCTACGAAGCTGGCGACCGGTGTTCGATTCCCACTCACGGACAACATCGGTGATGATTATCTGAACCGGTCCTGGGCCTCCCCTAGGTCGACTCGGCCTCAAATGAGTACCTGGTGCGGTATGTAGTAAACATCGCCAGTCAGGAGTCAAAGGCGGCCGGGTGTGGTGCTGACCACCCACCCCCTCATTTGCCGTTCCGGCTTTCATGAGCGCTCACTAACACCACTTCCCCGAATCGTCTAAGGTTATACGGGGATCTTTGTTTTGTGCATCCATCTGTGTAAGTTTTTGTGTACGAGTGTGTGTGTATGACGGTGTTTTGTTTATGTATGTGTTTGTATGCTTGTGTTTTTGTATGTGTGTGCATGTGTAATGCCTTTGTCAAGTAGGACCCATATATACAGAGCACAAGCGGAGAGTTATAATAATGCTGAGAGCTCGCCCACCCTCCCCCACTCGCCTTCAATTGAATCCAATGCACTTAGCATCGTCTTCCGGGACCACAGACCACCCAAAGTGGCTGTCAGAGGAATTAAATACAGCATCATCACAACACACACAGCCTCCTACAGCCTGCAATTCATACAAGCTATAAACCTGTCTTGTTGAGATGAGTGGGTAAGAGAGTGAGTGTGTGAGTGAGTGAATGTGTACGCACATCTTGTTTGTGTGCCCCTATGCATAAGTGTGTTCTGGTTGGTGCATTTGTATGTGGGTGAGTAGATCAGTGTGTGTATCTGTACATGTATGGTGAGCGGCAGTGTAGCAGTTCGCTCGTTGTACTATGAACCCAGCAACGCGAGTTCGATTTCCGCTCAAGACCAACATCGGTGACAATTACCTGAACTGGTCCTGGGCCTCCCCTAAGTAGACTCAGCCTAAAATGAGTGCCTGGTATGGTGTGTAAACATCACCACTGGGAAGACAAAGACGGCCTGGCGTGGTGCTGGCCACCAACCCTGTTTAGTCCTGTCCTGGCCTTCATATGTGTTCACTAACGGCATTTGCCCCAACAGTCTTTTAAGGCTATACACAGGGGATCTTTGTCTTTGTTATGGGGAGCTGTGATGTTGTTGGTACCACACTGCCTTAATAATAGTTATTAATCCGGTGTGAAAACATCAGCACTGGGGAGAAGGTGGCTGGGTGCGGTGTTCTCCTCACCACACTCCCGCATGCGGCTCTGCAGGCTTGCAAACAGAATTTGGCCTAGCAGTCTGTAAAATATGTAGGGCATCTTGTTCTTTGTGTGTGTTGTGTGGGGAGCGGTAGGGATAGTACGTTGCGATTCTGGTATCTGAACATTTCCTAGGCCTCCTCTATGGCCACTTCTTCGACGAGTTACTACCGTATGGTCTTTCAACACCTGAGGTCGCTGGGTATGAACCTGGCCTGGCCAACACTACCGTGTCCGTGACACATACAGGCCGATGTAGGTGTCAATGTCGTGCCTGTTGCATATTAGCATTTTCTGCACCTCTGTTTCCATGATGAACTCATCCAATGAAGTATTAAAGGAAGATTTCACCCAATAGATATATTTACGTGTCATATGTGTGTGTCTTTGTCGGTGACATGTGTGGGGAGCAATGGCGCAGTAGTTGGCGCTTACACTGCCTTACAAACCTGGCAACCCGAGTTTGATTCCCGCTTATGTTCAACATCGGTGACTAATATCTAAACCTGTCCTGGGTCTCATCTAGGTCAACTCAGCCTTGAATGACTATCTGGTGTCATGTGTAAACATCAGCACTGGGGAGAAAAAGATGGCTGGGCATGGTACTGGCCAACTAACCTACCCGCTTGTCCCCCCGTGCCAGGTATAATAGGTGCTCTCTGACGGCACTTGTCTTGACCTCCGTGTGCAGGCATCGCGTGTGTGGCTCTGTCTGTGTTGGCACCGCCCGCCGACACCGGTGAGAGCAGCACGGAAGAGATGAAGAGAGACCCCCTGTCGGACACCGACCTAGACGCTATGACCCAGGTCACTCTGGTCAAAGAGGGCAGCGAAGGTGAGTTCACACCGAGTCCTCGGCCTCAAATGACGACCTGGTGCGGTGTGTACACATCAGGACTAGGGAGACAAATGTGGCCGGGTGTGGTGTTGGCTGGCCCACCCACTCCTTGTGGGCCATACCAGCCTTCATAGGCGCTCGCTAGCAGCACTTGCCCCAGCAGTTTGTTAAAGGCTAGAGACGCGAGTTTGATTCCTGCTCATGGCCAATTCCATTGACGATTATCTGAACTGGTCCGGGGCCTCCTCTACGTCGACTCGGCCTGAAATGAGCAGTTGGTGTGGCGTGTAAACATCGCCACTGGGGAGACCAGGCCGTCGAGCGTGGTGCTGGCCATGCAGCCCCTTGTGTCCCGTGCCGGCCTTCATCGGTGCTCGCTAATATCACTTGCTGGATGGGGGATCTTTCTTTAGTGTGTGTGAAGTGTGTGAGGATGAGTGTGTGTGTGTAGTACCCACAGGTGCCGTGTTCCGCTTCTCGCTGTGGGAGACGGGCACCATCAGCATGGTGCAGCTGTGCGAGCGACTCCGGGCGGCCGTGCTCCACGCGGTGTGCGAGGCAGCGCTGGAGTTCGCCGTCCTCACCGCCCCTCTCTCCATCCCCGAGCTGTCCTCGTCGTCCTCGTCGTCGCCAACTGTCGTCATTTATGTCATCGTCGCCAGCCGGAGCATCGTCATGTTCGGCATCATCACCAGCCGCAGCTCCAGAAACATCAACACTAACACCGCTGTCGTCATCAGCAGCATCATCGTCAACATCATTGTCACCATCAGCAGCTGCAGTTGGAGCATTGCCATCGGTAGCATCGTCAACAACACAAACGTCACCATTATCATCGTCATTGTCAACGGCAGTACCACAAGCCACTGAAGGCGATTCGGGAATGGCTTCGAATGGTACGGAACATTTGCAAGCACCTAATTTAAGGAAAAATAACAGTTCTTCTCTAGCTAACTGCACACCCATCCTGTGTGTCATCTGAATCCAACACAAGCTTCACGCTTCCTTGATGAGAATCTCCAAAGTCAAATGTGTAATCATTGCCACTGACCGATTTTTAGAATGCTCCACTGTCGGACGATCATCAATTAAAGATCCTGTGCCACCCAATTGGCCAGATTAAAAAAAATTCTCGCCAAAAGTTGGTCTAATCGGCACAGTCAGTTTGGGTGTGCGTGGCTGGAAGGGAACTTAATTAAATTGGGTAAATTTATTGTTTTATTGGGCTCCTATTTATCTGAATTGAGACGATATAAAGCATTGATTTGAGTAGCTGCTAATGTTAAATGTAAAGGGTTTAATTAACACAAGTAGTTGTTGTTTCTCAACTTGTCGTTCTTACTTTAGTCGCTATATTTGCGGTAGTTTATGTAGATGTTGTAATGGTAGTCGCGTGATTTTTGTCGTGGTGATTGTTCTTTTTTCTTTAGTTCCCGTTGCCATGACTTCTCCAGCCCCTGCCGCTCGCTCCCTCTCCAACCCCATCCCGGGCGGAACGCGGGGCTCTCAACCCCCGCTCTCTCCTGGAATTACAGCGGGTGTTTCTGCAATGCCAGAGCTAGCCGGGACGTCTGGAACATCGCAGGGAAAGTCTGCGAGGAGGAGCTTTTGGGAAATATTAGCGGTGAGACGGTGACTGATTTATGCTGCTGCTGCTTCTGCTGTTGCTGATGTGAATAGTGCTGCCACTCGTGATGATAATGATGAGCAAGCTTGTTATGATGGACGCTTGTGTTGCGACCGAAACGTCGTGTTCTTTTATTATTTTTTCTAGTATGGATTCCTGCAGTCACGAAAGCTTCAAATCAAGATAATTATTAATGTATTTCTACTTATGATGTTGCTAGTTACGATAATAATGCTGCTTTTAACTATGATGATACTTTTGGTGATGATGACAACAGCTACTGCTGTTGATGATATTTATGATGGTGTTACTTTGTGGGGAGTGGCAGTGTAGCAGTTAGCACGCCGCGCTCCGAAACTGGCGGCTCGAGTTTTCTTCCTGCTCATGGCCAACACCAGTCACGGTGATTTGAAGCAGTCCTGGGCCCCCCCCTAAGTTGACTCTGCCTCAATTGAGTACCTCATGCGATGTGTAAAAACATTGCCACGATGGAGACAAAGGCAGTCTGGCGTGGTGCTGGCCACCCCAATCCCTCGTGTGCCGTTCCGGCCTTCATAGGTACTCGCTAACAGCACTTGCCCCAAACAGTGTTAACGCTATACTGGGGGATATTTAGTCTTTGTTCTTACATATATTGCTGTTGGTCATGATGATGATGGTGCAACTTTATTGATGTCTGCAGAACAAGACGGATTCTCCAAATGCCAGCTCGCCCAAGACTACAGACGACATTACCTCAAATCCACGTGACGAGGTGACTTGTAACGGGGTGTTTTAGAAATTGCTCTTAGAGACACTTAACACTCTTATCGACTATTGCAGGATTGGATGTTTCAGAGACAGCGTTTACAAGCCGACGTGTGGATTTGCTCAATGTCTCGGTTTTTCCTGTTTGTATGGATATTGAATTTCCTTCGTAGCCAACCGTGCTAATCGGAGGTGTGGGGGAAGGGGGCAATAAACTAAACACGTGAAGCGGTTATAAAGAAATTGGTTTTCAATCTAGATTTAAATGTGCATAGCTCTAGTGGCTTCCTAATATCGGGAGGAAGAGCTTTCCAGATGGCCGCAGAAGCACATCCAAAAGCGCGTGATGCACTGACCATCATCGTTCAATGTCTAGCCAAAAGCAGCTGCGAGGATGACCGGAGGTCGCATAATGGGTTATGTTCCTCGACGAGATCCGCAAGGTGTTGTGGTACATTTGTGACGAGCACTTTGTGTGTAATGAGTACGACCTTATGGGTCCATGGGGTTGGTGGCAGGTGGGTGCGGGGCGACGCCGGCGGCATAAGACTGGCACAGGGGCGCAGAGCGATGCGGCTGCGAGTCCTGCTGGTAGCGGGACTACCTGGCTCCACCAGGAGATTGCACGCAGGCAGGAGGAGGAGAAGAGGTAAGGGATGGGGGGGGGGGAGGGAATTATCGAGTCTCCAGTCATGAGACCCGGACTATCAATTCGATCAATTCTCAGGCACACTTTGCGTGGTTGGGTAATTCGCTATATTGCCAAAATGGGTGTGTGGACATGTGGGTGAATGGTTGGGGTGTATTATAGTAGAGTGCATCAATCAGTACATCCATGAAGGAGTATATGTTAGTGAGTGTGGGTGAGTGGATGGTTAAGGGTGAGTATTTGTTTTCACGAGGTAATGGTTCTGTGTTGTGATTAGTCGTATAACCTGAGCATATCGTTGATGTGTGTGAGCAAGAGGGGGTGTGTGCAGGGGAGCAGCGGTCGTGTAGCGGTGAGCGCGATGCGCTACGAACCTGGCGACCCGAGTTTGATACCTGCTCACGGCTAACACTGGTGACGATTAGCTGAACCGGTCCTGGAACTCCCCTAGGTCGACTCAGCCTCAAATGAATACCTTGTGTGGTGTGTAAGCATCGCCCCTGCGGAGACAAAGGTGGCCGGGCGTGGTGTTGGCCACCCACCCCCTTGTCTGCCGTGCCGGCCTTCATAGGTCCTAGCTAACAGCACTTACCCCAACAGTCTGTTAAGGCTATATTGGGGATATTTGTGTGCGTATGGGTGTCAGTGGATAAGTGGGTAACGTGGGTAGGTGTAAGTGTATTGGTTAGTATACGGAGGTTGAAATATTGGGACCTGAGTTTGGGTCCTGCTCACAGCCAATTTCAGTGACTATCTGGACCCATCCAACTTCGCCTGAAAGAGTACCTGGTGCAGTGTGTAAGTCCCTGGTACAGTGTGTCAGCATTAGCACTAAGGAGACGGAGGTGACCCAGGTGCAGTGTTGGTTGCCCACCCACCTCTTCGTGCACCTTGCCAGCCTTCATTGGTGTTTGCAAACAGCACTTTCCCCAAAAGTATGTTTTGGCTATATGGAGGCATCTTTATCTTATCTTTGTTTTACAGGCAGCGCCTGGAGGAGGGTCTTGTTGGAGTGCTCCACCCAGCCTACATGGGGCCTTGCCAACGATGGCTGGAATTTATGCATCACAGAGGTGCGTGCATACACAAATTTGAAACTACAATATATCTTGATGTGAAGAAAAATGCACGCGTAATTTGCGAGAAAATAGTGTTATTGACCTTTGTTAATATACTTTTTTTCTATCAAAAGTATAAGAACAAAATGTAGACTTTTTGAAAGTCTTTTTAAAAGTCTACCATTTTAATTTAGATTTGTTTCTGTGAGTGCTATTGGCGACAGCAGGGTGGCTTCCTGTGCTTAAGTCATTGCTTTTGTGACTAAGTATTGAACTTTGTAGCAACACCGAGTGGCATGTGAAGCAGTATCGCATGACACCATTGATCAACATGCAGACCCAGCAGCATTGATAGCCAAAAAACGTGGTACAGTTTGTATTTACGTGCCAATCTTATTTTCCGTCTGTGTTTTGTGTGTGTGATAGCAAAGAGGGGAAATCAAGTAGAATTCGTTAAAGAGGCAGGGGGTGATCATTTCAGACGCAGGAATGCAACCGTATTTTTCCCATCAAGTCTTATTTGTCAAATACAGTTTTGCCCAACACGGCATTATCCAGGAACGTAACCCCTACGTTTGCCAATGTATGACTGTCCAGTGCAGAGAAGGCAAGATACAGGTGGTGAGAGATGGGGCTTGGTATGAGATATAAAGTTTTGTTGGCTGGCTGGCTGACTGGCCGACTGGGAGGAATAGACAGACGGATGGATGGTCACGTCCAAAGGACATGTGGGTTGCCATTATATACAAAATATAAATACACACTCTCACATTGATATATGTGAATGCATTATTTAATGTACAGACATACAACATCCCTGGTCAGGACATTTCGTGCACATTGTTTTTTCACTTCGCCAGTGGTGATCATAACCCCAATGACGTCGGCATTTTGTGTCACTCCGGTCCCCTAGGTGGAAATAAGACTTGGAAAATAACGGAATGTCACCTTGTATTCAGACTGAATAGTGTTCAATCAACAGGGTGAAATTAATATCTCTCATTTACTTGCAAAGTATTGTTTTTTGAATATTAGATAAACCCTATTCTTACGTTTAAAATCTTGACTTAAAGCTTTCGTGACTGCAGGAATTCATATTGTTTGGGTCTTTCGGTAAAGCCACGTAGATAGAAAAAAAAATCACGATGTTTCGATCGCAACACAAGCAATCACCATCAGGTAATCACCTGATAGAAAAAAAAATATTACTAAATTATATCTACGTGGCTTATGTTTTAAGTAAAATAATTGAAACGCATGGGTTAGCAAAGTACAGTTTCTCCCTCTACATAATTTTGACAGTAATTTTAAGCCATGTGAATATAAAAGTTACAATGTCAGGTTTATGTCGTTCATCATGTTCCTGTTGAATTGGTCATGTTCATCACATGTTGGCCATTATGTGTTTTTCATGTGCAAGTTGCCCCTTTCATGGTCGTACCGTGTTATATTGCTTGTGTTGTATTTGTGCAGTGCGCAGGCTGCCATTTAATTGTGTGTTGGTGGTGTGTGTGGGCTACCCATTTTATAAAGCATGTTTGTGCAGATTTTGTATCAAGTTAATCATGCTAGCGTAGTGTGAATCGTGCTCGCATTTTTTTAACTTGTTGGAATGGTGCTTAGGATGCCTGCTGTGTTAGTGTCATTATTGACCGTGCAAGCATTGCATGTATGTGTAAATTGTGTGCAAGCTGCCCATTATATAGTTTGTATTTCGCTAGCAGTGTTATATTCGGAGCTTGTCGATTGCCTTTGAGTTGTGTCTACGCTCCCTGTTGAGTTAGCACCACCTTGATCATATTAGCAACGTGCTAGCATCGTGTTCACTTGATGTTACTGTCGTATTAATCATGTCATTTGAAGGCTGAATGGTGTGTTAATAGTGTTGCTAATCTGTTGATTGTGGTGTTGTGTTTAGGCTGCCCATCAGTACAGCGCTGTGAGATGGAGCTGTCGTCGCGTCTCCAGGTCGACCGTTTCCTCGCAGAGACCGAAAACCTCGTGCACGGCGCAGCCGAGGACACGAGCGTGCGCGTCTACATCAGGGACAGGTGACACGATGACACCAACAACGGCACCGACACAGCAATGCGGCACGACACGTTAACACGACACGTCATACTGACCACGCACTTAAAATTAATGAGTAACACGAAGCACAATAATAAAGAGAACGTTAACACCACACAGTAATGACATTGTCATGTACGTATGCCTGTGGGTATATATGTGCCGTGCCGGCATTCATAGGTGCTCGCTAACAGCACTTGCCCCAACAGACTGTTAAGGCTATACGGAAGATCTTTGTCTTTGTGTATTTCTGTATGTGTACCCATCTGTGTACTCGGTAATAACCAATTAGCACCGATGGCTACGTCCAGTGCGAAAGAAGTTCAACATACATTCGTGGACGTCTGAAACTCGCGATCACAGTCACTCAGTACCCTTGCATATCACTCGCATTGCTATTGCGATCATTAAGATTATTAAGACGATTCTATCCGTGGACCCCCTGCATTGGGTTTTTAGATTTGTTGAGTTGGTGGAGATGAGGAACTGACCCTGCTGGGAGTTGTGGATTCACAAATGGTGGAACAAATTGCCAACCCCTCTGTGTATAACTGGCTGCTGTGCCATCTGCTGAGGAGGTGTAAAGTGCCAGCCAAAGCCAGACACCGAATATAGCCACAGTAAACTACTCAAGGAAGATGGAATTTCTGTGCGGACTGGTTTTATGTGACATCATCACAACTGCTTTGACCGAATGACAGGTCCCAAAAGACTTGAAGGGTACCCTGGTAGTCCCTTTTTTAAATATAAAACTAGCGGGAAGTACCCGGCATTGCCCTGGTGAAAAAGACAGACACACACATCGACTTACACACACTTGCAGACATTGACCCACACACACACACAAACACATCGATTTACACACACACAGACACATGCACTCACACACACAGACATGGACTTTAGATACACACACATGGAGTTACACACAAATATAAGATCAGGAATATTGCACCATTCTTTTGTCTTTCTATAGATTGTGGGGAGCGGTGTCACGGTGGTTAGTACACTCGACTACAAAGTTGACAAACTGAGTTCGATTTCCATGCGCAGCTGACGTCGGTGGCGAGTCGTCATTCAAACTTGTCCTGGGACTCCTGTAGGTTTGACTTGGCTTACAATGAGTCGCACATGAGGAGACAAATGAAGCCAGGGTATGGTCTTGGTCACACTAATCCATCTTGAGTCGTGCAGGCCGTACCAGGTTCTTGCCCCAGCAGATTATATTAAAGGTTACATGGGGTTCCTTCTTAATTGTTCTATATACCTGCCTGTATCAAAGTATATGTGTATGTACATGCATGTCTGTGTGTATAGATGCATGTATAACTATCTTGCCTGTATATGTGTCTATCCTCGTAACAATAAGTTACAGCCCATTGGCATTCCACTTTTGGATGAAGCCCTCCCCACGCCATGTCAAGGATGTATGAGTGTGCATGTATGTGCAAAGATCTGGGCAAAGTCCCATCGGTAAGCTCCTCCGGCAGGCAAGGCTGCGTTGGCTGGGTCATGTAGCCCGCATGCCCAGTCACCGCATGCCTAAACAGCTTTTGTTCGGCCGGATAGAGGGGGCTAAACGGGCGCGGCACAGGCTAGAGAAGAGATGGAGTGATGTGGTACAGGAGGATGTGGAGCTGAGTGGACTTGGCGATGACTGGTACCAGCGGTGTCAAGATCGGCCTCTGTGGAGGAGGCTCGTGAAGGACGCTGCTGGGCAGTTGGAGGCAGTCACCCTCCAACAACAACAACGGAGGGCGGAGGAGCAATGCTCACAACAACGAGCGGAGCGCCGGGTGGCTAGAGCACAGCAAGTTGGCACAGTAGGGGGCACAGGTGGTGCATCAGCAAGTCATCTCAGTCAGTCGACCCGTGGCACCTGGACCTGCCCCGTGACCTTCTGCCAGCGGGTGTTCTGACACTTCACGTGGCCTCAATGTGCACATAGCCTGGCACAAGCGTGGTGGTGACATCGCCGCCACTTAGTGGCGAATGGCTGTTGTATGTGCATACATCTGTAAATGTGTCTACACATCTGCCCATCTGTAGATCTGCCTGTGTCCATGCTTTTACATGTGTGTGTGTCTGTGTGTGTCTGTGTAGTTGCGGCACAAAGTGGCACACCTATCAGCCTTTCCAGGATATGAGCGTCACCCCCGGCCTGCAAAGAAAGTTTGTGATTTTAGCGCGGAGCATCGCTCAATGGAGAAGCAGCGGCATCAGCTCTCTGGGTAACCTTCACTCGCAAACACCTACACAATAATAGACTGACTGGCATGTCTTTCTTTCTTTAGATGTGGGTTCCTCAACGTAAGTTTCCAATAGACCGTGGAATAAAACCGGTGTGTCCTGGCAGTTAGATGCTATGGCATTACTCTGTGGTGAAGTCATATCGTCTGTACATGCGACCACTAATGGGTGCCTTTGCCTCCAGGTTTCTTATCTCTTGTTTATCTTGTTTCCAACTTCCTCATCTTCATATTTTACCTACAGCTGTCTTATATCTGTGTCTTGATTGTCTTTCTATGCTCTCACTGATCTGTACTTCTTTATGTCGTAGCGAGTCATCTTTCTCTTTGGGCCATAGTTCGGTGAGCCACTCCAAGAGCTTTCCCTGGCAAGGTGTTGCTCGTGGGCCCCTGTTCTAGATTATATAATTGGACTGATTATTATGTTTTTCAACGGTTTTACTTCACTTGACTCCTGTGTCGTGGTCAAATCTTGGAATCAAAATGTAGTCTACATCCTGTTGTCAAATCAATTCCAAATTTTGCACACGAACTCGGATCCGGTGACAATGCATGCCGGCATCAAAATCGGCATCAATTAATCAATTAATTCGCTACTTTAAAGCAATTCACATTTTGTATGGACGCCTTATTATTTATATATTTTCGTGTAGGTCAAAAACGCCGCGGTCCCTAAGCTCTCGAATCGCCTTGCCCAAGAACCAGGCGCCACGTGTCTCAGGCGCGCCAGTTGTGAATAAAACCGTTGTTTTAAAAAATCATTTTTTTCTGAGTTTTAGCATGTGCATTTATGCCCGGCCAGGCAGCAGCTCCATTATTTGCAGAATTCTATTTTCCTTGGACAGCCACTAAGCTTGGTTAGCAGACAAGTCTTCAACAGTCAGTCTGGTCTCTGGTGGTTTCTACAGACAATCATACACTGACAGGCCAGTCTCTGATGGAGTCTGTCAGCAATTCACTGACAGACCAGTCTGTAATGAGATTGTAGACAGACAGATAGGTCTCTAATGGGGTCTCTCAATGATAATAGACCAATAGACCGGTGTGTGCGTGTGTTTTTATTTGTTTAGCACCTTTCCTGGAAGAATGGTCTGCCTCTTCCCTTCCTTCTATAAAACGTAAGCTCTGGGTTTCAGGATCATAGTTTCAGTTGAGAGCCGGTCTCAAGATTGGAGTCTCAACCGAGACTCATTTTCAGGAGATCAGATCTCAGGAGTTAGATCCTTCATTGACCTTCGACGGGTTTTAGCATCGGTCTCAAAGTGAGATTTTGCTGCTCTCTCAAGGTTGGAGTTTTGATTGAAACTTGGCTCCAGGAGCCCTAGTTTCAGCATCGGTCTTGATTGGGACCAGTTCTCAGCATAAAAGTCTCGAATGAGGCTCTCTCTTTTCCACTTTCCTTTCTCTCCCTTCGCCTCTCCTTTTAATAAGAGCTGCCAGGAGTGACTGGCCAGCCGTGAGCAGTCATAATATGAGCGTACACACGGGACACTCAGTATTATTGCCCACTTTAAAATAAAAATATATTTCAAAAAACTACTCTCAGCCCCACAGTAATATCTCTGCACACACGGATATATATTTTTTTCCTTTATTTGAATCACTTCTGTAATAACCAAAGGACATGTTTTAATTTAAAAGTGCTGTTTTGGCAAGTCTTAGCCTTATTCGTGTTGTGTGTATGAATATATGAGTGAGTGTGTGAGGTCTGTGGCAGTATGGTGGTTAGCCACACTGCACCGCAAACCAGGCAGCCCAAGTTCAATTCCCGCCCCCATGTCGCCTCAGCCATAAGATGATGTGGTGTGTAAACGTCAGTGCTGGGGAGACATGGTGTTGGCCACGCCACCCCCTCGTGTGCCGTGCTAGCTTTGCTTAATAGGTGCTTGCTAATAGTAGTTGGCTTTGTGTTTTATATGATTAAACCGAAGACCTTTGTCTTTTTGTTTATGTGTATGTATCCATATATTTTTTTGTGGGAATGTTTGTGTGATGGGGCACAGTGGTTAGTGCACTGTGCTATGAACCCGGCAACCCCAGTTCGATTTCCCGCTCGCGGCCAACATCAGTGACAATTATCTGAACCGGTTCTAGGCCCTCCTTAGCTCTACGCGGCCTCAAATGAGTCCCTGATGCACAGTGTGAACATTGCCACTGGGGAGACGAAGGCGGTCAGGCGTGGTGCTGACCACCCACACCCTCCTACACCTTGCCGGCCTTCATAGGTGCTTGCTTAACAGCACACGTACCCAAAAGTGTGTTAAGGTTATACAGGGGATCTTTGTCTTTGTTATCATGTGTGTAGGAATGATTATAAAGCATTGGCCAGATCAGCCCAACAATAAAAATAGGAGGCTGCTGGAATTATGTTATCGCCCATGGACTTAATTTTCAACACAATGTTCCATTGCTGGCTCATCCACACATTGTGAGTGCTTAATTTAAGAAAATAATGAAGAGAAACGTTTTTGGCAGTAGGTTCACAAGATCAAATAAATGCATTTTACTATCTAGTCACTAACACTACCATATAACAGAACAAATTTATAATAGGCTGATATTTTTGGACATTGGCTTTTCATATTGGACATTGTACTACAATAAAAACTGACTTTGTAGTTGATCACACTAAATAATGAGGTGTTCTAAAAACAAACTGGGACATTTTAATTTACAGCTTTGAATTTACTTATGCACACTTTTCCATTTAGTAGCGCTGGATTGGCATTCACATATTAACTGATTTAAATTGAAAGGTAAATTTCCATCGTGTGACCGAAGGACGACAACCTGTGACAGTGTCTGGTAAGTATTAGTGACATGCCTATTGTTATGTTAAATGAGTGGCTAGCTCGAGTGAGAGCATCTCTTGCACATCATTAGCATTTTAAGGGTAGAAAATAAGCCTCTGGGGAGAAGGGTATTTCCTTCTCCCGCAAGACCCCGCAATGCAATGTCATGTGGGCAGGAGGAGCTCGCCCTGTGGGAGCCGTTGTGTGCAGATGTTGGAATACGTAGCCATCTGCAGAGAGAGGGGCTGGCTAATATGCATCTGTCAAGGGTAGTGCATTTGTGTGTAGTCTGACATGGCATCATCACAATTGCTTGTACCACGGGGTGAGTTCCACACGTTTCAAAGGGTGTCCCAGTCGTCCCCCTTTATAGGGATGGGGGGAGGGGGTGACCACACTGATTGTATCAACTAAAATGGCTTCTCCTTTCTTAGCATGCTAACGATGGTTGTCTGAAATATTATTCAACATTTTATTGTCCCGCACCTCCAATTAGCTCTGTTGGTTTACGTAAGCTGCGAATGTAGTTCTACATACATTGTCAGCAACGCTGAGGAGTAACTGGTCCTGCTTGGTTGCCACATTCCGTTGGGTCTGCTGTGCAGTTTATGGAATTTCAACAGGAAATACGTTGATTCAATGACCTTAATCAAGGCACTCGCATGATAAACAGAATTTTGTGTCAGTTGAGTAGGAGGGTGGGGGGGGGGAGCTGAAGGCGAGGAGAAAATTCAATGTACGAAATTTAATAAGTAAAATTACGTAAAAATGTGGTCTCAAATCAATACAGGCAAGCCCTCACTTCGTGCTAAAGGTGCATTCCCAGAGAAGTGAGCGCCAATCTAATTGGCGCTAAAAGGAGTCATTATGCCATGGTATATATGGGGATACGTTCCCAGCAGCGTTATTTTCTTTCATATGGGAAACATGAGGTCTTCATTGGGGTATCGGCACTAATAACACAGATGGTAAACATTTCGTAAATTAAAATAATGATTTATTGTAATAATATTTGTAAGTATTATGTCCTGTACTCTTGAGTACATTCTCCTGTGCTCCTCTTTCATGGCATGGGTGGGGGGGGGGAGCTGCTGTGCCCCCCAATCCGGGTCTCATTCTCTGAGAAGAGCTCCAGAACCTCTGTGATCTTGGTGATGCCCTCGGTATGAATTTCTGTGGTGAGGTTTATTTTTAGGTTCGAGCCAGAGAGGCTCTCATCCTGGTCTTGTTCTTTCTCACCTCGCTCGACACATCGATCTTTAAAAATGTAATTGTCACTTACGAGTCGTGATAATCAAATCGTGGGGGGGGGGGGGGGGGGGGGGGGTTTGGTTGGCTCGGCTTGCATCGCGCTCATTGGCTGAGCTAATGATAGGGGCCAGATAGCTTTCCTCGGCTGGCGCTGCTGCGTGTTCTCACTCGTAAACGCATTATTATATACCTTTTTATTTTCTTAATTTTTTTGTTAAAATTAAATTTCCAGGATAGTGCGCGTTTATAACGAATCGGTGTTCTATGGGGTCATGTTAAATGAGGTCTGCCTGTATGCATCTTCGTTTGAGATTAAACAAGCCCTTGCACATCTCCAAAAACATATAGAAATATGCAAAATTGTGCTCGCACATGGATTATTATTGTGCTCTGCAATGCTGTGGTTGAGTGTTATAATATTAACTAATAATACTGTAAAACCTCTCCAAGCCGGACTAATTGTGTGGGGAGGGCCTTTGTAGTGACGGTGGATGTCTGACATGGCGCAAAGAATTAAACTATTGCAAAAGACTAATTATGAATTACATTTAAATGTAATTAACACCTAACCACTGAATATTTTAACAACTATTCGCATTAATAACCATTAACTAAACATTTTACAATTTAACAAAAATGACACGGTGTAATTAATTGAATCTCGAGTCGCCATCATCAACCGGTGGATGGCTTCGACAGAGATTTTCTGCTGGGGTTGGAGGGGGTCGACACTCTTCCAGCAGTAAGTACTGAGCAGCACCATGTAGAAAACTTAATGTATCACCATTTACGGTCGCCTTGCTTTTTTCCAATGTGTCAAAAGTAGTTTTACGAACAAAAATTCGTGCACCATATGAATTTTTAATTGACTAAAAAAAACATTCGCCATGTATATTTATTGTTAAGGTAACAATAACTAAATCATTTACCAAATTTTTGAAAGATGAGCGAGCGCTGGGCGTCCGCGAGCCGGGGGTGGGGGGGGCACATGTTCACCGATTGCAGCAGCCGACCGTGTGGGCCACTGGTTGCCAATCTCATGCTCGCTCATTTTGACACATTTTCTAAATAAGGTAAATAAGTTGTAACGTCACTATTTACAATACCAAAACTCTGTAATAAACATAATGCCAGACTTTTGCTCACCGTTTCATTCGCACATAAATAGTGTTCCGGCTGGAATTTTTTTTTATTTAGGTGATTTTAACATTTACGTTTTTAGCTGGCCTTTCATACAGACAACAAATTCCAGCTTAACTCAGTCAAGCTTTGAACGGTTCTCCTGTTATGTTATTTCTCTTAGGAAAGCCTCACTGGACCTCAAGATTGTTTCTCAGGAAGATCTGCATGAAGAAGTGTGACCAGTTCTTATTTAATTCGTGATCTGTTTCATGTACAAAGAGTACCCAGAGAAAACATACACATAAGTGGAAATAAGTCGTCATCGCAACCTACTTGCTGTTCTTGCTCTGCACAGCCCACAAGAGCCTACAGCGTTTTGAAGCGCTTGACACAATTGGAGGGGAGAAATCATCTGACCAGGGAGGCGCAGTGCATTCTGGGAAGTCGGGGCAGACCATCGCTCCCCGTCAGAGGTTTCTCGTTTTCAGCTTGGACGATAGAAAGGTTTGTTTTTCGAGTGCCTAATTAAAGTTACATGCACACACTGCACATACACAAACATCTACACACATACGCTCGTGAAAATATACATGAACATACCTGCACACATACATTCATATGCACACACATACTCGCATATACAATTACACTCACACATCACACACAAGCTAATCCTGCACTTTTATCCATATGTCTGCCGGATTTTTACCCTTAACTCCGATTGATATCCGACTCTTATCCTTACCGCATCCCTAATCTTCTACCTCTTCCCCTGTCCCAACCCCTGACCTATCACCGTAACAGTTGTCCCTGCACACCTACAACTGGTCATCAGAGCTGGGTGCAGGTGTCATGCGTGGCACCTCCCGTCTCGTGCACTGGCTCAACGCTCGCTCACACCTCCTGATGTGCCTGCTCAGCCAGAAGATGGGCCTCTTCCACCACTACTACTACGGCGACCTCCCTCCCCCCAGCGACCCCGGCAAGCAGATGGTCAGTCGTGTCTTACTGCGCCTACCTTGATAAGCTCTGCTGCACTTGCAATCCTGGTATAATCAAGGGTGACTGAAACTCAGGCTTGAATTCAGGAACTTAATTATGCAGTGTCTCTGATATGGTCATCACACTGGCGGATCGAATAAACGCACCGGCATGTGTATGATCGCACTGGCGCGTGTACGATCGTGCTGGCGCATGTAAGACGGAACTAGCATGTGTACGATTCTGGTGGCTTGGGCGCCTAACCCCCCTCTCTCTCAACCAGGAGCTGAACCCTTTCCTACAGCCTCCGTGCGAGGCGGATGCCCTCATCAGGAGTTCAGCCCCCCCTCCTCCCAAGGATCCCACATGGGCCTCACCCATGGGTCCTGGCAGAGGTGAGACGAGCATCCTAGGACGTGCCTGTGGCAGGTTTGACACTTGTGTGGAGGTGTGTGGGGAGCGGTGGCGTATTGATTCGTGCAACCTGCGCTACAAACTCCGCAACCTGGGTTCGATTCCCAGCCATATTTAATGTAATTAGCACATGTTATCTGAACTTATGCTGGGCTTCCCCCGTGTTGACAAGAGCCTTAAATTAGTACCTGTTGCGGTGATTAAACGTCAGCACTGGGGAGACAGACAGAAATGCATGGTGGAGACCACCCTCACCCTTCGTGTGTCGTACCGGCGTTCATAAACGCTCGCTAACAACACTTGCCCCAACAGTCTGTTCAAGGCTATACTGGTATCTTTATCTCTTTATATATATGAATGCATGTGCCTAATACATGTCCCTGGGCTTCCTATTGTCAGAGGTGTCGACTTGGTCAAAAGTAGCTATTATTGGTATAATCATCTCTCGAGAGTAGTCGCAGTGTTTGCAAAGTGTAAACAGTGATTGTTCGGTGGAATGTACCAGTCCTCATCATGACAATATTGAATTTACACCATTGACCCATGATGCCAACGAAGATGAGCACCACCCTATCCTTGTTTGAGCAGGGAGACTTAGACTTTGGCATTTCTATCATTGCCAGATTACAATCTACTATTGCCCAATGTTTATCATAGAGCATCTGTTACGTTGCACAAAAATCCCACGGATATCAACATGGTTTTGATTTTAAATCAACTGAAATTGTTATTGTAAAATATAATTATTCACTTATAAGCTCAGTCCAAGGTTGTCTAACTGTGTGTATTTTGTGTACGTGCCTGTGTGTTATGTAGGTTTTGTTTGTTTATACTATCTATATACGAATGTATCAATTGCAAGCTCAATAATGGTCATCGTAGAAACTGCCCCTGTTTGTACACCGAAAACCCTCTAACCCCCCAATCTCTCATTGTCTGCAGGTCTCCTGGTCTCTGGTTCACTACTACTGCTGCTGCTGGTGGGTGGCGGCGGTGGTGGTGGTGTTGTTGGTGGTGTTGTTGGTGGCGGTGGCGGTGGTAGCGGTGGTGGTGGCTTGGCTGTGGGGGCCGCACCAGCGTCGTTGGAGCTGCTGCAGCTGGACGAGGCGCTGCGCGACGTGGTGGCGCCAAGGCCCATGCGCCTGGCTCCGTACGGGGCCAGCGGCGATGCCGTGACGAGGCACGGGGAGCAGTACCGCGAAATCCGCTCGCACGAGCGCAGGGGTGAGACGGAGAGACACGTGGGGAGAGCGCGCGCTACGAGAAATTTGAGTCAAGGGTGGAAGTAAGATCGAATCGCGTGTCGAAAGGAGGTTGGGTCAAGATTCATTAACGATGTTGAGTCTGGAGAGATGAAGTACGGGGACTTGAGAGTTGGAAATGTACGACCTGTGGAGGATGAGTAAATGGGGTATGTGGAGGTTGAATATATGGGTTCCAGCGGAGGCTGACTTGAGGGTCTGAGGAGGCCGAATTGAGGTTCTAGTAAGATCCTAAATATCGAGTGGTGCAAATAATAGTGTTTAAGTGAAGTCATTAATAGAGACTAGGCAAGTCGAATATCAGGGGTCTAGGGGAGGTCCGGCTTGTCGGAGGATCATGTCGAGGGCCTTGGGGAGGTAGAATATATAGTCGAGGGATTATTGAACATATGGTCTTGGAGAGGTTTGAATGTGTGGTCTGTGGAAGTGGAATACAGTTCCTGTTCCCACTGGATGTCGAAAATAGGGCGGTTAAAGATCGTAGGTTGTTGTGTTATTTTACATGCCCGACTTAAATTTCGATTTAAAGCTTTCGTGACTTGCAGGGATTCATATTCTTGGTTCTTTCGGTAAAGTCACGTAGAAGAGAAATAATAAAATAATAAACATTTAACAATAATATATAATAAACTTGTGGCGTTTTTTTTTCTTAACGTTAAGAAAAAAACACCACTTTTTTCACATTTTCTTGCTGTGGTTTTCACACCTGATGACTGATTGCTTGTGTTGCAATCGAAACGTCGTGAGAATTGTTTAATTTGTATTATTTTATTATTTCCCTTCTACGTACTTTACCGAAAGAACCAAGAAGATGTGCCTGACTTAGGTTTCCTCTTTTGTCATCTCTTGCACTGTTTCCCTCATTCTGCACTCTGAGCCACTCCCACATGACGCTGGCTCTTGTCTCTGTCTGTCACTCTAGAGATTGAAGCGCAGTGTAAGATTGAGAACCTGTTCATCACGTGGCAGCAGAGGTCGGCCCAGTCCAACATGCCCATCACGGTAACCCTGAGTGCACATGTTCCATGTCTGTGTGCATGATTGTGTGTATGTATGTACGTATGGGGAGCGGTAGCGCTACGGTTAGCACGCTGCGCTTTGAACCCGATGACCCGAATTCGATCTCCGCTCGTGACCAATGGCAGTGAATATTTTGACCGGTCCTACGTTGACTCGGCCTTAAATGAGTCCCCTTGCACTGTGTTAACATCAGCACTAGGAAGACAAATGTGGCTGGGCATGGTGTTGGCCACTCCCCTCGTGTGCTGTGCCAGCCTTCATCGGTCCTCGCTAACACCACCACTTTCCCCAACAGTCTCTTAAATGCTGTACAGGGGATTTTTCTCTTGGTGTCTGCATCTGCTAGTCATCTCCGTTAAACTCATAACACCTGGGTGTATCCCATGACCTCCTGCCAGTGGGCTTTCCACAATGTACATGGCCTCAGTCCACCTAGCATGGCACAAGTGTCAGGGTTACATCACTGCCGCATAGTGGTTCATGGTGGCTCGTGTGTGTGTGTGTGTATGTGTGTAAAGGGAGTGAAAATTCCATTTCCCCCTGATTGGGGTCGATACACTGTAGGACACCCCCTGTTAACTTCCCACAAAGTGGTACTCCTATGAACCAAGTTTACATTGACCTTGGATTTAAATTTAAACCTTAAGATTGTGAGGCGACCAATAGTGTAACTACAGCAGGGTGTACATTTTTAAACGATAGGTCAACTCGGCGTTGATTGATTGCCTGGTACAGTGTTTTCATTACGTAATTGCTTAACATGTGTGCACTAATAACACTTGTCTTTGCAGCCTACAAGGTTGAACAGAGGATCTTTGTCTTTGTGTGTGGGTGCAGGTGTCCGAGTTGGATCTGCTTCGGCAGTCTTCGCGGCTTGTTCACTACTGTGCTACTCCGCTTGTTTTCGACCCAGCCACTCACTTGACCGATGCTGTGAGTTGCAGCAGTATATTCATAGATCCTACGGGTGGTTAGTCTGTGAGCGCCCTGAATGCTTCGGTGATTGTGCACCACCTAACCACCACCATCGGCATCAAAGCTGTTCTCATGACCAGTGCCAAATTCTCATGGGGGTTTAGATTACAGGGAAATTAGATGAGGCTCCATTGTGAAATGAGAAATCTTATATCACGTGTCTTCATCGGTGGCTTTGAGCTCAGTGATGGCAATTCCACATTTCCATGGTGCGGGCATTCGAATGTTGACCCCAGATCGTGACATTGCATCAAATTTTGACTCTGAATCATGACAGTTGATCCAATCGCAAGAGTCTTTTTTTAGATGCCTACAGATTAGATTATAACCGACTTTTAATTTCGATTCATAAGTTAAATATAAGTTATTGGAAATTAGTTTCTGGGCAAGATTTAAATTGTTAATTATGTTATTATAAATGAGCGACCTCGATGCTTGCGTACATTCACGTATATCATGGGCAAGATTATATTCTAGAAGAGCCTCGTGCTCTGCAACTGTGATTAAAAATTAAAAAATCCTAAATGGATTACATCTTACAATAGATTACATCCCAGAGAAGATCATATTAATATTACATATTCTTAAAGCGCTTAAATCTGAGGGGAATTTTAAATACAAACCTAGGTTGGATTCTTAAATAGATTCAGTTGTGTTTTCTAGGGGAAGTTATAATTGCCGTGTAAATTTTATTAAAATAAACATTTTCTTCAAGACGGCATTCAATTGAGAGATTAGATTCTAATCTACTCCATCCTACGCTTTGACTAGTGATAATAAACAACTTTCAACATGCAAAATTTCGCTCGCAGGATCACAAAGTTCGAGCACGACACTGGAAGCATGGAGCCCAGCTCTGAGTTTGTTGACATTTTGCTGGAACAGGTTCGGGGTTTTAAGTGCGTTTTGAAAGAAAAAATGTTATTCTCAGATTTAACGTGAGGTTTAGGAACACTTAGCCTGGTCTCCAGTTGGCTGGCTGAAAAGTGGGCGAGGTTTTGCCCAATCCTGTCCAGCCAGCTGAACAAACTTAACAAACAAACGAATAAGTAGTTGGCAATTGGGATCTCCTTAAATGAAGGAGGGATTCGAGTCGCAGGCAGCGGGAGAAGTCGCCAAGAAGCCGCTGTCGGCAGTCGCGCTCCGCGATTTTGGGGAACAGCGAGCAGGTCTGGTTACACGGCGGTTCTCCGAGGGAAGAAACTGCAATGATGGCAAACGCACTTTTGTGGGAGACCAGAACACGGGGCACAATGGAAGAGAATCGCAACTTTGTACGTGCGGTCCTCGGCTTGAGTCGGGTTCCACTGACGCCGATCTGCAACTTAACAGTGCGACGCCGATGCAGGCGCCGGTTCTGCACTCGATACCAAACATCCAGTATGCCGCTCGGTTAGTCTGCCTTGCAACGTGCTCCGGTGCTAAACCTCTGTGCATTCTTCGTGATTTTTAAGCATTTTTGTAATTATTTAATCTTTAATAATGGGTCATAAAAGGAACGATCAGTTATTCCCTCAAAATAAGCCAGGGATTCGGAAGAATCAAGGTAATAACTTTCTAAACACTTATTGTACTTTGTATATGATTGGTAGTTGATTAAATATGCTTTTTAAACATATCTGTAAAAATGTGCATATCGGACCCTTGGTCAAAAACGCAACCCCCCTCCCTATTATATAATTGCTTCTGGGAAAATTGGTCTTGACTTGCGTCGTTTCGATTTGGGGCACATTTTCTATGAACGTAACCTAACGTAGGTCCGAGCACCCGACAGTATTTGGTTTGATTTGATTCATGGGCTATACTTTGGATCGTAAAGTAAACCACTGTTGTCTGTGCAACTTCAATGGCAGAAGAATAGCAAAACTACACACACTATCTCCTGAAAGCCCTCCCTTGTGAGTAGCAGACCTTGGCATTCAGGTCCTGAACATATTACCACACGCAAGAATAGCATATGGGACATTTTTAATATAAATATATTGTAAGGCAGATTAATTAATTAATTAGTTATTTTTGCACAGGAGGTTCGATTCTTCAGTATGTTATTGAGTACATTGTATTGTCTAGAGCAGGGGTCACCAACCCCCAGGCCGCGGACCGGTACCGGTCCGCGGCCTGTTAGGAACTGGGCCGCACAGCAGCAGGAGGTTGAGCGGTGAGTCCGCGCGTGGAACCCGCCCCCATGATTTTATTATTCACCACTTCCATCCGCGCCTCTTTCCCGCACTGGGCACTTGTCTCAGTCACAGTGTTGGTGAGCCCACAAGCTGCCAACATGAGTAAAAAACAAACGTCGCTGGAGAGCTTCCCCAATGATGAACCCCCCCCCCTGGTCCGTGAAAAAATTGATTACAATCTTGAATGTATTAGATTGGACAGAATACTATATAAGCCTCGAAGATCAGAATCGTAGACACACTTCTTAGAGATGTTATTATCGAGAGATTTTTGAAGATGTATATTAAGCTGGATCCTTAAATGTTTTTGGAGGGAAAATTCGATTTTATCTAAGATTCAATTCTAACTTGTTCTTTAATCTTTGTTAGATGCTTAAGTAGATTCTAGTCGATGGTGAAAACTTTTTTTGAAGTGTCTTTGAAATTCATGAATAGATAATTTTATAAGGAGGATGAGGTTAGATCCTAATGGAATGTTTAACTTTAAGGGAGATTAACTTTTACTTAACTGTAGATAATAGTGGAGGTTACCGTGATCAACAGAACAGTTAATCTGGCGGAGTTATGTTCAAATTAAATATTCATCTTTTCGAGCAATATAGTCTCGGCTGCCGGCTCTGCTTAGCAGTTGTCTCATTTATCGCCTGTCACCTCTGGAGGGCTGGCACGACACTCGTACTTTGTATGTACGAATGTATGTTTAACTTCTTTCGCACCATACGTAGCCAACCGTGCTAATCGGTGGTGCGGGGGGGGGGGGGCAACAATCCAAACACAAAAAGCAGTTCTAAAAATGTGATTTTTCAATCTAGATTTAAAAGTGCATAGCTCTCCCACAGTGGCTTCCTAATATTGGAAGCAAGAGTGTTCCAGACGGCCGCAGAAGTGCATCTGAAAGCGCACGATGGCGAGCCAAAATTAGCAGAACGCCAAATCTATATTCTACCCGTTGTCTCCGTTGTCCTCCCTCTTACCCCTCCAGGCTGCTGCCAACAGTGTTCCTCCAATGGTACCGCATTGCTCCCCGCCCAGTGGCACCAGCGACATCGCTGCCCCCACCTCTACCACTGGCTCTACCCCTACTACTTATACTACTGCTGCCCACAGCCTTACCCCTGGCCCTGCTGCTCCTGCTGCTGCTGCTTCTGGTGGTGGTGGCGGTGGTGGGGAGGCCTGGCTGCTCGAGTTGTGCACGGCTTTCATTCAGCAGTACGTGCAGTACCTCCAGAGCCTCGGCTTCATCCTCGTGCAGCTGCGTCCCTCAACACCTGCACGCAGGTGAGAGGGGCAGTGGCGGAGCCAGTGGAAACCGTGGCAGCGGTAGTAAAAAAGCAGCTGTAAATTCAGTAACTTCATCACCAGCAGTTGTATCGGCCGCAAAAAGTGCTTGCAGCATCAGAAATGTCATAATCAGGAGTTGCAGTAGCGTTTGTAACACTATAGCAGTCTAATCAGCAATCGTAGTATTAGCAGCTGCAATAGTTGGAGCCCAGGGCATGGTGGCTCGCGTCATGCCTTGTGGAGGTGAGTGAGTGAATACTGTGGGCGTTACAAATAAAAATCATTATAGAAACTTAATTATCAACAGCAGCGCTTGAATTAATAGCAACAATCGCATCAATAGCTTCAGCATCTTAATGAAAGGACACCCAAACCCACGGCTTGAATCCAGGATTATTTTGTCTGCAGGTCATCGGTCTCCGCACGTCCACGCTCGTCTGCCTTCTCCGTGAACATCGGGACATCGGACGGGAAGCCCCGTTCGCAGAGACCCTGGCCTGAGAGCAGCACCAAGGTGAGAGTGGCACGGTGGGAACGGTGGCACCAAGGTAAGAGTGGCAGGGTGGGAACGGTGGCACGGTGGTTATCGCACTGCACTATGAACCCGGCCAGCTGGATTCCATTCCTGGCCACTGCTAATATCAGTTGAGAGTAATATGCAAAATGGTCAGGGCCTCCCCAATGTGACTCAGCCTTCAATAAGTGTCTGGTGCTGTGTATAAACAGCATTCAGGAGACAACGGCAGCCTACCACACCACCCACTCGTGCCATGCAGATCTTAATATGTGCTCACAAACATTTATTACAGCAGTCTTAAATGCTTTAGGGGGATTTTTGTATTTTTGCTAAAGCGTGTAAGTGTGTTTTCGTGCGTGTCAGATTAGGCGGGGTCTGATTTACAATTCCCAGGATCAGATCTGCATGTATGTTGGGTAATTTTGTGAGGGGTTGGGGTAACCTTGTAGGGATTACGAGGCCTCCAAGGTTGAAGAAGGAAGGGGGCTCATGAAAGGCACTGTTTGATGGAGACTGTCCTTCGGCAAAAATAGGCGACTGAGGAACAGCACTCGCAACAACCTGATCCCTACTTAATTTAATATTACAGCGAGGAGTGTGGGTGGTGTGTGTCTCAGTCACCTCAGGTGATCCATAACATCTGGGTTCCCCCCTCCCCCCGATATCCTACCAGAAAGCCTTCGCCACTTCCCGTGTCCTCAAAGTTCACTTAGTTGTGCCGAGGTGATGTCACTGCCACTTTGTGGTGTACAGCGTCTGTTGGAGTGTATGCGAGTGTGTGCCTGTGTGTGAGTGGGGAGTAGGAGGAGTGCAGTGCTTCATGCGCTGTGCTACGAACCCGACGACCCACGTTTGATTTCTGCTCGGCGGTAACGCCAGTGACGATTATCTGAAGCAGTCCTGGGCCTTCCCTAGTTCCACTCGGCCTCAAATGAGTACCTGGTGCAGTGTATAGGACATCGCCACTCGGGAGACAAAGGCATTCGGGCGTGGTGCTGACCACCCACCCCCTCGTGTGCTATGCTGGCCTTCATAAGTGCTTGCTACTAGCACTTGCCCCAACAGTCTGTTATGGCTATACAGAAGATCTTTGTCTTTTTTGTGTTTATTTGTATGCGTCTGCATGGAGAGCAGCGGCATTGCGGATAGCACATTGCACTCCAAACCTGCCCGACCTGGGTTTCATTCCCAACCGCAGCTAACATCAATGGTAATTGATATCTTAACTTGTCCTGGGCCTCTCCTAGGTTGACTTTGCTTTAAAAAAAAAAGTACCTGATGGGAGTGTGTAAGCATCAGCACTGGAGAAACAAAATCCACACAGACATGGTCCTGGCAACACCACTCATACATGGTGTTGGAATTGACAAGTACTCGCAACCAGCCCTTGACCCAACAGTCTTATGTTTAGGCTTTGTGAAGAAGGATTTGTCTTTCCTTATGTATATGTGTGTGCGCGCGAGTGTGTCTCAGGCTGCAGGTGGTGGCGTGTCGTCACTCATGTATCACCTCCAGCGAGCCCTGCCCGGTGGCCTCGTGCTGATGGAACTCGGGTTTCAGGTGATGAGATTTTATGCGAAGGCCACAAGCATAAACGCGCGCACACACAGTAGGGTAAAATACCATCACGAATCGATTTAAACAACAACATACTTGGGAGAAATGTCATTTGAAATACAAAATATAACACACTTGAAGAAATTGTATATCTGAATACAAAAACGAATGTTGAATATTTATCTTGTTATGTGGAAAATTTACCCTGAAATGAAATAACACTTTTTATTGACACACGCAAATTCTTTACTTACTCAATAACAAACATCAGACATCATCCCTGTGGCTGTAGGATATGAATGGATTCTTAAACGTAACAAGCCCACTCCCCCGCCCTCACACAGCACCATATACAATACAGCGCGTACACAATACAGTGCGTACACAATTACAGCACCATATACAACACAATACAGCACCATCCTAACGTCATGATGATGTCATCCTGCACTATTTAAGACCGGAAGCAGGTAGATTGCTTCACTATTCTGGCAAATCGCCTGATGATGCTGGATGTAATTTCCAGCGAAACGTCGTACTCAAATTGTAAGTGTTGTGGATCCACTCTTCAACACACTGGTGGGCTAAAGTAGTGAACTATTTGTCTTTTGTCAACGTGACACTTTTTTTACTGATTGGCCGTGTCGGGTGGTGGAGGGTTGCGACACATTTATAAATAACGAGATCTAAACCCAAAAACCTTTATGATGAATATTACTGGTTGCGAAAACCTACGTGTTTAACAGATCTAATCGTACATAAATAAATATACAGTGCAACCTTTGATTTGTATTGAAATAAAAGGCAATAGAAAAGGATAGAGAAATGTAGTGAGATGAGGGAAAAGGCGTAAGCAAGAGATGGGTAGTAAGTTGCGATAGAAGGTGCACATTAGGTTGCACTCATTCCACGCAAAGTGGTTGCCACATCGCCCACAATACGTTGTTGATCTCGTCAAGGAGCATAAACCATCCACGCGAACTTCAGTCATCCTCGCAGCGGCTTGTGGCTGGCCAGCGAACAAAGACGGGTCACGGCATCGCACGCTTTCAGATGCGCTTCTGTGGCCGTCTGGAACGCTCTTCCTTCTGATACGAGGAAGCCGCTTGAGCTATGCACTTTTAAATCTAGATTGCAAACTCATTTCTTGAGAACTGCTTTTTGTTTAGTTTGTTGTTATTCCCCCGCACCTCAGATTAGCACGGTTGGCTACGTACGGTGCAAAAGAAGTTCAACATGCATACGTACATAAGCTGTGGTTTTGAGTTGTTAATGTAAAAGATAACAATGTAAGTGAAATGATGGTGGATATGGTGAATGCAGCGTTGACTCCATTCAGATGCGTCAATGAGAAAGATGAGAGATTTGTACAAGATGTGCAATGATGGAAGAGTGCTGCAATCTGAATAAACTAAGTAGGGGATAGATGCCTTCACAAGCATAGATAACCACTGACATTTGTTACAACAGAATTAGAAAAACAATGCATTCGGCTGAGGTGGTAATGAGATTACAGGAGATGGGTTTACTATATTAATGAGAGATAGCAAGGAGAGGAGATATGTAAAGAAGGGCGATATACTGAAGTGGTATTGAATACACATTTATTCAGAATAGTTAGAAGAGACCAAATAGGATGGAGTTATAAGAGATGCCATTGACAGTTGTGCTTAGGAGAGCATTGAACTGTGCTGCAGAGACAGGTAAGAGTGAGATTGAAAGCCAACCTTGCCTCTCAATGACAATAAAACGACCCTATTTCTCATGATATTAATTGTATATATGTGAAGACAAAACATTCCCTGTATAGCCTATATAGACTGTAGGAACAAGTTTTAGTCTAGATTTGAAGTTTTGTATCGGTTCTGCCTGATGACGGTCTCGCTTGTGTTGCGATCGATTTATTTTATACCTTCATCACTTTACCGAAAGAACCAAAGAGTAAGAAACAAGTTTTGTTTGTGAAGTCCCATTTTAAACTGGCATGATGCACGATGGATGGTTAGCACCACCATGCCCAGCTGCCTTTCATCTCTCCAGGGCTTTGTTGCCCTTCTCTCGCACCTCCGATTAGGACGCTTGGCTACGTATGGTACGAAAGAAGTTATACATGTTAAGGCTGAGTCAACTTAAGGGTGGTCTAGGACTTGGATATAACTCACTGCTTATGTCAGCTATGACCAGGATTCGGAACTCTAGTAGCCAAGTTCGCAATGCATTTTGCTATTCATTAACGTGTGTAAATTAATACTGTATAACCTACCTCCTGTTGTGGGCAGTGCCGTGGAGGGAGGGCCAATTTAGATTGGCCATTCCCCTCATGGCGTTTGTAGCCACCACAGCGGCCAAATGGGGGCTCTGGATGGGTGCGAGGGGCTAGTAACCCCTCCACCTTCAATTAATTACCACTAAATCACGTATAAAATATCTCATTAATAAGCTTGTGCCGGAGGCCCCGGGGGGACGGGCATCTATGACGTCTTCTGACCAAACCCCATTTGGTGGAGTCAGGAGATTGAATCTTTACCCATGGGAATCCTCCAGAAATAACAAAAAACCACTACGTGTGGCCACGTGGAATGTTTGAACGCTCACTGGGGAGGAGAGGCTACCACTCCTCTGTCGGGACCTGGACCGGTACCGCCTGGATCTCTGTGGTATTCAGGAGGTCCAGTGGACCGGCTCTGGCTCCTGCCAACATGAGGGGTGTGGACAGTCTTCTCCTCGGGGGAGGAGACTGCCAAACAACAGGGAGTGGCCCTTCTGAACAAAACAATGAAGGGAGCGTGGCGGTGAGGTGTGGGAAGCTGTAAGCCCCAGGCGAGGAGTGGTGGTCGTGGTAACTTATGCCCCCACTGAAGATGAACATCTGTGGAGGGATGCAGGCAAGGCCGATGAGTCGGATGCCATCTATGACTTGTCACAGGTGCTAGCTAAAGTGGCCCCTTGGGACAGAGTCATCCTATTGGATGACTTCAATGCCCGAGTTGGTCATGATGCTGGCACCTGGTCTGGAGTGATTGGAAGGCATGGGCCAGATCAGCTCAATAATAACAATGGTAGGAGGCTGCTCGATTTTTGTGCAGCCCATGAGCTTGTAATTACCAACTCGTTCTGGCATCGGCGCATCCACACAACATCATGGAAGTATGCCGGGTCCAAGCAAGAACATCTGCTGGACTACGTAGTGATGGAACAGCGGATGCAGGCCCATGTCCTTGACACCAGCACCTACCGTGGAGCTGATCTGCCCACTGACCATCGACTTGTCATCTGTAAGATGCGCCTGCCATTCTTCCACTCCGGTGGTGGGTGTACACCCAGGACCCCATTCAAACCCAAGGTGGCCTGGTCTCAGCTAGCCGATGAAATTTGCAAGTGAGAATATAATCATCGCTTGCGGCTGGGTTTGGCAATGTCCCCCACTCCTCCACATGTCAAGGGGAAATGGGCGAGGTTTAGGACTGTGGCTCATGCAGCTGCAATGGCTCCTTTGGGTACACGGTCCAGACCTCCGCAGATACCCTGGCTGACAGAGGAGGTGTTCAGAGAATGAGGAGGCTTACCGCAGCCTTCGCTCGGAGGTTCGGAGAGCCGTGAGGCGCTGCAAGGATGGGTAATGGTCACGGGTTTCTGAGGAGATGGAGCCTGCCTCAATGGCCCGTGATCACAAATCGCTATTTAACTCCATCAAAAAAGTAACCTGCAGTGCCACACCTATTACCATCATTAGGGGAAAAACGGTGTTCCAATCTCCGACCCCCAGGAACAGGTTTGCATATTTGCTGAGCATTTCTGTGAGGTCCTGGGGGAGGGGAAAGCCCTCGGCAAGGAAAACATCGTGGGACAAAGTGGGAATGACCCTGCTGTGGCTGCAGTGTCTCAAATATTGGAAGAAGTCACTCCCTGTGAGTGGCTGGCTGGCTGAGGTTCCATCTGTTGAGGAAGTACCTAAAGCGATCCGGAGTCTGAGACCAGGAAAGGCACCGGGCAGAGATGATCTCCCAAGTGAAATGCTGAGGGAGGGTGGTGTTGTACACAGACTGCCCTACATGACATCATAACAACAGTCTGGACCACTGGATGGGTTCCGCAGGATTGGAAGGGGAACCGCATAGACTATAACAACTACAGGGGCATCTCACTCCTCGGTATGCCGAGAAATGTCCTGGCAAGGATTATTCAACTTCGCCTTGCCAGGCACGCTGAGGAGAGGCTTGCGGAGCCCCAGTGCGGTTTCAGGGAATGGCAGTCCTGCACAGATGCCATATTATCTGTCCGTCTGCTACAGCAGAGGTGTCGAATTACAATAGGACCTACAGCTCTGATTTATTGACCTGGTCAAGGTCCATGATACCATCAGTAGGGCTCTGGGTTATTCTTTGTGCTTTTGGAATCCCTGACCCTCTGCTCACGATCATTCAGGACCTTCATGATGGTGATCGGGCCCGGGTAAAACTTCGTGGCCAGGAGTCGGAGCCATTCCCTGTTCACCTTGGGGTGCGACAGGGATATTCTCTGGCTCCCACATTATTGAACATCTTTTTTGACCACGTAGTTCGTGAAGCCATCGATGGCTGTACCAGAGGAATTTCCATCTGGTACAGATACAATGGGAGGCTGATCGATGCCTGTGTGCAGTCAAGGGATGGCTCTCTATTGTTCAACCATGTTATGTATGCCGATGATTTGGTAATTGCTGCTCACTCAGAGGAGTTGGAGGCGCTGCTGCTGAACCTGGAGCTTTCCACGAAGAGGTGGGGCTTGACCATCAGCCCCACCAAAACTAAGCACCTGCCTGGGTATTTTGTTCCATCGGACACTCCACCCCCAAAACTCCCAATTGGTGATGGGGCAGTTGTGGAGAGAGTGGAGAGTTTCCCATATCTGGGCACTGTGCTCATGACCGGCTCCAGTTTGACAGTAGAGGTCTCGCTCTGAATTAGTCGAGCGGCATTATCTTTTCGTCGATTGCGTAATGCTTTGTGGAAGCTACCTGGTCT